TATAAGAGCTATCGAAATGCACCCTCTCTGTTACCGTTTGGACTGCTGCCCATGCCCGTGCTTCCGTTACCGCTGATTCCATGACGTCCTGCGGATTATAGTCGTCATTTGAAAAAACCTTGTAATTCCGGGCTTTCCAAATGTACCAGAGTAACCAAGGGTACATCACCAAATCCTCATTGTCTGGGAGATTCCAGAATAAGTGTGCCATATTTGAATAAAGTGCGTCCGTAGGGAAAACCTGGGGAGGCGTGGGAATGGGTGCTATTGCCCAAGCCTGGAGAGCCGGAGGACACTCAAAGAGCATATGGTTTATGGTCTCAGCTCCCATGCCACATCGCACACACAACGGGTCTACCCTCATTCCCCGGCTGCATAACCTCGCTCCCACCGATAAGCATCCGGTAATAATTTGCCAAAGAAAATGTTGAAGTTTTGTAGTACATTTGACTTTCCAGGATTGTGCTTGCAATCTCCGAACGTCCGGTCCGATAACCGGTAATGCTCCCTCGTCTGAGAATAATGTTTTTATCATTATATTAAGAATTGTTCAGATTGCCTTATAGTAGAAATTCTTGGTCCTACAACTTGTTGTAAATCAAGATTAGATTTTTTGCTGCTAAGGAAATATGAGGCTTTAGTTTTCGCCAAGGAAGATGAAGCACCAAATAAGATGAAGCGTTCAATATAAATGGTGCCATGTGTCTTTTTATTGGAAGTAGAATATTTGCCATGTGTCACTCAACTGGAGAGAGATATCCTCTCATTATAATATAGATTAAGAGTTTGAACAAAACAAAAAGAAACTCTACAAAATTTAGTTTGTGTGAAAAGTTTATTTCTACAAAAAACAAAATGTGGAAATTGTATAAACACAAATCAAAAACATAAATTTTTACAGTTTGTGGTGATTTTCAAATGCAAACAATAGATAATATTAAGGTTTCTTTTGTTAATTATATGGCCACAACTTTTTTCTTTGTTTTAGGCCGTCTCCTAAAACAAACTCCTGGGAGTAAAAGGAGGAGAATTAGAAGGCATCGACACCCACCAAGATTTATTAGGGAGTTTAACCAACATGTAAGTACATTAAGCTGCAAAAACCCCCCATTAACATGGAGTAATATTAACACTTGAGAGTAATTTTGTTTTTATTTATAGTATGCAATTATCAGGGTATTTGAAAATACGACTAAAAAATGGCGTGGAGCACAAGCTGTTAGATTAGGGATAATTGGATCGATGATCCTTGTCATTTCATTCACCAGAATATAAAGGAAAGCTATACAATAGAGCCGTTAGAGGCTATTAACATTGTTGCCTAATTTACAGAGAGGAATATATGCATTCCTTATTCTGATATTCTAATACCCTCCCTCAGTCAAAGCGTGAGGTTCTCCTACGCGAAGACTGGACCTGAAATCTTGAAACAGAGCAGAGGGTAAGCCTTTGGTAAAGATGTCCGCGTATTGGTGTGAAGATGGCTTATGGAGCATCCTGACTTGGCCAAGAGCTACTTTCTCGCAGACAAAATGAATGTCGATCTCGACATGCTTGGTGCGTTGATGTTGTATCGGATTAGTGGATAGATAAACCGCACTCACATTGTCACAGTATACCAATGTTGTTGTTGTGATCGGATAGTGAATCTCGAGAAGTAGATTCCGAACCCAAACCAATTCCGCAACAGCATTCGCGACACCTCGATATTCTGCTTCGGCACTTGACTGTGAGACCGTGTGCTGTCGTTTTGAAGACCACAAGATGAGGTTATCACCGAGGTAGAGACAATAACTCGACGTTGAGCGACGGGTATTGGGACAGCCTGCCCAGTCAGCATCTGTGTACGCCGTTAGAGTTGTGGTCTTGGATGGTGTGATATGTAATCCTTGTGTAATCGTGCCTTTGTGTAGCGGAGAATGCGTTTCAATGCATTGAAATGAGGTTCGCGCGGTGCATGCATGTAAAGGCAAATCTGATGAACCGTATACGCAATGTCTGGTCTGGTGAAGGTTAGGTACTGAAGAGCTCCAGCTAAGCTTCGATACAGAGTGGCGTCTTCAACTGGTGGACTGACATCGGCATGTAGTTTGGCTGCTGTGTCCAGAGGTGTGTTACATGGTTTGCAATCAGACATGTTGGCGCGATGGAGAATGTCGGCAGCGTAGTTCCGTTGATCCAAAAAGAGTCCATTCTTGTCCCTACGAACAGCAATACCAAGGAAATAGTGCAGGTAACCAAGATCAGATATAGGGAATTCATTCTTGAGAAAGGAAATAATGGACCTGAGAAGTGTCGTGGAGGAGTGACAGCGTATAAAAGACCAATGCTATGACATCGAATGAGAGGTGCTCGGGTTGTGAGATCCTTAACAACAAAATCAAACGGGTCAAACTCAACAGAACAACGATTATCAGTAGTAAATTGACGAACCGATATCAGATTTTTCAAAAATTTGGACAAAGCAAAACATTCTTAAGAAGTAAAGATCGTAAAGGAGATGAGATGGAGGCATGCCCAATTGCAGTGGCAGGGATAAGAGAACCATTTCCGACTGTAATTAATGGTAAATCAGCCTGAGGAGTGAGTGTCGAGATTTTACCCGGTTGTGCCGTCATCAAGTGTGCGGTGGCACCTGTATCCATGTACCATCCCACATCAGTTGGAACGGCCAACGTATCGGTATTGAATGTGTGAGCCAACGTGGTGGGAATCAGCTCGGAATTGGGCGCCGTCGGTGATGACGGAGCTTGTGCGGCAACCGGATTGTGGGTGGAGATGTATGCCGACCGTGGATTTTGACCGAGCAGCCCAGAACATGGTTGTGGTGACGACGATGTCGGAGGTTGAGGATAAGTTGGCCACGGTGGAGACATAAACCACGTATTGGGCCATTGAGCTTGATTTGGCCATGATGGGGTCATGGGCCAAGGTGAATTATTGGGCCAGGCCCACAGAAGAGAAGGCCCATTGTTCCAGTTTCCTCATGGCCAATGAGCGCCGCCACGACCTCGATTGTTCCGACCACCACGATTCCCGCGAGCATTGCGATTTCCGTAATTCTACGGGTATTGTTCATGCGGTGCCGAGTTGTTGTTGGGCCGTGTCACGTGATTACTTGGTGACGCAGAGGAAGCCATGAGGATTTGCGGGGAGGAGGCGTTGTCGTGAGATGGAGATGAGATCTGACGCTTTGTGTTAAGCGGGCCTCATCTTTGAGCATCGAACGAGCTTCGCTGAACGTACATGCCGGAGAACGATGCTTAATAACATTGAGGATGTTATCAAATTTGGAGCTTACTCCGTTCAGGAGATGCATGACCAAAACCCTGTTTGTGATCGGAGAATTCACATTGGCAAGTAGATCGGAGAGGGTCTTCAACTTCTGACAGTAGTCATGGACAGAGAGGTCTCCGATCTGAAGCTGTCGTAGCTCGTTTTCAAGTTGGATTGCACGAGCTTCTTTGTTGTCGCGAAAAAGATTCTCGATCGTCGTCCAGAGTTCCGAGGCAGTGCACTTCGTCTTGAGCACCGATTTCAGAAGGGATTCGGAAATGGTTCCATAAATCCACATCTTGACTGTGCCATCTGTCTGGGATCAGACGGTGTCGGTTGGTCCAGTCGATGTTACGGAGCCATCGAGATGGCCGAGGACGTTGAAACTGTGGCAATGAGTCTCAAAAAGCTCACGCCATATATGGTAGTTCATCTGATTCATATCCAAGGTGATTGGAATATGAGCCTTAATCTGTGTAAGACTGAGAGATCGGTCACTGACAGGCGCAATTGCAGCCATTGTCTAAAGTTTAAGAAATAACGAAGAAAGAGAAGAGAAGAGAAGAAAGAGAAGACAAGAGATCATAAATGAAGAAAATAAAAACAAGAAAGAGAGCGGCGGAAGGTTTTCTTAGAAGGTATGCTTAGAAGGTATACTCTGATACCATGTTAGATTAGGGATAATTGGATTGATGATCCTTATCATTTCATTCACCAAAATATATAGGAAAGCTATACAATAGAGCCGTTAGAGACTATTAACATTGTTGCCTAATTTACAGAGAGGAATATATGCATTCCTTATTCTGATATTCTAATACAAGCATTGTTCGATATTAACCAGCCGCGAGTGTCGCGAAATCAATATAGTAAGGCTTGGGTTTTTAGTCCTGTTTGGTTATAGTGTTTGTATTTCTAACAAATAAAACTATTTTAATCATTTTTTTTTAAAGCAATAAATTGGTTCAAATTATTTTCAGAAATAACACCTCTCTCGTTTGATTCATAGGTGCATACAACACTATATCGAGATAACCGTCCAAGACTAACGACATTGTGGATGATGAGATGTATTACAGTGTTCTTTGGGTTAAATTTTGTGTAAGCATAATCAAACATATATACAATTATATATTGCAGTCAGAAAAACAACAAAACGGATGTTACAATGCGTTGTGCCAAGGAGGTTATGTCCAGATTCATAAACCAGTCTACCCTGGTATGGTTTATGATCAAGTCCCCGTCCATCTTTCTGTTACGCAAATGGAGCTTCTGAAGTTTACTTCGGTGGATTTGCAGGGACTACATTGCCTCACACACTAAGCCCACCAATGGGAACCGGAGGTTTTCCGACAAAAGATTTGACTCGGTCTAGTTTCATGAAACAGCTTAGATATTTTCTTTCGGATTATACACTGGAGGATATTAATTCCAACGAGATGGAGTATTATGTTGATGATCCTAAGTGTTATGGCGTAATGTTTCTTAAGTACGTAGATTTTAATTCGAGAGAGGCTCTTACGTTTGGAGGACCTGGTGGACGGTGTCGTTCTGATGGATGATTTCGTATATAATATTCCCTCCATTTCTAACTAGATAGATTATCTAGAGTTTTCTAAGTCTTTTTTCTGTAAGGGCATCTCCAACGTATTACCTCATATTTGACTCCAAAATGAAGAAATCTCAAAATGGAGTTGGCTTTTGCTCCAATATATTGCTTCATTTTTTACTTCAAAACCTTTTTATTAATTACTAAATATACATTGTGTATTTATATATATTACAAATTACCCCCATAATTTTTTTCCTTCCAAACTTTCACAATTTATTATAATTATTTAAATTAATTATGAAAATATTAATAATACATTATTACAAGGCTAAAAATAACAACATAAACTGCATTTTATTTTTAATTAGAACCATTTGAATATTTTCCCATGAAAAAATTCCTTTCTTTTTAAATTTATTATTAGCTTAAATAATTTAATTTCCTATTAAATATATGTTATTTGTATTTTAACGTAAAAATAAACATCAAAATAATTAATTATATATAAACTGAAATAATTTAAAACTTCAAGGACTGTTACATAATTTAAAAACTTCAACTCCAAAATGAAAATGAAAATGGGATCAACCTCAATTCGGGGAAAAATATGGCATTTTGCCATTTTGAGATTGAAAATAGGGTTGGGTTAGAGCAAAATTGACTCCAAATCAATAAATATGAAGTATGGGGTTGGGTTGGAGATGCTCTAATAGACATCAAATTTAGGTACTGAATTTATTTCTAAAATATATAGCAATAGACTACAGTTTATTATACCCTCAAAGTTGCAGTACATGTTTTAAAACAATCACATACTCCCTCTATTCCTTAATAGTTGATGTTTTAGAGTTTTCACATTGATTAATAAATAATTAATGTTTAATTTTAATGTATTAATTTTCCATTTTAAATAATTATTAACCAATAAAATTTATAGAATTCTCTTGAAGTTTGTATTTTTGTTACATTTATTAACAAAAAAAGTACATTTAATATTCTAAAATATCAAATAAAAAGAACAAAAACAAAATATAAAACATCAACTCTTAAACAGAGAAAATAATATATATATATATATACTAGGGGTGATCCGCGCTTCGCGCGAAATATTATATTGTTACTATTGATATCTTTAGATATTAAATTCCGTGTGTTTAAACATAAAAATAGTAATTAAATAAAATTAAGGTGTGCATAATTCTTGTCTCGTTTCGTTAAATAAAAATGAAGGTTTCACATAATTTTGGTATTGTTCCGTCTAGTCTTGTTTCTTTCCATCTCGTTACGCCTTGTCCCTTCCACACCGTTCCATTCGTTATTATCCCATTTTTCCTTATCCCGTTAATTTCCTTTCCGTTCTGTCTCGTCATATTTCTTCCGCTCTCGTTCCTCCCTGTTCTATTCATTCACATACCATTTTGCCATGTCCCTTTCATTTTCTTTCTGTTCTTCCTCGTCCTATTCCTTCATGTGTCGTTCCGCCTCATCCCATTCTTTCCCATCCCGTTTTGCCACGTCCCATTCATTTTCTTTACGTTCCTTCCCGTCATGTTTCTTTCTGTCTCATTCCGCCATGTCTCTTTCTGCACTGTCCCATTCATTCTCATCCCATGTTTCCTCATCCCGTTCATTTTCTTTCCATTATGCTTTGTCTTATTTCTTCTCGTCTCGTTCCTCTCCGTCATATTCACTCACATACCATTTTGCCTCGTCCCATTCATTTTCTTTCTGTTCTGCCTCATCCTGTTTCTTCCCGTCTTGTTCTGCGTCGTACCATTCTTTCCCATCCCGTTTTGCCTCATCCCATTCATTCTCATCCCATGTTTCCTCATCCCGTTCATTTTTTTTCCGTTATGCTTTGTCCTATTTCTTCCGGTCTCGTTTCTCTCCGTCATATTCACTCACATACCATTTTGCCTCATCCCATTCATTTTCTTTATGTCCTGCCTCGTCCTGTTTCTTCTCGTCTCGTTCCGCGTCGTTCCATTCTTTCCCATCCCGTTTTGCCTCGTCCCATTCATTTTCTTTCTGTTCTGATTCTTCCTGTTTTTTCCCATCTCGTTCTGCCTCGTTCTATTCATTCTCATCCCGTTTTGTGAATGAACTTACATGTCATGTGGATAAACTTTGTTTCTTTCGATTCCTAGAGCTTCAATATAGAGAAACCATCTAAACCAAAGGGATAAATCCAAGAAAGTTGACTATCATACTGGAGTCTTTGCAAGCAAAGTAAGCCTATTTATATGTAAAAGATTTCTTTCTTGTACAGTGTGTTTGTGGATTTTTCATTTGTTTTTAACTCTTTTTTACAGATCAATCCAGCAAAAGATGGAAGACCAGTTATGATTGAGCTTATTGATGCCAAAACCAAGGAACCCAAGGATATTTTGGAGGTAAACAAAAATGTCATACGAAAAATTTTTAAAGTACCTCTGTCCTTTTTACATCATTAACCTGAAATGATTAATGATGCTGCATAAGAGAATGACTGTGCTGCTGCTTAGTACCCATATCGGAGACTTAATCTCACGTCCTACCAGTTATGTGCTTTTAGTGGATCCCTAGAAATCTTTTCTCACTGTTTGGTTGTCACCACTCTCACTACGATATTGTGGCGCTTTTACTATTTCCGTGTGGACTTTCCACAAGCCGAAACATATAAGTTATTACATGCATACTTGCGTAGGTTAGGTAGGGCTTCTCATTTTCTAGAGTTTGATATGTTTCTCCCTCAAAAAAGAATAAGAAACAAAAATGAATTCTATCACAACTGACACTTTTATGCTTTTCTTTTTCTTTTCTCAAGGTGGACGCTGCTCTTATTGCTACAGGAAGAGCTCCATTCACCAATGGTCTTGGCCTGGAAAATGTAAAAGATGACAATAAACGGAATCCTCTTATCTTATATATAATTAGAGAGTTGCTCTTTCCATCTAGAGTGTCCACATCAGCATAAAAACATTAAATTGTATTTAAAATATTTAATAAATATATGACTATTCATATTTTTTTTACATTTATTCATATTTAATAAAAATATACAAATAAACTGATTAAATAATATAAAGTATGTGATAATTTGATCTATCAAAAACTTGGAATATAAAATAGAGTTGGAGTAAAGAAATATTTAACTTATATATTTACTTTTTTATTCAAAAGATTTATCCTACTTAAAAATATTAGAATGTGTTTACAAGTTAAAAAGTTGAATATAAATTAATTAAGACAATAGAAAGCTAATAAAACATTAGAGTTAGAGTTTGTTTTTCTAAACAAATAGAAATGGAATTTTATATGTAAATTTAATTGTAGTGAAAAACAAGAATATGTTTACAAATTTTAACCTTCAGTCAAATGCATAGATATATTTATAAATTTTAACCTTCAATCAAATACATATACATGTTTACCGTCTAATAGAAGTAAACATAATATTTTATAATTAACATGATAAAATTTTAGAAATAGAAAACTCAAGATAAAGCAGGGTGTTAATATCCTAATAAATTAAATAAAAACAAATTATTCATATTGTTTAGTGTTAGTGATTGAGTTAACTCAAAACATGAAAGTTAACACAAAACTATCATAATTCAAATCAACGAGTATAAATAAAATTAAACAGAAAACTATCGCAAACAACCCCGCGCTTGCGCGGGGCTTCAAATCTAGTGAATAAAAGAATTCACTTTTGGTTCTCCGAGTTTATATGGTTATGAAAGAGAAGTAACCTCGACGTTCTGCTTTCCGTACAGATCAATGTGGCGACGCAAAGAGGTTTTATACCGGTTGATTTGATATTTAATGATTTGATATTTAATGATTAAATATCGTTGTTGAGATACAAAAGATGATGTTGACGAATCATATTTAACTCTGATGCATGCTACTCCATAAAGCTCCATTCCCATTGAGCTGAGAAGAGAAGGTGAGATGATGCTGAAACCCTATACATAGATTTTATGTCATCCATAATCTCTTTCCTATTGTAGTAATATTTCGGGGAGACTCCCACAGTCTTTAAACACTTTGAGTTTGAGAGGATATACGCCAAGAATTGATTCTCTTCTCTTCCTCCTTCATAATCTTTCCACTCTAAAATCTCAAGAGTAGACAACAAGCATACCGGTACTGAACTCGGTTTGTTCCACGAAAGCGGGACAATATTGCAGTAATACTGAGAAATGAGTTTCAAAACATCAGTTTCCTTTAAATTGTTAAGCAAAACTTGTTTGAGAGGGAGAGGGAAGGTACTTACACAGTCGATCATAAGAACTTTCAGTACAGGAGAGTTATCAAGGATAAGCATAAGTGGTTCCAACCAAGACTTTGAGCCAAAAAGAGTCAGCTTAAACTCTATGAGCCATGTGAAGTTAATGCCGCTACAACACGCAATCTGCAAGGTAAAGTAATGATTAAAAATGAAGAGAGATTGGTATAAAAGACTGTGACAACACAAATAATTGAAAAATAAATAAATATATATATAGCAATGACATCACATGGAGAGAAGGATATTCAAAATGGTTACCTCGCTCAAAACCAAATGGAGAAACCTGACAGAGGAAAAAGATCTCAGAAACATGAAATTCGCGTGAAAACCAGCCGTATTAACGGCGTCGACCAACGCCACATCAAGGGCTGGCGTGTTCTGGATCGAGCGATAAACTCCTAAAAGATCATCGACCTTAAGGTAATGTAATCCAGGGGAGTCTATAACCAACGACATAGTAGAATCTTCATCGTATCCATTTTGAATGTATGTTAACTTCCTTAAAGAAGAAACTTTCACAACGAACCTTGTCACATTGTCACACTCCCCTCCCCCTCGGGTGATAGACAAATCTCTGAGAATAGGGCAACTTGCTAAAAGCCTAACAGGAGAATCTTGGTCTTTGTACATCACATATTTAAGGTTGAGCGATTGGAGGGACGGGAGGCACGCCGGAGAAGGAACATCGACAAGAATCTTGTTTGATAGAGTCAAGTTTACAAGCGTTTTGCAATTGTAAATACTCTTGAGCAAGCTGGTGGTGTCGGCGAAGTTGAAATCTATGACGAGTTTGGGCAACATCGTCCACAGAAAACGCCATCGTTTCGACAAAAGCATCGTGTTCGCTGCATCTTTTGTTGGGATTAGAGACAATATGTGTATCAGCAAATCGTTAGGCAAATCACTGATTACTTCTTCGTAAATTCTTTCCACACAGATCTCAGACATCTTGACAAAACAGATAAAGCTTCACGAAGAAGAAAGCCCTAAAAAAAAAAAGAAAAAAGGAAAGAAGAAAGCCCTAGTTTGATAATGTAAGAGATTTTTATTTAAAGGGAAACCTATACTTGAACAGAATCTATGTTAAAAGAAACTTTTATAGCTGATTTAATCACAATATCTTTTTGTTTTATATATAAATATATATTTCCGTTTTCTACCTATTACAAAGTCTTTTCAAAATCTACGTTTAGGAAAATTTCAACTTTACAAAATGCACAAAATTAAGAGGAACTGCCTCATATCACTAACAATTTGATTTAGAATGCATAAGTTTACCACTATTATGACAAAAGTAACTCATATGGGTAGTCAAGATACAATTCCCTTTCTTATGACCAAAGAAAAAAGCAATGAGAAATTTTTAAAAATACATCTCTTAGGGTATCAATTTTCAAAATTACATCTCTAATATGACAATTTTCAAAACTTTAATTTTCTAATTTTAATTTATAAGTTTGGGTTCACTCTTGATTAGAACTTAGATTTTGGGGTTAAATGTTGAAATTTAAAAATTCAAATTTAGATTTTAGGGTTTAGTGTATATTTTAGGGTTTACAGTTTAAAGTTCTTTTACTCAACGAAAAATATAGTTTTGAAAATGAATATCTTAAGATTTAAGTACAAAGTAGATTTCGTAAGTAAACTTCTTACAGGGTGAAATTGTCATCGTAGCAATCATTTTTGGAGCAGTTTTACACCTTTAAATATAAATGTTTTTGCGGGGTAGACCACCAAATGTTTTATCTATAACTATCAAATCATTAAATATCTGAAATGTATCAAGAAAATCCTTCTAAACTCCTTATATTTTATCATATTTCTCTCGTTATATTTTTTTCCGTCTCATCTTGTCCGATTTCGTCTCATTTTATCTCAAAATAGTTTTAAAAAATTAGTGTTCTTTATATAATATCCTGACACCAATATAAATTATATAATCTAATAAAAATAAATTTACTAAATAATAGTTTTTGTAGATCTATACATATACATAGTCTTTCTCTTTTTTTTTAAAATGATTTTTCATATTTTTGTTAAACTTATTATAGTGATGAATGCTAATTATTATGAGATTAAAATATTAAAAATAAAAAAAAAATATAATAAATTAAATAAAGTACTGACGTGCAGAAATAGAGAATTTAGAAGCAACCAGAATAGAGGAACATGAACTTTATATATATACTAGATTAAGGCCCGCGTATACGCGGGTATATTTTAAGATTTTATAATAAAAGCATGGAAAATATTAAACAAATTTGATCATTTTTAAACATAAAAAAAATATTGAAAACCTGATAAAAACTATTTAAATAAAATAAGATTGGTAATTGATGTGGAGTCAGGTTTTACCAAACTCCTAGACCTCTGCAAGTGCACAGATCGCGGAAGTATGGGTATCGAACACAAGGACTGGCTATTGAGTACACTTTGAAACTATGGATTTTGGATCAAGCTAAAACAAAAGTATGATTGAGGTTGTAATGGTGAACCGAACTAGCAAGTATAACGAGGTTGTAAATCAATAAAGGAAAAGCGCTAGGTCATAGGGGCTATCGCAGAGAAGCAAGCAATGATCAATGAAACAATGATAGATTTGATTAGGGATGTTGGGATATTAAGAACCGTCTAGAACACAGATCACGAATATAAAACCATTCCACTTTCGAGGCTCCGGCTCCTTTGTTAATCTACCTAGTCGCTAAACTTTTGGTATGTCCCTAGGTGATTAAATCAAGCTTTAGAATGAATAGGTTCTGATACAGTTCACTAGATATAGTAGATCAACTTTCGCAGTCTAAGAAACCTAGCTTGTCAAAGAATATGTCCGGCGAATGATACAACACTGTCGAGGCTCAAATCAACCTAAGATCGGATTACTAGATGCGCGGTAAAGCAATCAGCATTAGTTAAGTGCACAAGACGAGACAAAGACTCTAATATAATCCCTAGCTAATCATTGAAATCAAAGATCATGCAAGCAACTCATTGAATAGTAACCCTAGCAACCTAACTAGTGGATTACTCAGACATGATCAAAGCAAACACACATAGAGATGAAGAAAACATGATTGCAATAAAACTTAGAGTAGGAAATCGAAATACAAGGGCGGCTCTCTTTCACAAGAGGCTAAAAAGCTATATATATAGTGCTAGGTCTTTTAGAGGCGGCTTAGGGTTAAGCCGGGCTTGAAAATATGAAATCGGGCTTCAAAACGGGCTTCGGGTCGACCGCGGCGTTGGGACGGTCGGTCGGGACGATCGGCCGGAATCGGGTCTGGCCGAGTCGGACGATCGGAACGGTCGTGGCCGGACGGATTCGTGGTCGGCCGCTGTGGTCGGACGGATGAAGATTGGCCGATGAAATTCTCGGCCGGACGCGGGACGTAGTTTCCCGGCTCGGACGGCGCATCGGCCGTGGTACGCGAGACAGTTGCGCGGCCGCGAGGCTTGCTTCCCGGCTCGCGCGCTGGTCGTGCGCGGCGTGGCGAGTGGCGGCTTGGCCGACCGCGGGACTTTTCCCGGGTCGTGATGCGTGATCGGCCGACGGTTTGGAACTTTGGCCGAGACTTCAGACGGACGGATGTGATTTGGCCGAGCGGAAATTCGTTTCTCGGCCAGCCGGACTGCGCGGTTTGGGCGCTGATTCTCGATAGAGCCGTCTGGACAGTCTTCACTCTTTTGGTTGTAACTCCTTTTCTACTCATCCAAATGAGGCCGTTCCAGTTGGTTGGAAAGTTAACTCAATCAGAGCACGCAGGGAACTGGTCTTGATGAAATCCATTGAGTAGATCTTTTTCTGGGCCCTCTTAAAGTTGGTGCTTGTGCATGGAGCGGCTTGAAGTGCAAATCCTATGGTTTTGCTCCAAAATGCATCATTTCACCTGTTTAGACTCTAGACACTATAAACACAGTAAAACTACCTTTTTAGATAGAAAACCTGCCAAAAACCATTAGAAAACAATACTAAAACAGTATAAAAAGCATGTAAAATAGAGGTATATCAACTCCCCCAGACTTAGATCTTTGCTTGTCCCAAGCAAAAAGAATCTAAATCCGTGAAAGAGGTTTGAAAACGTGGAAACTCCCTTGCTCTTTTGAATATCCTGTGAAAGGTTCCTTTCCTGTATTCCACTATGAACATAGACAACATAAGGTTAGCTTCACATACACCCTGCAAGTTTAGCGAACAATACCAACCCAACTAGTCTCATCCAGCAATCCAAACTCTCTATTGCTAACCTCTTGCATAAATTTAAAGCGTGAATTCTTTATCAAGGGGACATCGATCAATTGAACTTGTTCTTACCCACTTGATCTTCTCCAAGATTGTCTTTAAGTGCAATGAGTTCTTTTCCTCTCTCTTTCTCACATCAGAACTTTGAAAGGTCAATTTCTCCCTACTTTTCTAGGGTATCATTTTATTTTTTCTATTGACCCTTCTTTCAACCACAGGATAAGTCTTTAGCTTGTTCCTTGTTTGACTAAGGTATTCCATAAGACATGAAGGTACAGACATATGCATTCCTCATGCTTACTTGTTGAGCTTTTTCTCATAAACATTACTTACCATTTGGGATGGGAGAGAGAGGAGAACTCTTTAAAGATTAGACAAATCTTATTGAAAATCAAGCAAGGAACTGTCGACATGTATGCCAACCCCCTTGACAAGAGTATTAAGATTGATTAAGGGTGAGGTTAACTCTAGATTGCTTGGTTACCTTAGAAATTTTGCTGAGCTAGCATGTCGATCCACTGTAAGAGCTTCTGTTAGGCTTGTGCCTTTAGCTGGTTTCTGCTCTAGGGTCATGGATTGTTAGCACAACACTCTCAATTCTCAAAGCAAGTTCATAACTTCCGGACTGGTTTTTGACTCAATAAAACTTTTTGAAAAACATGAAACAAAGTGAATAAAACATAAGAAAAGAAAGAAAAATGCATTAGTAACACAATAAAACTCCCCCCAGACTTAACTTGCACCGTCCCGGTGAAAGCAAATCACATTAAGGTGAGAGGTAATATTCAAAGTAAAAGAAAAATAAAGAAAATTCATTAAAATGAGATAGGGATAGAAAATGGAGATTTGTAAGTGTCCATTGCACTAAGTACCACTTGAGATGACTATGTGTGGCAGTGAGAAGAACTCTCTTCCTCATCTATGGGGTCATCGCCTTCTGAACCAAGCTCTGAGTCTAGTGAGAACTCACCAAGGTCAGGCTCATATGGCTCTCTAGCGGTGGAAGAAGGGCGAAAGAGTCTCTCCGGTGCAATGTGGCGAACTACACGAACTAGGCGTGAGATGAAGCGAGATTGGCATTCCACGATCTTCTCCAGCTTGTTACACGGTCTAGAGCTTGGTGCGCGGCCATGCCAGTAGTGAGAACATGGCGTTCTTGGTGGCGGCGTTGAGTCTTGACTGCATGCTGAAGTGTGCGATAGGTGAGCATGGGGAATGATGGTTTCTCACTTGATGGAACATAGAAGTCTTCCTCATTGGGCTGGAAAGTGACAACACCTGAGCGTAGGCTTGGGATGTCTTCATGTGGCAGCAAGACAAGGGAAGTGTTGGCTGGACCAATTGGAAACTCATAGCAAAACCGAGTTGGGTCTTTAGTCCAACGGTTTAGGAAGTGGATGTGCTGAAGGCATGGAGATCCAAAGGGGTTGGCTTGGGTAGTGGCTCATAGTTGGGAATGTCAATCCCCACATGTTGTACTATGGCCGTGATAAGCCTCCCAAAACGAACACAAAGCTTCTTGTTGCCTTCCAAGTCTTGAGCTAGCTTCCTCACATTGATGAATGTCTTGGCAAGTAAAAGACCAAGGTTGGCCTTGTACTCATGCTTGATGAATGGTGTGGTGAGGATGTAGAACTCATCAGTTGTGACCTTGTTGGCTTCTTGTTTGCATTGGAAAGTGGTGGAGATGAGGCGGTGCACATAGCGAATGGCTGGATGAGTGATTCTAGACACCTTTGATCTTGAAGGCAAGAATGGTTCATTGGCAAAGTGTGTCCAATCAGCAAAGGCAGCTTGTTTCCTCTTTGAGTTCTCCTTGAAGTCATGTGCTGTCTCATTGGGAAGTCCAAAGAGTTGGCATAGAGCTGAGATGGAGATGCGCCCATTGGCATCGCCTATCTTGAAGAGTAGGAGTCCATCACCAGCTGGTTGGTCTCCATTGTGGTTGGGAAAGGCAAGAGCTACTGTGGAGAGGAACTCCTTGGTGAGTTGTGAGTACTCACTACACTCTAGCTTGAAGAGCTTGCTCAAGCCTAGCTTCCTTATGTACCATGTGACATCATCTCTTATCTTGAGAAGGTCAAGGGTTTGGGTGTCCATCTTCACACAAGGTTCGATGTTCACCTTCTCCATTGCCTTCTTGCACTTTCTTGGGTCTTGGATTTGTTCTCCAACAAAGCTTACAAGTGCCCAATCATCTTCTCCTCTTCTTGGACTCTCCACATGTTCTTGATTGCATCAATGGAATGTGGTGAAGTTGGTATTGCTGCTCTTGCATTGGAGCTACTACTCCCTAGCTTGATTTGTTTCTTTGGTGGTTCCATGAATGGGTTCTTCTTCTTCTTCATACTCTCATTTCCTTTTGTCTTTGCCATTGGGTACCTACAAGAGCAAATTCTTGGGAAGAAATATGAGTTTGTGATTAATGCAAAAGAAGAATAAGCTAATTGAGTTGTAATAATGATATGGAATAATGGAACAACTCAAGGCTTAATCATGAATCAAAGAGACAAAATGGAAATTTCACTTTTTCAAAGTTAATTTTCGGATTTTACTGTTCATCCAAGATTATGGTGCTTAAAATCGAAATTTTAGCAAATCAAGAGAAATTGAGTTTCTAATCCAAGTAATCACTAGATAAACTAATGAATTGAAGTATGCCTAAGCAATTTCACCTTTGAATAAGGGGTTTGGAATGCCCAATAAGTTTTGTGAAAAACTATTCAATTGTGAAATTAAACTTCAAATAACTCTAAACCACCTAGGTTCCACCTAGCAAGTTCATTACAAGACTAATAAGATGTAATTTCAAGTTTAGACAAGAGTTTAGACCAAACAAGAAACTTATTGAAATTTTCGATCTTGCATAAACATGGATTAGAGTTAGAAGACATACCTTGTGTGTTGAAAAGTGAATAAGGTTGCAAGAGCAAGTAAATTCCAATTTAGAGTTATGAACAGTAAAAGTTTTGAAATCAAAACTCTTAGAGTTCCTCTAATGGAGTTTAGGGTTTTGGAGAAGAAAGAGAGGTTCTTGTTGTTTTCAAGGGAAAGGTAAAGTAAATAAATCTAAATCCTATTAATTTTCCTTTTCAAATTCGAATTTTGATTGAAAACCGGTTTAAGTTGGTTTAGGATTGGTTAAAACCGGTTTGAATTTAATGAAAAGGGGACTTACCTTGGCCGAGAAAAGTTTTGGGCCGATGGCCGATGGATTTGTCGCGGTCGAGCGATTTGGTCGGCCAAATTGCGAATGGACGAGAATTTCGGCCGAGGCCGATCGTTTGTTTCCCGGATCGACCGTACGGTCGGTCCGTTCCGATACAAAATCCGGCCGATCGCGGCCTGTTTCTTTCTGGTCGTGCGTGCTGCGCGACGTTTCTGTCGCGCGATATAATCCGGCCGAGCAAGCCGTTCCTTCCCGGCTCGACCGTGGTCGGCCCGATTGGAAATTTGCTCGGCCAAAATCACTTTTGCGCGTCCGCGGCCAATGTTTGGCGCGGATTGTGTTTTCACACCTTTTTCTCCTTCTATCCTATCTTAAAACAAAGAAAACACAAAAGCAAAACAAAAACTAAGAAATTTAAAGAAAGAAAAGTAAAAGTACCTCATGGGTTGCCTCCCATGCAGCGCTTGTTTTAAGTCTTTAGCTTGACTGTAAGGCTTGGCGCTCAGGAGAAGATGGAGACAAGAGGCATCTTTGATCCTCCAAGTCTTTTCTCCTTGCAATGAGTATCTGGTGGGTGATTCACAGCTGGATAGACAATCTCTCCATGAATGTCCCTTGGCACAAATGCCTTAGGAAAAAGCTTTAGAGTTCTTGTAACTTTCTCCTTGAATCCTTCTAGATTCTCATCAATAAGCTCCTTTGGGAATAGAAGCTTCATGTTGCGGCCAGACCTAGGTTTTCTAACCTTCTTCTTGGCTTGGCCTCATCTTCAATCTTGGATGATCCCTTGGGCGGTTTTGGTGTAGGGGCCTTAGTCTTACTCCTTGCTTGTTGGCAAGCTGCTTGGGCTTAGGAATGGGATCTTCCTTGATTGTATCTTCAGTTTCTCCTTCTTGGGGTGGCTTCAAAGTAACTTTCTCCTCTTGGACCATGTCAACAAAAGAGTTCTTTGTTGAACACATAGGGAAGAACATACCCTTGTTCACCTTGTTGAAAGAGATTCTTTGATTGGGGAAATCAAATATGGCACCCACAGTAGACAGGAAAGGGGTTCCAAATATGAGAGGTCTATGGCTACTCTCTCTCATTTCCACAATCTGAAATCGGTGGGATAGAGCAATTTCCAATCTGCACCATCACATTAGGCACAAAGCCATAGGGGTTTGTGAGAATGAATCAGCATAGTTGATGGAGATGGATGATGGCTGTATCTTGGTGAGGCCTATCTTGTCAGCTATCCTCTTAGACATGATGTTCACATTGGCTCCTGTGTCACACAAAGATTGCTCAAGAATGTTACCTTTGATGATACAAGGCACAACAAACTTTCCTGAGTTATCAGTCTTGGGGATAATCTTTGGGAAGAGTCTTCTCTTTCTAGCTCGATTGGACTCTCTCTCTGGGTAATCTCTTCAGGCCAAATCATGCAATCAACAGTAGGTTTTGAAAGCATCCATTCTGGAACTTGGTCTTCAAATCTTTCTTCTATGGCGGCTGAGTTGCAAAAGGACTTCTTGGATTCAGCTTCCTGTCTCTTAACAGCTTCCATAGTTTGACTTGAGTCTCTAGTTTCTTCACATGAGTGGCAACAGCATCATACTTGGTGTTGAGATTGCTGAACAAAGTGTCCATCTTCTCATACATCTCTTTGTGTTTCTCTTCTGGCCATCCATGATCTGTTGGAGGATTCCTTCAAATCTCCCACCTTGTTGGTTTGGAGGAGCTTGATTTGGTGAAGAAGCATATGGCTCCTTGGGCGGATATGATGATCTCTGCTCATACCCTTGCCTTGGCTGAAATTGACTTCCTTGAGATTGGTAAGGAGGTCTTTGTTGTTGTGGATACCTTGGAGGATACACTTGGTCTTGAGGATTCTCCACATTGGGGTTTCTATAAGACATGTTGGGGTTTGGGCGATAGCTTGGATTGTATCCCTTGTTCCCATAGTTTCCAATGTAGTTCACATCTTCTTCATTGGCTTCATTAGAGAAATCTCCCATGCATTCTCTTGATGGGTCTTCATTAGCATCACTCATCCCTTCTATTGCATTGATATGCTTGAGCTGTCCCTTAAGAACTTGAGCCATCATGTTCTTGAGTTCAGTCATTTGAAAAGAATCAGGGGAGCTAGTAGTGGTGCGGCTTGAGCGGTCATAATCAGGACAGTTGTTACAATCACTAGCTGCAAGATTCTCAATAAGAACCTTAGCTTCATCAACAGTCTTGGTCATGAAGTTTCCATTGCTTGCAGTGTCCAATGAAAGCTTGTACTTGTGGTCTATGCCACGATAGAAGATGTTCCATAGGTTTCCCTCATTGAAACCATGATTAGGGCAGTCCCTAATGTACTCCTTGAATCTTGCACTTCAAGTAGTCAGCAGAGACTCCATTGGATCTTGTAGTGCTGCAAATCTCTTCAAAGTTTTCTATGTGATCAAGAGGGTGCTCAGCTGGAAGGCCATTGAATTGGTTCTGTCTAACTGATGCTATGATCTGAGGCTTGATCTCATAGTCATTCCTAGCAGGAAGTGGTGGATGGATAGGGTTTCTATCCGTGAAGAAAGCATCGGCAGAGTCATAATCTCCGATTGTTGGGGCTCCGGCTTGAGGTTGCACATTACATCTCCAGCAGGGTCTTGTGGATTAAGAGGAGGAGGAGGCGGATCTCGTCCTTCTTCATTGGCGCGCGCCACTTCAGCGGCGTGAGCGCGAGCTGCTTCGTCGGCCATCTGTTGGGCTTTTTGCTTCTAAGTAGCTTCTCGAGCTTGTCTATCTCCGGATGTTCAACTAGGTTGTCCTTGTTGGACTTCCTAGTCATGCACCTGAAAAGATTCTAGGAAACAAACTAAATCAAAAGGGAAAAACAAATGCAAAAGCAAAAATCAAAGAAAAAGAAATCAAAACTAAAAATTCAAAAGCAAAAGAAAGCAAAACAGGGAAAGGTTCTAGACTAGATCCTAGTCGAGTTCCAAAGGTACTGCTGCAGTCCCCGGCAACGGCGCCAAAAACTTGATGTGGAGTCAGGTTTTACCAAACTCCTAGACCTCTGCAAGTGCACAGATCGCGGAAGTATGGGTATCGAACACAAGGACTGGCTATTGAGTACACTTTGAAACTATGGATTTTGGATCAAGCTAAAACAAAAGTATGATTGAGGTTGTAATGGTGAACCGAACTAGCAAGTATAACGAGGTTGTAAATCAATAAGGAAACGCTAGGTCATAGGGGCTAATCGCAGAGAAGCAAGCAATGATCAATGAAACAATGATAGATGAATTGATTAGGGATGTTGGGATATTAAGAACCGTCTAGAACACAGATCACGAATATAAAACCATTCCACTTTCGAGGCTCCGGCTCCTTTGTTAATCTACCTAGTCGCTAAACTTTTGGTATGTCCCTAGGTGATTAAATCAAGCTTTAGAATGAATAGGTTCTGATACAGTTCACTAGATTATAGTAGATCAACTTTCGCAGTCTAAGAAACCTAGCTTGTCAAAGAATATGTCCGGCGAATGATACAACACTGTCGAGGCTCAAATCAACCTAAGATCGGATTACTAGATGCGCGGTAAAGCAATCAGCATTAGTTAAGTGCACAAGACGAGACAAAGACTCTATATAATCCCTAGCTAATCATCGAAATCAAAGATCATGCAAGCAACTCATTGAATAGTAACCCTAGCAACCTAACTAGTGGATTACTCAGACATGATCAAAGCAAACACACATAGAGATGAAGAAAACATGATTGCAATAAAACTTAGAGTAGGAAATCGAAATACAAGGGCGGCTCTCTTTCACAAGAGGCTAAAAAGCTATATATATAGTGCTAGGTCTTTTAGAGGCGGCTTAGGGTTAAGCCGGGCTTGAAAATATGAAATCGGGCTTCAAAACGGGCTTCGGGTCGACCGCGGCGTTCGGACGGTCGGTCGGGACGATCGGCCGGAAATCGGGTCGTGGCCGGTCGATCGGAACGGTCGTGGCCGGACGGATGCGTGGTCGGCCGCTGTGGTCGGACGGATGAAGATTGGCCGATGAAATCTCGGCCGGACGCGGGACGTAGTTTCCCGGCTCGGACGGCGCATCGGCCGTGGTACGCGAGAAGGTTGCGCGGCCGCGAGGCTTGCTTCCCGGCTCGCGCGCTTTGGTCGTGCGCGGCGTGGAGTGGCGTGGCTTGGCCGACCGCGGGACTTTTTCCCGGGTCGTGATGCGTGATCGGCCGAACGGTTTTGAACTTTGGCCGAGACTTCAGACGGACGGATGTGATTTGGCCGAGCGTGAAACATCGTTTCTCGGCCAGCCGGACTGCGCGGTTTGGGCGCTGATTCTCGATAGAGCCGTCTGGACAGTCTTCACTCTTTTGGTTGTAACTCCTTTTCTACTCATCCAAATGAGGCCATTCCAGTTGCGTTGGAAAGTTAACTCAATCAGAGCACGCAGGGAACTGGTCTTGATGAAATCCATTGAGTAGATCTTTTTCTGGGCCCTCTTAAAGTTGGTGCTTGTGCATGGAGCGGCTTGAAGTGCAAATCCTATGGTTTTGCTCCAAAATGCATCATTTCACCTGTTTAGACTCTAGACACTATAAACACAGTAAAACTACCTTTTTAGATAGAAAACCTGCCAAAAACCATTAGAAAACAATACTAAAACAGTATAAAAAGCATGTAAAATAGAGGTATATCAATAATACTTTTACATTTTTATTGTAATTAATTTTTCTTTTGAATTTATGATATGATATGACAAAATGAATTAATTTGTTTTACTATTCTTTTTAGCCAATACAAAAGACTTAGACATTTCTAAATCTGATCAATTGATTAATTAATCAAATTTTAATTATTCCATTCAAGAGATTTTAATTGATGAAATATTTATTTCAATTTATGATATGATATGACAAAATGAATTAATTTTTTTAATTGATGAAAATTGAAAATCAAACTATTTAAACTTAGAATATCAATTATAATTTTTTAATATTAGTTAATTGTTTGATAATTATTTTGTTAGCTTTTTATTTATATGTTATCTTTCTCAATTTTGTTTTGCCTCACACCATTATAAATACTATTTACGAGGTGGTTGGCCCGCGCCTTGCGCAGGTATGAGATATTTTTGAAATAAAAAACATTTATAAAATAAAAATATTTGTTTTCTTAATTCAAACATCACAATAATTTTTTTAAACTGGCACAAAAAGAAAACTATTAAAATATGGTTATAAAAATATTCTAGATATTCAAATCAAACCAAATATTTTAGAAAACTTTTTTTCATTCTTCTACATAATTTTCTTCATTCATTTTGAGAAATACAAAAGTTTTCCCACTTCTTGTTTTCTTCTCCCTCTTATTCTTCTCCAATAATCTCATCTTTTTTTTTCACTCAATTTTATATTCGCTCTCATCATCTTTTTATTCTTCTAATTTTTGTTTTTTAATCTTTTCTTGTGTCTTCATATCCTCCAATTCACTATTTTTTTTTTTCTAACGCTTTTACAATTTTCCGGTTTTTTTGTTCCTCATTACCCCCCTCTCTCTATCTTTATCATCTTCGTCTTTTGTGAAATCATATTATTCTAGTTTTTATCTTTTAACTCTTTTTTATATTTTTTTTCTCTTCACATTTCATTTTTTCTTCTTTGATTTCTTTTTCCTCATGTTCGAGTTTTCTTATTTTTCTCCAAATTTCTCATCTTCTTTTTCACTATCTTCTTTTATTTTACCCGTATTTTTATTACTTCTTGTCTACGTCTTTTATTTCACCTATAGTCACCTATAGTTCAAAGATTTGTGAAATAGTTTTTATCTTTATATAGTCGAGATCTTTTGAAAATTGTATTGGTTTTATTATCTTTGGATTCTGGATTTGCTTTAATTGTTTTATTTTATTTTTATTTGTGAATGTAATTTAGACTATAAATTTATAATCAATGATTTTTAATTATGATATTCCACATAATATTCAAAATTTTAAAAATGCACCAAAAACTAAACCCTACACCTATCAATATAAACCCTACACCCTAAACCTAAACCCCCACAGTATAACACCCCCCCTAAACCCTACACCCATTAATATAAACCCTACATCCTAAACCCAAACTCCACAGTATAACACCACCCCCTCTCCCCCCTCTAAACAACAAACCCAAAACCAGTTTAGCCCGTTCACCAAATCTAAAGGTTCTCATTCTTTTTGTGTTTCTGAGTTACAAAAAAAATCTATTAGTAAATATAGTCTAAAAAAACTATTTGATAAGTAACCAACTAGAATTTCTTACCAGTTAGGCAGTCACCAAGTTCTTGGGACATCATTGTGTTCAAGTATGTCACGACCATGATGACAACTCTCGACCCGATTTTCCGACAATCATCACCAATCTCAACATATAATCAACGATTAATGTTTAGTGCAATAGCGTTGGGCCGAGTGCCTCTTGATTACCCGGCCGCCAAGAGGAATTTACAGCAGCCAACAATGAAGGTCTTCTCATCTCATCAATCTAAATCTAAATACCGTCTAACATAGTTAGGTTTACAAAAACATAATACTATTGATATAGTAATTAAACTTAGAAACACAACACAATCAAATCACCAGCCTGACTTATTATTTTGATAGTCCATGAAACCTAGAAATACAACACAATCAAATCGTCGGTCTAATAACAATCTCATAAAAAAACAAAAATGTATATCAACAAAGCAAAGATAAAACCCAGCCCTGAAATTACTGAAAAAAGTATCTACGAAATAAACAAAACTTTGAAACCTACAGAGCTAAAACATCTATAACTTTAATATATATATAAAGATTTTCAGCGTTAGGGTTTTCACTTTATATGCGGCCATCACCGACTCCATTTTTTTCTTATAGGGCTTTGTCTTGTGGTAGAGGTAATTTAAAATCAAAAAATATAAATAAAATAATTAATTAGTTTAATAAGATCATTAAATCATAAGAATAAATTGTTTAATTTGAATTAGATTATTTCTATAATATTAGATTTTTAATAAAAAAACGAATTATTAATAAAAGGAAATTTTGAAGATTTATTCAAGATTTTCATTAAGGGTAGTTATGTAATTCCGAGGCTGAGAGTTAACGTGGTGCCTCCATTCGAAATTCTGACTTCGCAAATAATAGTATGATTAGTATTTTTCCTTTTCGAAATGGATTTTTTTTCCTTTGCTTAATAGATGTAACAAAAGAATTTAAATTATTTGTTTCCTGTTTTTTTTATTACTTTTAATGGATATTATTTTTTTCATTTTAATTATTTGTTATCTGTTTTTCTAATTTTTAGTTAGTTTATACATATTAATTTTTTTTTTAATGACACATGTTACGATCTTCATACTTCGAGAATTTTTTATTTTTTTTCTAAAACAGATGTCGCAATTTTGTCAGTTATAAAAATCCTATGTATCACAAAACTTTCAAAAACATGATTTTTAAATTGGAGAAATATAATCAAAGGGATTTGATGAATTTGTTTTGATGAATTTATGATTGAGAAATCTTGACTCTCTTTTATAGGGTTCAAGTAACCTATTACATGCAGTTATAGGAAATTTAGTTTACATAACATATTCCATGTACAAATAGGATTTTATTTTATTACATTATTTTGATTTTATTATTTATTTGGATAATATTAATTTGATGAATGAGAAACCTTTCTCTATTAGGATATGACAAATATATTTTTATTTCTTTTAACTGTAATGGATTAATTTTTTAAAAACAATTTCCTTTATCTAAATTTTTTATTATTATTATTTGTTTCTAAGACATGTGTCACGATCTTAACGGACGTAATATTAAAAGTGACACATGTCGCGATCTTATAAATTATAAAAATCATATGTGTCGCAACCACGTCGTGCGCATCCAACTTTATATAATAAAAAATTGATGAACGGTTTCTATTTGGATATAACAAATATTATCTTTTCCTTTTTGATATAATATATTAAATTAAATTTTTTTTTTTAATTAACATTTTTAATTCTCTTTTTAAGATTATATCTTATTATATAAAGCTGGATGCGCACGACGTGGTTGCGACACGTAGGATTTTTATAAAATTCAGGATCGCGACATGTGTCACTTTTAAGTTTATGTCCGTTAAGATCGTGACACGTGTCTTAGAAAAAAAGAACTTAAAAAAAAAATTCCAGAAAAATGTTAATTAAAAAAACGAAATTTAATTTAATCTATTATATCAAAAAGGAAAAAATAATATTTGCCATATCCAAACAGAAAAAGGTTACTCATTCATCAATTTTTTATTATATAAAGTTGGATGCGCACGACGTGGTTGCGACACATAGATTTTTATAATTTATAAGATCGCGACATGTGTCACTTTTAATGTTACGTCCGTTAAGATCGTGACACATGTCTTAGAGAAAAAAAAATAATAATAATAAAAAATTTAGATAAAGGAATTTTTTAAAAAATAATCCATTACAGTTAAAAGAAATAAAAATATATTTGTCATATCCTAATAGAGAAAGGTTTCTCATTCATCAAATTAATATTATCCAAACAAATAATAAAATCAAAATAATGTAATAAATAAAATCCTATTTGTACATGGAATATGTTATGTAAACTAAATTTCCTATAACTGCATGTAATAGGTTACTTGAACCCCTATAAAAGAGAGTCAAGGTTTCTCAATCATAAATTCATCAAAGCAAATTCATCAAATCCCTTTGATTCTATTTCTCCAATTTAAAAATCATGTTTTTGAAAGTTTTGCGATACATAGGATTTTTATAACTGACAAAATTGCGACATGTGTTTTAGAAAAAAAAAATTATGGAAGTATGAAGATCGTAACATGTGTCATGGAATAAAAAAAAAAAATATATATAAGACTAACTAAAAATTAGAAAAACAGATAACAAATAATTAAAATGAAAAAAAATAATACATCCATTAAAAGTAATAAAAAAAAGGAAACAAATAATTTAAATTCTTTTGTTACATCTATTAAGAAAAGGAAAAAAAAACCATTTCGAAAAGGAAAAATACCAATATATAGTATTTATAATGGTCTGAGGCAAAAACAAAATTGAGAAAGAAAAAATATAAATAGAAAACTAACAAAATAATTATCAAGCAATTAACTAATATTAAAAAATTATAATTGATATTCTAATTTTAAATAGTTTGATTTTCAATTTTTGTTAGGTAAAAAAATTGAAATAAAGATTTCATCAATTAAAATCTCTTGAATGGAATAATAAAAGTTTGATTAATTAATCAGTTGATCAGATTTAGACATGTGTAAGTCTTTCTGTATTGGATAAAAATAATAGTAAAACAAATTAATTCATTTTGTCATATCATAAATTCAAAAGAAAAATCAATTACAATAAAAATGTAAAAGTATTACCAATCTTATTTTATTTAAATATTTTTATCGGGTTTTCAATATTATTTTGTTTACGTTTAAAAATGATCAAATTTTGTTTAATATTTTCCATGCTTTTATTATAAAATCTTAAAATATACCCGCGTATACGCGGGCCTTAATCTAGTCTTATTATATAAAGCTGGATGCACGCGACGTGGTTGCGACACGTAGATTTTTATAAAATTTAGGATTGCGACATGTGTCACTTTTAATGTTATGTCCGTTAAGATCGTGACATGTGTCTTAGAAAAAAAGGAAAAAAAATAATAATTAAAAAAATAGATAAAGGAAAAAAAACGAAATTTTAATCTTTTATAGTTAAAAGAAAAAAAAATTATATTTGTCATATCCTAATAGAAAAAGGTTTCCCATTCATCAAATTTATATTATCCAAACACATATAAGATTCAAATTAATGAAATAAATAAAATCCTATTAGTACATGAAATAGGTTAGGTAAACTAAATTTCCTATAACTGCATGGAATAAGTTACATGAACCCCTATAAAAAGAGAGTTAAAGTAGTCTTTTTTTCTCATTCACAAACTCATCAAAGCAAACAACATGATAGCAATACGCATGATTTTTATAACTCACAAAATTGCGATATGTGTTTATATTCCCATTATGAACAGGAAAAAAAAATATATAATAAGCTATTGCGATTCAATTATGTGCTTCTATCTTTTGTATAATCTTTTCTCTCATAAAAAATCATGTATTTAAAATTCATGGTATCAATGAATAATATTTAACTCTATATTAGTTGGATAGAAATCAAAATTATTGTCGATACATGTATCTAACTCTATATCGGTTGGATAGAAATCAAAATTATTGTCGTTACATGTATTTGATCCGGTGAAGACATGTTAATTGGAAAAATGTTAAACAGATATAAAAACTAGAAAAATAAAAACTAACTAATAATGAAAATGAAAATTTATAATGGTCTGAGTCAAAAACAAAATTGAGAAAGAAACAATATAAATAGAAAACTAACAAATTAATTATCAAGCAACTAACTTTTTTTTTGACATCATCAAGCAACTAACTAATATTAAGAAAATATAATGAACCGATATTCTAATTTTAAATAGTTTAATTTTCAATATTGTTAGGTAAAAAATTATTAAATAAAGATTTCATCAATTGAAATCTCTTGAATGGAATAATAAAGTTTTGTTGAATTAATTAATCAGTTGATCATATTTAGACATATATAAGTCTTTCTATATTGGATAAAAATAAAAATAAAACAAATTAATTCATTTTTCATATCATGAATTCAAAAAAAATATCAATTACAATAAAAACGTAAAAAGGTTACCGATCTTATTTTATTTAAATATTTTTATCGGGTTTTTAATATTATTCTGTTTACTTTAAAATGATCAAATTTGGTTTAATACTTTTCCATGATTTTAATCTAGTATATATATAATCCATTAAACCACATTTTTAACAAAATATTTGATTTCTCGGTCAAAACTTGTTTTTTTGGTTAGGGACAGGAAACAGATTTATAGTTTAAGGTTTAAAAAGGGATGTCTTAAAATAAACGATTTGGGGCCTAATAGATTATTATGAGAGAATCAGACTAAATTACCAAATCTAAAACAAAGCAAGGTCCTTCCTGACCCGGAGAAGAAATTTATAACCGAAGAGATCTTCAAAGTATCTTTAACACGTCGCCGTCTTCTTCCTCTGGAACAGACAATTCTCTTTCTCTCTCTCTCTCTCCCTCTTCTTCACAAACAAGTCATTGGGTGGTTTTTGTTTCTTGCCATCTTCTCGTATGTTCTTGGTTTGAATTCATATCATCTCCGATTCCCAATTATCGAATTTCCAAGTCTCATTGATTCCAAATTGACCCCAAAAATCGTCACTTTCAGTTTCTCTTATCCAGCCAATTTCAAAATCTAGTATTTTTTAGGGTTTCTCTCCGTTTTGTAGCCTTAACTCACATTCTTGGATGCAATTCAATTAATTTCCGCTTCCAATTTTCCAGATTTCCAATTTCCCAATTCTCATTGGTTTCAAGTCGAAATAAAAATCCAAACTTTCACTTTTTTCTCTTGCACCCAATTTGAAATTTCCATTAAAGTCTGCTTCTTTTGTGTTTCAGGTTTTGTAATTTGCTAAGAGACACAAAGCAAACAATGGTTGAGCGAGGGAAGAGAAGCCATAACCGTAGCAACAGAGACAAGAACAACAATGAGAACAACAGGAATCAAAAGAGAAGACTTTCTTACGAAACCGACGAAAAGACCAACAACAAAGACGACAACGTCGTCGTCTACAGAATCCTATGCCCAAGCGGAGTCATAGGAAGCGTGATAGGCAAAAGCGGCAAAGTCATAAACGTGATTAGGCAAGAAACGAGAGCTAGAATCAAAGTCGTTGATCCTTTTCCAGGCTGTAGCGAGAGAGTCATAACAATCTATTGCTCGGTCAAGGAGAAGAAAGACATTGTAGACATAGAGAAGAGCGAGTCCAACTACACGGAGCTCACTCCTCTCTGCTCTGCTCAAGAGGCTCTTCTTAAAGTCCATAGCACAATCGTTTCCTCTTTAGCCGCTGCTGCAGAGAACACTAAGATTGATAGAGATAACCTCAGAGAATGTAGAATCTTAGTTCCGTCTAGTCAGTGCTCTAACGTGATTGGTAAATCCGGTTCCACGATCAAGAAGATCAGAAGTAGAACCGGAGCTACCGTCAAGATCGTCTCTAAAGATGCCTCGGATCCTTCACACATTTGCGCCATGGATTTTGACAACATTGTTCTGGTTAGTACTCTCTTGAGATGTTCTTGATTCTTGATTCTTGATTCTTGATTCTTGATTCTTGATTCTTGATTCTTCTTTCTTGTTTCTTGTTTCTTGATTCTTGTAGATATCAGGCGAGGCTGAAGCTGTCAAGAGAGCACTGTTTGCGGTTTCGGCAATCATGTACAAATTCAGTCCTAGAGAGCAGATTCCGCTTGACACTAGTGTGCAAGAAGTGGCTGCAAGTATCATAATCCCTTCGGATCTTTCTGTCTATCCGCAAACCGGTTTATACCCTAACCAAGATCCTGTTTTCCAACAATCGTTTATCGGTTATGGAGAAACCGCTCCGGTTTTCTCTTCTTCTGCTTCTGCTGCTTCAGCTGTTCCAATGGTTCATCATCATGGTTTTGGAGGGTCTTCAAGATCAGGAGAGCTGGTTGTGAAAGTCTTGTGCTCTTCTGCTAACATCGGTCGTGTGATAGGGAAAGGAGGATCAACCATTAAGGGGATAAGGCAAACAAGTGGAGCTCATATTGAGGTTAACGACTCTAAAGCAAACCGTGATGAAGACGACTGTGTTATCATCACCGTCACTGCTAAAGAGGCTCCTGATGATTTGAAGTCTATGGCGGTTGAAGCTGTTCTCTTACTTCAAGAGCAGATTAATGATAAGGAAGAGGCAAAGGTTAAGATGCAGCTTCTTGTGCCTTCTAAGGTGATTGGATGTATTATAGGGAAGAGTGGCTCAATCATAAGCGAGATCAGGAAGAGGACTAACGCTGATATCTATATCTCGAAAGGGAGTCATAAGCCTAAGTGTGCTGATCCCAATGATGAGCTCGTTGAGGTTAATGATGATTCTTCATTCTTCAAGCTTTTTGTTGCTTTATTCTGTTCTTTTGATGTTTCTTCTGATAATGTTTTGTTTTTTAGATATCGGGTGATGTAGCTGAGGTGAGAGATGCTCTGATTCAGATTGTTTTGAGGCTTCGAGATGATGTTTTGAGAGATAGAGAGACTGGTTCTTCAAGAAACCAGCAACATCTTGCAAGATCTGAGAATAATAACAATAGCTTCTTCTCTTCGAGTAGTAGTATTAGTAACACTGGTCTTGCGCTTCCTCCTCCGTCTTTCATGTCTTCTGTTCCGCAAGTTGCTGCTTCTGTAGATTTCGATAGGAGACAAGACACCGGGACTATGCTTTCTTCTTTGAGCGGTGGTGGACTCTATGGTTATGGAAGCTTTCCGGTAACATCTCCTTCTTCTCGTCAAACAGAATCATCCCATTTCTCTATGTTTCTTGTAGCTCAGACTTAAGTTTTGTTCAACAAACAGGCGAGCAATAACAGTTATGGATCCAACTCTTCGTACTCATCCAATATATATGGAGGGTAAGTTTGCAACAACTATACCATATGTTCTTGTGATTTCTTTCAACTTATCTTGTCCATTCACAGATTGGCTCAGTCTACAACAATGGAGATTCGAATCCCTTCCAATGCGGTTGGTAAAGTAATGGGCAAAGGAGGAGGCAACTTGGATAACATAAGAAGGGTTTGTTCATGGATCTTTTGATTTTCCTTTCTTTCCTCATTGCTCTCTCACTGACCTAAGTAGCCTCTTCTTCTTCTCTCTTTCCAATATAACATTTTCACATGACCTGTGCCCTCTCTCTATCTCTTCAGATATCAGGAGCTATGATAGAAATTTCTGATTCCAAAAACTCCCACCATGGAGGTCGCACAGCTCTTGTTTCCGGAACGCCTGAACAGAAGCGTACCGCAGAGAACTTGTTCCAAGCTTTTATCATGTCCACTTGAATAGCTTTGCTCTGCCCTGAAATCCATTCCCCTCTAGCTCTCACTGGATTTCTTTCCTCCTTCCATCAAGCTCATGTTTGAATATGGTTTGGATCTGTCCATCAAAGTTTCGAGATCTTGACCCTCCATTCGGTAACTTTTGTTTCTCGTGTTAGACATCTTATACTCAAGTCTTTTCAAGACCATTCTTTCTCCCTTTCCTTGCGAGCTGTTGGCTCAATAAAATGCTTAATAAAACAAATCTTTCTTGTATCAAAGCTTTTGCCTATTCTCCTCATTTGGAAAATCGTGTCTGCTTTGTGCTTACCGCTTAGTCCAAACCAAAGCAGTCCTATCAGTTTATATGTTAGTTTACTGTCTCAGCTTCTTCATATGTGATGCCAAAGTATACTCATCACATCATAGTTGTTGATGTTTCTCTATAAATTTTCTGTAGTGGACAGCCATATTAGATATAGCATATAGTTAGCAGCCTAGTGATCTTCAAGAACAGTTAGTAGTCTTTGGATCTCTTCTCCTTGATGATTTGGAATTGTTTCTGCCTTTGATCTTGCTATCTGTTTGGTTTCCAGTAGAAGACTTTCTCGAACTTTAGTAATTGCTCATCTTCCCATTCTCTGCTAACATTGATTGATCTTCTTTGTCTCAAGCTCAGTTACCACTTTTGATTCCTTCTTGTCCCGGAACATTTCCAATCAACTCTGACCATCTATCTATCTGTCCATCTACTTAATCATTGATCTGACAGTGCTGCTTGTAGCATACTAATCAGTACCCGGAAACACTCAAGTGTTTTTGCTTTTTATCTTTTCCGGCTCCCACATACTAGGTTGTGCAACACCGAGAGCTTTTCTTAAGTGTTGTGCTGACATAACTAGGGTTGCTAGAAACCGGCAACGTTCTTCTTTTCTTTTCTTTTAGCTTTTGCGGTTTGATCATTTTTTATCAGACGAGCCTTTCATTTGGACACATGCTGGGATTTTTAGTGGGTGTGTAGGCAGTTTATTCATCCTTTGTCCGCTTAATCCAGACCAATCTTTACACAGCTCAAAAACAGGGGTTTCATGCATGAATTTAATGTATGTAGTTTTATTCTTGGCAATTATTTTGGTTTTCTGCATCTTCTTGATCAAAGGTCATTGAGGATAGTTTGATGTTGAACCATTTGGAAGTTTTTTGCAAAACTTTTATTCTATGGTCTATGTTGTAGTAGTTTACGTTACGCAACTAAAGTGCTTTTCCAATTTTCTAATAAAATGTTTAACGAAGTTCTATTCTTCGATTCTTGTTATTATCTCTACTGCATATCGTAGCACTATTTAAATTATAGCATGAAAAAAGAATTAGATGATGGGAATGTGGCAAGAATTGGAAAAGATTGATATTTTCACGATAATACGGTAAAAAGAAAACTGGATAGTAAACTGTAAATGTCCAGAACGAAACTGTTTTTGGTAACCAATTGTTTTTGTTGTTTTAAAATCTTGAAAATCGAAATTGGCACGAAACATCAATGTGGAATGACAAAACTGTTTGGCTTGGTTTGGTTTTAGCTTCAAGCTTCACACTACTACTACAAGCTTGATTAAACCAAAAACAAAATAAAAACCTTAATCGACTAAATTGATTTAAATCGCCGCAAAACTGTTTTGTTTGGTCACATTTTAGGGTCTGACTGGTTTAACCGCTGCGGTTGCGGTTGCGGGTGCGGGAGTTTGCGGAAGCGGGCGGTTGTGATTAGTAGCGTTATTAAGCGGTTTGTACGACTGGCATAACAATTGAAAATGGATGCGTTTGCGGGATACTTATGACTGGTTCACTTGCGGATGCAATAGCGGTTAAACAATAAATTAATAATATAAACACATTATATAATTATAAAAATATCAAAACTATATTATAATGAAAATTTTAAATTTATGGTTCAACATAATTAAAAATATTTTTTTATAAAGAATAATATGTGTATAATACTTACGTCTATCTTTTAATTTCTATAATTTAAATAAAAATGTGATTTTATTTTCAAAATATATATTTAATGTGAAAATTAAATTTATTTTACAATTTTATTTATTAGATATATATGTATTAGTATGAAAAGAATATTTATGAAGAGAATTTTGATTTGTAGAACTTATAAATATATAAGTATTATATGATTTTAATGAATATTGACTAAAAGTACTAATTTTTTATTTATATTGTGATTTTATTATCCAAATCTTATTTTTTAATAAATATTATTATTTATTTTCGGATTTTATATAAGTTTGTGTTTTTTTTTTTTTTTAATTATCCACCCGCAACCGCCCGCAACCGCAAACGCTTGCGGAAAGGAGCTTTTGATTTTCAGCGATATAGAGCGGTACAGAGTGGTATAGAGCGATTCAAAGCGGTTGTCGTGATTGTTATAAACCGCCGAAAACCGCTACGAACCGCAAACGCTGCGTTTGCGGGTGGTAGCGGGAGAACCAATCAGGCCCTTAGTATTGCCCCGAGAGAAACGATCATTTTCTTGGAAAACGAAACAAAAAAAACGTTTGCTTCCACCTCTGAAAGACTCTAATGGCAGCCACGAGACGGTTACTTCAGTGTGCATCCACGAGGATTTCATCCGCCGGAGCACGGCGTAACTATGCCGGTTTACCGCAATCGAACTCTAAAACTCCGTCTTCTTCTCAGCGATTGATAGAATTGGAATCCGATTTCAGCGCCCACAAGTAAAGTCTCTCTCTTTTCTCCTATGTTTTCCTTCTTCTCCGATTTGGATATATCGTCGAATGAATCACTTTTAGAATTCCGATTTTTCACCATTTTCAACTTCTGGGTTTTGCTCGTTTCATTAAAATTGACGTCTTTAAATTTGGGTTTTGCTTGTTTTGATGATCTTTGATTTCAAAATCTATTTTTTATTCTTGTCGAGCAATCTAATATTTTTTTTCTGGCTGCTTCATACTTTGATTCATATGTAAAAGAAGCAGAAAAGGCTGAGAGTGTTTGTGTGTTTTGTCTTGTTGTAATAAAATTTATCTTCTTGGTGCCCAAAATTCAGTTACCATCCTGTTCCGGTTGTGTTCTCTCGCGCAAATGGATCAACCATATGGGACCCTGAAGGAAAGCGATACATCGATTTTCTTGCAGCTTACTCTGCTGTGAACCAGGTAAAAACAATTGTTACATTCATTTGTTTGTGTTTTTCCATGCGTAAAAATTTGGATGTTAAAAAGTTTGTTGTATATATATCGTTTGCAGGGACATTGCCATCCAAAGATCATCAAGGCACTGCAAGAACAAGTGGAGAAGCTCACTCTAAGCTCACGAGCATTCTACAACGACAAATTCCCGGTTTTCGCACAGCGTCTCACCAACATGTTCGGTTACGAGATGGTGCTTCCTATGAACACCGGTGCTGAAGGTGTCGAAACCGCTTTGAAACTAGCGAGAAAATGGGGTCACGAGAAGAAAAACATCCCCAAAGATGAGGTTTAACAAATTTGTTTTCAGTTTTTGTTTGCATGAACACATTAAAGATTTGGGAAATGATTTTATCTTCAGGCTATTATCGTCTCTTGTTGTGGCTGCTTTCATGGTCGTACGTTAGCAGTTATCTCCATGAGTTGTGACAACGATGCTACTCGTGGATTCGGGCCATTGTTGCCCGGTAATCTCAAAGTTGATTTTGGTGACGCTGATTCGCTTGAGAAGGTCTTTAAAGGTAATGAAAAATGTTTCACTCTTCAACTTTTTTTTTTATCAGAGTGAGTTTCATGCTTTTGACCTCATGTTGATGTGATTGGTGATTGCAGAGAAAGGAGATAAAATCGCGGGGTTTCTTTTCGAGCCTATTCAAGGCGAAGCTGGAGTAAGTTTTTCTTTCTTTTTGAGCTTAGGTTTCTTCTTCATACTGGTTTAATGGTTTTTGTTTACAAATGGCTTTTGGTTTTTAGGTTATTATTCCTCCGGATGGTTATTTGAAAACTGTTAGAGAACTCTGCACGAAGTACAACGTTTTGATGATAGCTGATGAAGTACAAAGCGGTCTTGCGAGATCTGGAAAGATGTTAGCTTGTGACTGGGAAGATATCCGTCCTGACATGGTGGTATGTTGTTGTTCTTGAATCTTGAAACTTGAATCTTGAATCTTGAATGTTAAATCTTGAATCTTAAAAGTTGAATCTGTTTTGAAGATTCTTGGGAAAGCATTAGGTGGAGGAGTGATTCCAGTGAGTGCAGTGCTTGCTGATAAAGATGTGATGCTTCATATCAAACCTGGTCAACACGGCAGGTTGGTTTGCATAAACGTTAACTCTTCGTCTTGTTAACCGAAATTAGCATTTCAAAAAGTGGTTTTGGTTGCGACTAAGCTTGCTCCTTGTGTTTGTGAAAATCAGCACATTTGGTGGGAACCCTTTAGCTAGTGCTGTAGCTATGGCTTCTCTAGATGTTATCGAGGAAGAGAAACTCGTCGAAAGGTACCGTTTTTTACTTTTGTTTTGGTTGCAAACGAGTGAAGATTGTTCAGTTCTTGTTTCTTTTGGATTAATCTTTAGATCAGCGAGTCTTGGAGAGGAGCTGAGGATTCAACTGAATGAAATCAAGAAACAGTTTCCGAGTTACATAAAGGAAGTACGAGGAAGAGGATTGTTCAATGCGGTTGAGTTCAATAGCGAAAGCTTATCTCCAGTTTCAGCTTACGATATATGCTTGAGCTTGAAGGACAGAGGAGTGTTGGCTAAACCGACTCACAACACCATTGTCCGGTTAACTCCACCACTCTCCATAAGGTAAATTATTATAAACAAGTGAACCGGTATGGTTAAGTGAGCGGTTTATCATTGGTTTATCAATTTTTGTTTGTTTTGCTAGCTCTGATGAACTCCGACAAGGCTCTAAGGCTCTTCACGATGTTCTTGAAGTCGATCTTCCAAATCTGCGGAAAATCAATGCCGGTAAAGCCCCGGTTTCTCATTTAACCGAGTGTGATCGCTGCGGAAGAAACCTCTATGCTTGAACCGGGATCTGAACTTGATTAGGTTCTGATTTCATTTGATTGTTTGAATTGTTATTTGTTAAGACCACTACACTGGTTCGCTATAGAAATTATGTAATACGTATAAGGCCGAACCGGATTGTACTGAGCTCGGTAGAAATAATTCTGGTTTGGGATTGAATAAACCCGATTTGGCTGTCTGCACAATTATCAGTTTAGCAAATTTATCAGTACTTTTAATTATAAATCTTTATTTCATATTTAAAAGTTAATTATATATTTTTAGCTTTTTTTAGATAGTAACGAAAGTCTTATATTTGCATAAGAACATTTTAAAAAATCAAATTTCCACTTTATTGTCTGTTTTTCATAAATGTTACATCAATATCAATATTTATGGATGTAGTAGAATGTGTGTATAATGTGCGTATGGGAGTAGTAGTGTATGTGTACACGTATGTGTGGTATATTAGTGTATATATGTACGCAGTACACGTGTTGGCATGTGTATGTTGATATTGATATGGGACATGAAATCATGACTAAACAGATGCTTGTCTTCTATAATTGCGCAACTCAAACATGTTGAGGCGTGAAACCCCATATGATTGGTTGGCTCTCCAATTTTCAATTACATTATCGTAACCTTAATAATTTTAAATTAGTCTTTAAATTATCATTGTTTAGAGGGAAGGAACTTAGATGTGTTCCTATATAATTTCTCTTCTTCAAAAACAGACCTATGACTATGAAACCAGGAAGAAGTTATGGATTTCTCTACGTGATACGTTCTCATCGTTCAACCTCTTTTCACGGCCTTGGATGGTTAATGGGGATTTCAATGAGATATTGTTGCCAACTGAAACTTCAAATCTATATATCTTCAGAACTTCTCTGGCAATGAAAAACTTTGGAGATTGTCTCACTGATGTAGATCTTTTTGACCTTCCGTTCCAAGGCCCGACGTTCACTTGGACAAATAACCAACCCACCAGTCCCATTGGAAAGAAGATAGATAGATGCTTGGTCAATGGAAACTGGATACAACTGTTTCCTACTAGTCATTGCTCCTTCGAGGCTCCCTTGTTCTCGGATCACACTCCCTGTGTTATTAATTTGGTCACTAAGCCACCAGATTATGGAACCAGGTCTTTCAGGTTCTATAATATGATACTAAAGCACCCATCCTTTCATGAAACAGTAAAAGAGGCTTGGCAGAGTTCAGGTGTTCCGATTTCAACTCTTAGTGCTCTCTGTCATAAGCTGATAGGTTTAAAAAGGCCCATTAAATCTATGTGTAAGGAAAAATATAGCGGGATTGAAAAGAGAGTCTTGGAGGCAGAGGAGCAACTAAAATCTATTCAACTAGCTTCCCTTCAAGATCCCTCGCCGTCAAACATTCACCTTGAAAAATTATCAAAGGAAAATTGGCTTTTTCTTCGTCAGGCAGAAGAGAGTTTCTTCAGGCAACATTCCCGGGTAAAGTGGTTGGCAGAAAGAGATTTCAATATCTCTTTTTTCCACAAGGTCACCAAATTCAGGAACGCTTACAACTCGGTCAAATACCTTACACGGCCTGATGGGTCTCGAGCTGACATGGCACAAGAGGTCCATGAGCATGCGGTTAGCTACTTTGAGGATATCATGACAAATGTTCGAGGGTCGTTCTCCCCAGATCTCCCGGAGTTCCTGGAGCATCTACCTCTACCGGTTTGCTCTTCATTTCATTCTTTATTACTATCTGACGCCTGCACGGAAGATAAGATAAAGAAATCTCTGTCCGGAATGCCAAGAAACAAAACTCCGGGACCTGATGGGTTCCCTGCTGAGTTCTTCAGAGCTACTTGGAGTTTTATGGGCCCGGAGATCTTATTGGCCATAAAAACCTTCTTTGAAGCTCCTTTCATGCCTAAAGCTCTGAATTCTACTTCTTTGGTGTTGTTACAGAAAAGGCCAGGAGCGGATCAACTCAAGGATTATAGGCCGATCTCGTGCCTTAACACATTGTACAAACTAATTACTCGGCTCCTTTGCTGATAAGTTAAAGTTAGTCCTGCCTGAGTTGATTGTGCCAAATCAGACGGTATTTGTCAAAGACAGACTCTTGATGGAAAATGTCTTGATGGCTTCTGAGGTGATAAAAGGTTACCATAAACCCAGTCTGTCTGCTAGGATCACACTGAAAGTATACATATCAAAGGCATTCGATTCTGTAAGGTGGGATTTCATTCTCAGTGTCCTGCAGGCTCACAATGTGCCCGAAGATTTTTTTAAAGCAGTTAGGGCTTGTATCTGCTCTCCCGCCTTCTCTGTGAGTATCAATGGAAGAACTTCCGGTTACTATAAAGGCAAAACAGGGATCAGGGAAGGAGATCCTCTTTCTCCTTCTCTGTTTGTCATGGTGATGAATGTCATGTCTCTTATGCTGAATAAAGCTGCGAAAGCAAGAGTTTTTAGGTTTCATTCGGGCTGTGAGGATCAAGAGCTTACTCATCTATCCTTTGCTGATGATTTACTAATCTTTCTGGATGGCTCTCTGAATTCTGTACAAGGAGTCTTCTCGGTCCTGAAAAAATTTGAGGAACTCTCTGGTTTGGCTGTCAATATTTCAAAAACAAGCATGTTTTGCTCTGGGGTTCACCAGGTGGTTTTGGCTGATATAAAGTCTTATGTGGGTCTCTCACCAAGCTCTCTCCCAATTCGTTATCTTGGATTGCCTTTGTGCACAAGAAAGTTATCTGTCGCTGACTCTGATCCTTTGATTACTCAAATCAGAAATAAGCTAAACAGCTGGACCCATCGGACCTTAAGCCTGGCAGACAGATATACTCTCTTATCTATGGTGATCCCTGGCATAGTAGGCTTCTGGAGCTCAGCGTTTTTCCTACCCAAGGCAGTAATCAGACGGATTAACTCCCTTTCTAGTGCTTTCTTCTGGCACGGGTCTACTGATTCAGCAAAGGGTGCTAAGGTGGCGTGGTATGATTTATCTTTCCCCAAGAAAGAGGGAGGACTGGGTCTTAGAAGTTTGAGAAGTTGGAGTGAAACTTGTGGCCTTAAACTAATTTGGATGCTCTTCTTCAGAGCAGGCTCAATTTGGGTAGCCTGGATCAGAGAAAAGTATCTCTCTCACTCTCCATTATGGGCCCTAAATGGAAAAAATTACGAGTTTTCTTGGATGTTCCGTCAGTTGTTGAAGCTCAGAGGTAAAGCTTTCCCTCTCCTTCGTACTCTGATTGGAAACGGTGAGGACACCTTTTTCTGGTGGGATCCGTGGACGCCGTATGGTCCTCTGATCCACTATATTGGCTGTGACGGACCTTCTTTGATGGGCATTCCCTTATTCTCAACAGTCAGTGACCTTATTACACCTCAAGGGTGGCGTCTTCCGTCGGCAAGGTCGGACAAGCAACTTAATCTTATGGCGTTTATCACTACTATGCAGCTTTCGTTGTCAAATGATCAAATGGTTTGGGTTATTGATGGTGTAATCCAGAAAGATTTCTCCTCTAGTCAAGTTTGGAATTTTATCAGAGATTCCAAACCGGAGGTATCTTGGGCCAATCTAATTTGGCATAAAGCAAGGATCCCAAAGCATGCTTTCTCTGCGTGGTTTTTTGTTCTGAACCGAAACCCAACGCTTGATAGGATCACAAGATGGGGTTGTGATGTAGAACAAACATGCCTTTTATGTGGGAACTCAGAGGAATCGAGAAACCACTTGTTCTTCAGTTGCATTTTCTCGTTTCAAGTGTGGCAAGAGGTACTTCTTAAATTGAGCCTTGTATCTCCTCCTTCTTCTTGGGAGGCTGTTCTGCTATGGCTTCCGGTGGCTTCTTCCAACAAGGTGATTTCTCAAGCTTTACTTCTAGCATAGCAAGTTTGTATCTATGAAATTTGGGGTGAGCGGAACCGTAGATTTCACCTTGGAGTTATTTTCCCGGCGAGGAAGATTATTCGGCTTGTTCTCTCTATAGTACAAGATCGAGCCCAAAGCTTGGTGCTTCAGAATCTGAAATGGCTTGACTTCTTGGCGTGTTGGACCTAACTCTTGTTTAGGTATCTTCTCTTTTCTTTTGGGCTTTGGCCTTTTTGTTATTTAGCTTTGTATTAAAAACTTTCTAGATGAATGGTTTCATCTAGGTTCCCTTGTAAACTCTATTATAAATTCAAACAAGCCTTTTAACCAAAAAAAAAATTTGGAGAGCAAGACGAACCAAAGTTTCTCTAGGGATGGCCCTGATGACACTGCGCAAAAACAAAAATGACTAATCTAGTCAGTAGTGCATTATGCATTCCTTATTCATTTCAAGTTATTGTGTTATATTATAATGAAGTTCGGTAGAATATGCATGCAAAGGTGGAATAAATCAAGTTTCTGATGGTATAACCGATTGCATAAGAAACATATTTAAATTGTCTGAAGTACAATTTGTTCCTTAGAGAAATTCAAGATTGTTTTCCCAAATCATCAACAACACACTTTATAAAAAATAAAACAAAACCATCAACAACACATAAAATTCCATCAACAACACATAAAATTAAATTGTATATTTTTTTTTGGGTGGAATGCTTGGAGTTGCTCTTAGGACAATACAAATTCATAGCATTCTCCACAATGACCTTACGATTTGTCACGTGGTACAGCTACTATCTCCAATTTCGTTGCTACTATTTTATATATAGTTTTTTTAATATCAAATTGATAATAAATACACCTATAACAATAGTAAAATTAAAATAAAAATAAATATATAATTGTCACATCAGTTGTCCAAAAACAAAAATCGTCACACCAATTATTTGTTGATTGAATAGAAGAACGAAGAAACCTCCATACATATGCTTTTTCCCTCTCCACGCGTCACACGCGCTCATGTTTTCTTCACGCGCTTAAAGTAAAGACAAAAAACCTCGTGGATCTATCTCCTCCCACCATTTTCTTCTTCTTCTCCTCTCCCTCTAGAAACCTCGCCATGCGTTATCTTCTCTGAAGCTCAGATTCTGATTCGAAATCCTTCTCCGAAACCCTAGAATTCTCCCCCAAATCGAAGATCCAATCAAATTCCCAATCCCATGGCTGTAATTCCTCGCTCAGATCCACCTTCACGGATCCACCCCGAACCACAAACCCTAGAAATCGACCACTTCGATCGTCTCCCAGACTCGATCCTCCTCCTAGTCTTCAACAGAATCGGCGACGTGAAAGCGCTCGGCCGATGCTGCGTCGTCTCCCGGAGATTCCATTCCCTCGTTCCTCAGGTCGAGAACGTCGTCGTCCGCGTTGATTGCGTGATCTCCGACGACGATTCTTCTTCTCTCTCTTCAATCAAATCCCGCTCCGCCGCGTCGATCTCAGCCGGATCGTTCTCCGCCATATTTCGCCTCGTCGTCGGCGGCATTGTGAAGCCGTTACAGGCTCTAGGACAATTCCTCGGCACGAAGAGGTCGTGTGGCTCAGCTTCTTCTTCTTCTTCTCTGTCTATCAGTGGAGACGAAGGCGGAGAGATGGAACAAGGCGGCGTGACTCACCATTCTCCGACGCAGGTTTTGAAAAACTTCGACGAGATTCGTTACTTGCGAATCGAGCTACCTAGCGGCGAGCTCGGGATAGACGACGGAGTTCTGTTGAAATGGAGAGCACAATTCGGCTCAACCTTAGACAACTGCGTGATTCTCGGCGCATCCTCGGTGATCCAACCGAGCCAAATGCGAATCTCTCAAGGCTTAGACACTACAACCACCGTTGAACCTTCCGGCGCCGCCGACGACAATGGGAGCATACCGGAATCTTTTTACACAAATGGAGGTCTAAAGCTGCGTGTTGTATGGACGATCAGCTCCTTGATCGCCGCATCAGCACGGCACTACTTGCTACAGCCAATAATCGCAGAGCACAAGACGCTCAACAATTTAGTCCTCACTGATTCCGATGGGCAAGGTGTGCTTTGCATGAACAGAGACCAGCTCGAGGAGCTGAGAGTGAAGCCATTGTCAGCTTCATCGGCTTCTAAGAGGACTCTTGTGCCTGCTCTGAACATGAGGCTATGGTACGCTCCGACCTTGGAATTGCCTGATGGAACTGTGTTAAAGGGTGCGACTTTAGTGGCGATAAGGCCGAGCGAGTCGTCGAAGAAGGAAGTTTCTGATATCTCTTGGGTATCTTCGGCTTTCGAGGAGCCGTATGAGACAGCTGCTAAAATGCTGGTTAAGAGAAGGACATACTGTCTTGAAATGAACTCGTTCTAGCTTGGAGTCTTCAAGTCGAATCTGAGGTAAGCTTATAAGATGGATTTAGGCGCTACTAATCACAGCTTAAACAACTGAAAATGTCACTATTCCTCACTGCATTGCATTTGATGATCATAGATTGGAATGAAAATTGGGAATTTGTGTTATATTCACAACGTTCTTTTGCTATTTTTGAAAAGCAGAGAACTTTCCTTATTGTTATGATTTTTTTGTTTGTTAGGGAAGACAATTGCGATTGAGGATGTTGCGTATGAAAGCTATAATGGGGAAGCAGAGAAGGAAATAAAATCAAGTTTTGATGATGAATCCAGGAATCCAGTTTTGCTGCCTACTGCATCTGCTAGCTATAATTTTGTACTTTGAAGCATATGCCTTTGGAGGATCTCACGATCATATATCAACAAATTGCTTTTATCATGTAAGAGCTTCTTTTTTTTTATGTTTTTTTTGTTAGTCAGTTGCAAAGTCTTCAGCTTTTGCTTGCTCTTCTCTCTTTATGTGAATATTGTAGGTACGAGAAATACATTTACTTATTCCCACCCATGTCATTATAAAAGTTATTTAAGAAAAAGAAAATTTTAATTTTCTCTTTTCTGATCTTCTATTGGTTCCAATTGTTGAATGACCTATTATAGCTTTTGTTAAAATTTTAGTAGAATGCAAATTGGTTGAACATAATACTGAGTGATGTATAATACTCTGATGAATTGTAAACTCATTTTGGTTAATATGGAACACCAATCCTAATCCTAATTGTTGATTAGAAGTATAATAAGATGCAACTTGGAATGAAGTGATGTTGAATGTTTCATCATAACTGAACATGTCAATTGCCATTTGTCTAATGTATTGTCATGTGCTAAGGTGCTGAAATGTACATTATCTCACCGGACATAAGTAGCTTACATAAGCATAAACCTTATCCTAAGCTATGGATAATGTCGAAGCTGGACCCACGTAATGTAGCCATGAGGGAATTGGACAAGCCTATAATGATTATGTCTAATCTTTGTTGGATCAACTCCTTAAACTTCTCACTTTGTCTGAAAATGAGATTAATTTTTTGCAGACTGTAATGAATGCTCGAACGGAAAATGATAGGTTAGGAAAACATCCAATTAAATTTAACAGTGTTTTTTCGCATCAAGAAAATGATATACAGTATAACGATTATGCATTTTTGTAAGTTTGTAAACTTCCCGCAAGCAATTGTGCGTGAGGTTTGTCTAAACCCTAAGAATCGCAAAATGTCTTAAAAAAAACAGTAACTTGTTCTAAAAGTTTTCTCTTTTGTGGGGGAAGAAACAGCAACGAAGGACGTTTATTCAAATGTGAACGATTCTAAAAGTAGTGGACAATACGGGAGCAAAAAAAGTCAAGTGTATCAAAGCTTTGACGAGAAAGAAAGGAGCAACACTCGGCGATACAATAGTTGTGTCGGTGAAAGAAGCAATGCCTAACGCTAGAGTTAAGAAAGGATCGGTTGTGTATGGTGTGGTTGTGCGAGCTGCAATGCAGAAAAGTCGTGTCGATGGAAGCCAGATTAAGTTTGATTGGAATGGGGTTGTTCTTCTTTATACTTTTCCGCGGGCTATTGAAATGAATATCAGAAATTCTGAGAGGCGGCAGATCTTTGGACCCGTTTGGCTCGAGAGTGTTTGGTCCTATCGCGCACGATATTCGCAAGAACAAACATCTCAAGATCCTTGCTTTGAGTCGACGTACTGTTGAGATACATAACCATAAGCAGTACGTCGACTAAAGCAATGTTTTTAAAACCGGACCGGTGACCGAACCGTAAAAGTTTTGGGTCAGGGGTCAACTCGGTTCGACCCGGTTCAACCTGGTTTGATTTGGGAGTTGTTGAATCTGTTATCTATATACTGGAATATTATTATACTCTGCAAATAAGTTTATGGAACGAATGTGTTTCTACATTTCATTAGCCATTATCATGATGAAAAAAAAATATAGTACAATATAAGAGAGAACTAGAGAAGTGAAATTCAGAAGCAATACCTTGACTTATCCAACGGCTGAGAGTTGCAGAGAGACTTCAAAAATAGAAAATAAACAAAAAAAACCCTAACATTGCATAAAATTTAGTGTTAAAATGTTAAACCGGGGTTAATCCGGTTCTTTGGTTCACCGGTTTCCGGTTTTTAGCCGGTTTAATGCGGGTTGATCTCCGGTCCAATTATCTCCGGTTTTCTATATCAACCCAACCCGCTCCTGGTGCCGGTTCGTGGTCGAACCCGGTCGAACCCCCAGTCCGGTCCGGGTTTAAAAACACTGACTCAAATCAAATCAAATAGTATACCCAATGTTGTTATCTTGATGATCGATACATATTGCCAAATGCAGCTTGAAATTTCTTTGCCTGCTCTAGAAAATTTGGTTCGGTTAAAACCGAGATGGTGTTACAATAAAAGATAATAGTCCTCACTCTTAATATTCTACTAGTTGAATCGTAAAAGTAAATATAATTAACCAAAAAAACTAAAAAACTCAAGCTGCCTTTATTTTTAGGTGGTTTGTATTGCAAACTACTAAAAACGGTTCTAATCGTCGTGCAAACCCATCACATCAAACAATAACAAACTCACAATGAAGCGTTCAGAATCACCTGTGGACTTCGGTCTTCCGACTATATAATCGGGCCCGAGCACCATCTTACAAAAAATAAACAGAAAGAAAAAGTTATGAATTTTGCGAGTAAAAGATTAGCATTGAATAATTGCAACATAAATGTGATTTTAGTAGGTCCTGGGTCAGGTCATCGTAATGAACTAATGATGTTATCAAGCTGGGTGTCGTTTTCTGATAAAACGCCAACCGTTTGACCCAGCTATGGACAAACCTTTATAGTCTATACAATATGAGAGCACATATCTATATAACAAAAATATAAAGAGAAGATGGAAAACCCTATAAAAATTAACAATGTACAAGTTTTCTACAACGTATCATGGAAACTAGTGTGATATCGACATATTGTATCACGAATACGAGAACCTCACATTCTCACTCACAAGCTCTGCTATAGCAAATGCCCTACACAAGTCTAGGGAAACGGAAAAGCAAAAATATTAATTACTTTCACTTATAACTCTTCGTCCGTAACACTTCAAATAATTGAAGAAGTTTATTATACTTTACCGTGGTCCAGTTGGTTTTTCACCGGTCCCATGAGTGTTGACCATGCATTTTTGTTTATTGATATTACCACATCCTACAAAACGAAATGTATGATAGTATTTTGAAATTGATAAGTAATATATTTTCAAAAATTAGAACCTTACACATGCCTCATTATGCTCCCAATATGCAAACTGAATTGCTTTTTGGCTATATTTTCTTCCACATTCCTTGTGAATATTCTTAATCAAACACTAGAAGTTGGCTACTGGAGTTACGTAGCTTCTAATTCTTGAAAAATGTAGATGTGGATGAAACTGAACAAGACAAAACATCTAAAAAAATATTGCACGAAAAAAGTTCCAACTAACTCACTAATCAAAAAACTTATCATACGCGTAAAATTTTCATATGGAAAATTTTCAACACTCGCTAACCGGAAAACTCATAATAGCGTTGATTTGGCCAGGTTATTCTCAATGGTAACACATTTTGTTTTATTTTCGTTTTGTTGGATATATATAACATTTTCTTTGAGAATTTTGGTTTCTAGGTTGAATTTTTCTAAGAAATACCATTTCAGATGTTCTACACTTCTACTTTTGTATTAAAAATTGAACTAACCGAATCTACTCAAACATTCGCCAAAATAATTCTCATTACAAGACTTTGAACCACTGCAATTTGATCGAAAATAAATTAACGGGGCGTTACCGTTCAAAAGTTAGCCCATTTACTTTTAACCTATATCAACTTAATTAGGCAGTTCAATTTCGTACTTTATTAAAACAAAACAAAATCTCAATTTCCAATGGTGGGCTAAAATTTTTAGAAAATCTCATACAAGTTGAATTGTCGCAGTTTTTGTTGTCCTATACTATAAAGTATAAACAGATAAACCGCCATTTGACATTTTTTTCTCTCTGACTATATATATATGTGTTTTTCCACAATTCTACCCCATGGTTTTATCTTTTATTCAGTGTTTCACCTTTTTATTTGATATGTGTATGGGATCGATATGTCAATAACAGTTTACTAAAGAAACATACTCCATGTTTTGGAAATTTTTTTCCCCTAAATGAATCAATGCCTAAAGTTGGGGTCTCATGCTTTTTTTTTTGACACCAAACTTATGTTTTATTGATCTTAGTTCAGCTGGTTAGTCTCAAGAACTAACCAACTTGGGATCGAGTGGTCTACATAAGAAAAACAACAATCACGTGCACGTGCTCCTTTCGAGAGGGAGTCAGCACGAACATTCAATAAACAAGGGATAAAACTGAGTGAAAAAATAGAGAAAGAAGAGCGAAGGAATTTAAAGACTTCAAGTTCAGAGGCCATTGTGGGCCACTCCTCTTCATCCTCAATGATCTTCACAAGTTGCATACAATCTGTCTCGAAAGAGAGACTGTATAATCCACGTTGTAGCGCCATCGTCATGGCCCAGGTCAAAGCTGTGAGTTCTGCATGAAGTGGGGAGGAAACCTGGAACTCAGCCGATGCTCCCCATATGCGTTCTCCGTTTTCATTTTCTATGACAAAACCCTTTCCGAAGAAGGAACTGTTGGGGCACCAAGACGCGTCTGATTGACATCGTGGGAACGTTATTATTTGCTCTGTTGGGGCAACAGAGCTTGGGGTAACGTCATTTTCCAGGGGATTGTCGACTAGTTGTGCCACAGTCCAGTTTTCAGATTCGGCGCAGGCGAGTTGGAATGTGTCCAAGTGTGGGATGTCTTTCTCGTTAAAAACTTTTTCGTTTCTTGCTTTCCACAGGTACCACATAATCCATGGAAATCTCTCAATCGTCTTCTCCGGTATGTTAGCTTCTTTCGCACGCCAAAAGAGGTGATCAACATTTTTATACAATGAATCACACGGGAAGTCACCCAGAACGTAAGGGAATTCAGAAATGCTCCGTACTTGTAGCGCCGCCGGGCACTCAAACAACAAGTGATTAGGTGTTTCGGGAGCAGCGTCACAGCGTGGGCATAGTCGATCTATCCCGAAATGTCGTTCAACCAGGTTGTTCTTGACGGGAAGACAGCCTGCGATTGATTGCCACATAAAGTGTTTAATCTTTCGCGTAGTCTTTGTTGTCCATACTCTGCTTTTCAGTGCTGTGACACTTGGTTCTAAGACCTGTGGCGAGTCACTGGTTTCCTTGAGATCAGAGGCAAGATTGTAGCCGGTCTTAACCGTGTATATCCCCGATTTCGTGTAAGCCCACACAAACTTATCCATCTGAGGGGTGCGACTCGGCTTGACACATCGTATCCGTTTAACCTCTTCCGCCGTGAAAAGTTGGTGAAGAACTTCATCTTTCCATACCTTTGTGTGCTGGTCTATCAAGTGGTACACCAGTAGATATGGATCCTTGAAGACATTTTTTCCAACTAATTGTGTTGGCGGGGTAACCGGGATCCAAGCATCACTCCACACAGCCGTGGTAGCTCCTGTTCCTATGGATTTACGAAGTCCTGCTTTTAGTAGGTTCCTGGCAGCAATCATGCTAGTCCATACATATGATGGGGAGTTCACCTTCTGTACCTCTAGTGGCGATGAGTGGAGGAAATATCTCCCTTTAAGGATCTTAGCGAGAAGTGAAGAGGGATATTGTATAAGGCGTCAGAGTTGCTTCGCAAGTAATGCGAGATTAAAGTTTTTTAGGTCTCTGAAGCCAAGATCTCCTTTCTCCATAGGTTTACATATCTTGTCCCAAGCAATCCAATGCATTCCCCGGCTATTTTGCTTTGTACTCCACCAGAAATTAGAGATTGCCCCTTGTAACTTTTTGATAATATCTTGTGGTAAGAGAAAGCAAGACATCACGTAAGTAGGCAAGGCTTGAGCTACAGATTTGATTAGGACCTCTTTCCCTCCTTTGGACAAAAGTTTGGCTGACCAAGAGTTTATCTTTTTACTTAACCTATCCTGGATGAAGGAAAACACTTGCTTTTTGGATCCGCTTATTTTTTCAGGTAGACCAAGGTATATTCCCATGCCCCCATCTCGTGATATACCGAGAGTTCGTTTTAGTTCCGTCCTTAGTTCGTTTGGGACCTTGTTGCCGAAAAAAACTGATGATTTCGCTGTGTTCAGCTGTTGACCTGATGCCTGACCATATGTATTGATGATCTTTAATAACTCAGCACACTGCTGGACTTCAGCTTTGCAAAAGAACAGACTGTTGGGGTCTCATGCTTAAACACATGAATCTGTTTAATTTCTAAACAAGTACTATACGAGGCCCCAACTTTAGACATTGTGTAATTGTGTTTGATTCATGTTTCGGTTAAGATTATTTGGTTTGATAAGAGTTTTTTTTTTTTTTTCCAATTAATTACCAAACTAAAACCAGGTATATGTATATTTTTTTTTGGTCAACGATATAAGATTGATTAAAACCTGGTAATGATATAGAACTTCAATCAAACACATTTAAATATATATTCGATGTTTCAACCATTGATAGATTAATGTCTCCACATATAAAAAGAACAAGTCTCGGAAATAAAAGCACTTCTCTGAGTTCTCTCGGAACAACTAATGAGAAGGAAAACCAAGTGGTCGTATCCTAGTGGTATTTGAGGGAGGTAATTCCCAATACGGACTCGGGTTCGAAACCACTTGGCCACAACGGATTTAAAATCCCTTCCGTTGGGCCTTGGACCCTTTTCGAGGGGATGGTCGGGTTTCCATTCGGGTTAGATCCTCGGAATAACTGGATACAGCTGGACAAAGCCCAGACCACCGGTTTGGGCCCAGGACTGGTTGGTGACTGTTCGGTCGACTCCTCGGACCCGGATACCAGAGATATCAAAAAAAAAAAAAAACTAATGAGAAGAATATAACTTTCTAAAATGGTCGAGATTTAGTAGTGTCTACACGGATCAAGAATTATCTTGTTATTATTTTCTTATATTCCATGTTTTTCTATTGTTGTGAATTGAAGTACATTTACAATTTAAAGGATTGATGTATGTTATTATCATTTCTCTTTTTTCCGGGATATGGCTGAAAAATGTGTTTTTTTTTAAAAAGTTTAATTTATACATAGGCTATTTTTGCTATTTTGTAGAATGAAAATAAAAGGAAGAAATACATCAAAATTTTTAAAAAAATTATTGAAAAATTCTGATACAATAATCCGTCAAAAAATTCTTTTTTAAAACGTTTGATATACAATATTAGAAGAATAAAAATATTTTGAGTAGTTTTAGACTTTTAGTTTAAAAGAGTAGAGGGGACCCAACTTTTTATTCTGTTTTTGTTCTTTGCCTAAAATAACCATTACACACTTGAAGCCCAACATTCATTTATTTGGGCCAAAAGTAGAAACATACCTGAAAATCAAAACACTGTTTACCTGTTATACCCTTGATCAGACCTTCTATTTACAATTTGCTGCCACGCTTAAACCTTTCCTGATACCACCACCATCCTCCTCCGCCTCTCTCTCTCTCTCTCTCTCTCTCTCTCTCTCTATCACTGCTCTAATTCTTCTGCAACGAATCTATTTCTCTCCATCAACAAACAACTCGTAAGCTAACAATTCTCCGAATCAAATATATCTCTTTCTCGACATGATTATCTTGTTTTCTTTTGTTATTGACGTTAAGATTGAAACTTGTAATTGCAGAAATGGCGGCAGCTTTAGTATCCAGATTCTCCAATGGTAAGAGACTATAGCTGATTCCTCATTCTTCGATCTCATTCATTAGCCAGAGGTTCTAGTAAAAACAATCAACAGAAACTGTGATTTTTAAAATAATGAAATGAGATCCAATCTTTTTAGACTGTGATGGGTTCTCTGGCACTTTAATTGAAAATTTCAGATATTCGAGGAGTTTAACATCAAAAAGTGTTGATTTTTGTAACCGATTTTGAAATCCAATTCTAAAAAGCTATAACCTTTGGTGTTTTGTTGTTGGCGATGTCATCAATTCATGCTCAAAAATCTGTTCTTTTTTTCCTGATTTATGTTGAGCAGGAGGACGTTCATTGCTTGGAGGTCTTAAGAATAGTGTCTCTGGATTGATGAATTCTTCCAATGGAGTGATGATGAATGAAACTATCCTCTCTCAGGTCACAAGTCTCTTCCTTTATGATTATAAACGGACACTGGTTTAGCATTTTGATGGCTGAAAAGCTTCGTCTTTGTGTTGATCTTTGGTGGATGCAGCAGCAACAGAGAAGGACATTCATTCAAATGGGGACGGTTCTCAAAGTGGTGGACAACTCGGGAGCGAAGAAAGTGATGTGTATCCAAGCCCTAAAGTGTAGGAAAGGAGCTAAGCTCGGAGACACGATCGTCGCCTCGGTGAAAGAAGCGATTCCGAACGGTAAAGTGAAGAAAGGAGCGGTCGTGTACGCTGTGGTTGTGAGAGCTGCGATGCAGAGAGGTCGTGTTGATGGGAGCGAGGTCAAGTTCGATGATAACGCGGTTGTGCTTGTTGATAACAAGAACAAAGGTATCAAGACTGATCGGCAGCCGATTGGTACTCGTGTGTTTGGTCCTGTGCCTCACGAGCTACGCAAGAAGAAACATCTCAAGATTCTTGCTTTGGCTCAGCACATTGCTTAAATTAAATTAGTTAAATGTGTTTTCTTCTGTAAACCTCTCAAACGATAATTTGTTATTTTTCTTCTTCTTTTTATGTCTTCGTTAAGCTCACAACTTTTTTTGTGTGTGTTTTAAGAGATTTAGAGGCTTGAAACTTTAGGCCATTGTGCTTTGGATTTTGTTACTTCATGACATAAGCTGAAAATTCAGCTCGGTTTAATATGGTTTCGATTATCGTAGAATATTTTCAGCTGAAGAATTGTCGATCTTTCAAACGTTGGGACTTTACCCGAAAATATCGGATGGATTGCTGCTATATTTCTAAACATAAAAATCCAAAACCTAGAAAAAAAAATCTGAATAAACCGAGAAACCCTGAAAAACCTGAAAAAAAATCTCATTTTAGTAGAACCAAAAAAACCATTCGGATTTTCATGTACAATTCGAAAACCGATTCGAATCCAAAAAAACTGAACCAAACCCGAACCAAAATTTAGAAATACTCTATTAGTTAGTTTCTATATATTTAAATCCAAAACCCCAAAAAACCGATCTGAACCCGACTGGAAACTCGAAACCCACCGCTATTTCGATTGGCTCAATTGATGTGGTTTCGCTTTGGTTCGGATTGGTTATTAATTTGCGATTTGACCATATATTTTGATTTATTGCATATGTTCCCTATAAGGTAAGCTTTTCAAATTCGGTCCTCTGTTCTTAAAACTTTTTGGTTCTTCCTCCTTTTTTTCAAACATTAAAATGCAAAATTGATTTACCAAGGAGAAAAAAGGATCTATTTACAAATTCAAAACAAAATCAGGCGAAAACACAAAAATCGAAATCAGATTCTGGTGAATCTACTACCTACGTATTGTGTTTCCCCTAGAGCCGACGCGATTTTAGATCGATTCTCCGTGATAGACGCCGCCGGGGTTTTTGCCCCGCCGATTTGTGTTTCAGCCGCGGAGGAGGGGAGCAATTTCTTTTTTTCCGATGTATTGCTGAAGTCGAAGGGAAAAAATGATGGAAGTGGAAGGATCGAGCTCTCCGATGATGAATCATGCTGCTGATCAATCACCCTTCTTACGCTCGAGACGATCCAAAGGTGATCCTAAAATTTCGAAATCTAATCAGAGCCTTGTTTAACTTCATTTCGATTAGGGAGAAGAACCTGTGATTTCGCATCGATTGTTGCATTGTTTATAGATATTCATATAAACTGAACATTGAATCACTTTCTGTGTGGTAAATTTGGCAGCTCTGTATCAGTTTAAGCAGCAAAAACTCCCAGCTTGTAAGCCAGTCTTAACACCAAAATCGGTTAGTAACATGAATTTCTTGTGATTATCTGATCAAAATCCACAGCTCTATTGCTTGAAATTTCACTCTCCTCTGATGCAGGTTATATCAGTGTTTCTATTGATGGGTTTTGTTTTCATTCCCATTGGCTTCATTACTCTCCGTGCTTCTCATCATGTAAGTGTCCCCATATAAAACCTTCTCTCTCTCTCTTGTAAGTTCTTGAGAAAATCCTTTCAATGGCAGGCTATTGAAATTATAGACCGGTATGACGCTGAGTGCATTCCTGAAGAATATAAAAGCAACAAACTTTCTTACATCACAGATTCATCGATCCCAAAGAACTGTACTCGTTACTTGAAGGTAATGACTTTCTGCCTCCATTGATTCCAAATCAGGAAGTCTCTTCATTGTTACATATTGGTGGTTTATTCAACTTTCAATATCTTCTTTGTATGCATAACTGTAGGTGGAGAAGTATATGAAAGCTCCCATCTTTATTTACTACCAGCTTGATAACTACTATCAAAACCACCGGCGGTATATAACAATATCCCTTCTGTTTTTGCTACTTCTCGAAAGTTGATGATGAGAAAAATCAAATCATTTGTTTTGTTTTCAGATATGTAAAGAGTAGAAGTGATCAACAGTTGTTACATGGGATGGAGTATAGCCACACAAGTTCTTGTGAGCCAGAGGAGTTATCTAATGGTCTCCCGATTGTTCCTTGTGGATTAGTAGCTTGGAGTATGTTCAATGATACATTTACTTTCGCTCGTAAAAGCACAAACTTGAAGGTGAGCCGGGACAACATTGCGTGGAAGAGTGACCGCGAGCACAAGTTTGGGAAGAATGTGTATCCTTTCAACTTCCAGAACGGAACTTTGATTGGTGGTGCAAAGTTGGATCCAAAAGTCCCCGTATGCATTCATTCTTTAACCTCTTCAGTTCTGTTACCAGAAACATCTTTAGTTAGATTTCTGAGGCTGAAGCCATTTTGATTACTTCTTGCAGCTTAGTGACCAAGAGGACTTTATCGTGTGGATGCGAGCATCTGCTCTGCTAAGTTTCCGGAAACTATACGGAAGAATCGAAGAGGACTTGGAGCCAGGAAACGTTCTTGTGGTGAATCTGATGAACAATTACAACACTTACAGCTTTAGCGGGCAGAAGAAGCTTATTCTATCCACATCAAATTGGTTAGGAGGAAGAAATGATTTCCTCGGCATCTCCTATCTCGTTGTTGGTTCCTCTTCCATAATCATATCAATCATCTTCTTGTTGCTCCATTTGAAAAACCCCAGGTAAAAAGGTTACACTTGCAGATAAACCTTGTTCATGTATATTTGATTCCACTCGCTTATAAGCATCATTTCTCAATCTCAGGCCTTATGGGGACAATTCTTGGAACAAGAAAAGCCTTTCGAGCTGAGAAGCTCTTACATTCTTTCTCTGGCAGATTCTTAGATTTAGAGAGTATATAACCAATCTATGAGCCTATAGTTGTAGAAACTGATAAAGGTTCCTCCTTTTTCTCTCTGTTATCGTCGTCTCTTCGGTCTTGGGGTTCTAAAGATAATTGTTTGACCCTTTCTTCAACTCTTAAACCTCTAACATAGAATGGGTTTATTTGGGTACTATCTGTTTTTAGAGTCTCTAAGTTTAGCAAATCTAACAAAAGCTATCATTGGCAATCCCGAAAAACCTGCATTTTCTTCTTCTCATTTTCCATATTTGTCACCTAAAGTCTCTCTATTTAATATCTCTCCCATTTGTCTCCTCTACATCATACGCAACCTCTAAGCTCTCCCATTGTGAAAGAATCTTTCATTTCATTGAGTCAAAATCACCTTTCAATCTTTCTCTGCCCTCCTCCTTAAACTAAAACCTGCGTTTACCTTGTGCTGCATCGGATTGTTGTTTGCGAAAAGAAAAAGGAAATGGTTAAGGAAATGAGGTTTGTTCAAACGTGGGGAGAGGTAGCGCCAAGGCTTATTGCATCTCACCAGAAACAACAACAGCAATTCTCAAGCTTGCCGAAGCTTGAGACGATTCTTGAAGAAGGTTGCTGCTGCGGCGCCGACAGTTTTGCTGTTAGAGCGCCCAAGCGGATTGTGATCCTTCTTCCTCTTGTACTCTCAATGATTTTGTACATGGTGTTGCACAAGAGTATTCTTTAACATTTTTTTTTTTTTTGGTTTGGTTATGAGACTTGTTTAATCTAGTGGTGAGAAGAAGAGGATGTTATGGATGATAACGTGTGAGATTGGAAATGTTTGGAAAGTTGGTGACAGAATCTCTGTATGAATTTAGGTGAATTGTCTGTGTTGTTTTTCTCCATTTTCTAGGATTTATGTAGTTGGGTTTCTGATTCTGATTCCTTTATTTGAATAAGCTCCGATAAGTAAATGTTCCTTGGACGCCAAGTTCACATTAAAGAACAATATTCAGAGAATAATATTATTATGGAAAATATACAAGTTTAGACACCAAGTTTACATTAAAGACCAATATTACGAGTACAACATTCTTAAACAATTCGATAAGAGAGATACACATAAAAACATATTTAATGGTTAGCTGATTATACAACCTCATACGAGAGAAAAAAACACCTAAACCATAGACAGTGTAGAGAATTTAGAAGAAAAACAATGTCTCAACAAGCTATTAGCCGAATCTTGAAGCCACTTGTCTACAAAACCGTCCTCGTAAGCTTTCTCTCTTCTTTCTATGATAATCGGAGTTGAATTTTTTCGCTATATATGTTGTATAACGTGATTACATCTGGCAGAGGAACTATAACCCGTCTCCGTATTGTTCATCTACACCATACTACTATCCGTATCTATTGATCGACCACCTTCTCAAGGTCGGAGATTCTTCCGACGGCCGCGTAGAGAGAGGGGACGAATCAGAAGGCGAAAAGAACGTTGTGATCAAAGACGATAAACTCGCTGAAGAAGTCCGCAACGCAATGAACGCAGCATTTACCGGTAGGGATTTGGATTTTCACATTCTTGGGAAAAATAACATCTACAATGATCAAGAACAAGTTCGTCTCTACACGTCTTACCTTAAAGATTTCCAAATCCCTCCTCTTCCCAAAGGCTCTCAGGTCCAAAACATAGCAGCGACTATTCGTCCTTACCTAGACAATGTCGAAGATTTGGTGGTTGCTGTCAAGTTTTCAGGATCTCAAGTTAGGGTTTGTAGGTATAAGGACACTCGGTGGATCGATATTGAAACTACACATGAGAGTATAAGCCAACACTCGAACCTCATGTATTCTAAGAAAGATGAGAGGTTCTACGTTCCAACTCCTGGTTGCAATTACCTATGCTCCTTTGATCTCAACTTCAAGGAGAAGGACAAGCCCGAGTTCGTCGAGGTTCGGAAAAAAGATGTTCCAAAGTATGATTTGTTCAAGTTAGTTTATATGAGTAAGTTTACCAAGACAGACCACATGGTGGAGTCACCTTCTGGTGAACAATTCCTTATCTCCAGGTATATATATATATATATATATATATATATACTAAAAAAACTATATATATCTTACTTAGGGTTTGTAGTATTGCGAAAAAAGAAAAGACTAAAAAAACTTACTTAGGATGTCAAAATAATCTAAAGAACTATCTGAATGGAATTCTAGTGAAAAAGTCATTTTGATTCTTTCATTAATATAACTCTTTCATGTGTTTGGATTTTGAAGGTATTACGAGGGTGAGGCTGATATTTACAAATGGTCATTAAGAGTCATTAGCTTAACAAGATTTTTCATGGTGTTTAGAGAGGATGAACAATTGACGGACAAAAACACAAAATATATGTCTTACACTGAAAACATTGGGGACCTTTGTATCTTTCTTGGACGTGATGAAGCTTTCTGTGTACGAGCGAGCTCATATCCAGGTCTTAAGGCTAACTGCATCTATTTCGTGGGACATAGCTATGGAGTTTACGATATCTCCACCCAAACTTGCACTCTTTTCTTAGGAAAGGATCTAAGCTCCAATGAATTCCCTTACTGGCCTCATCCACTTTCTCTTACTCCTTATAAATAACTAAATGATGTTTGGTGCATATGCGCTGGGTTTTTTTTGTTCCATGTTTTGTGAATTGGTTTTCTTAATCTATTTTGTGGTATTTGATAGAGATTTCGCTGTTCTTGGTTCTTATTGGAAATGTTATGTGTTCAATGCAACTTTTTTTGGAATATGATTGTTATCCTTTATTCATATGTTATAGAACCTATTCTTTTGAATGGAAAGTGTATTCATAAGAAAAAAATTGAATTTCTTTCACACCAAGATAATCAAAAGATCTGTAATGAACACAGAGGAAGGAACACGTGTGAAAGTTTAATCATAAGGTCGTCAACACTGGGGATGAGTGTTTTGGTTTGACACCCTAGGCGAGGAGAGACTCTTGAAGAAGAAATAAGAGATATACACAAATTCAAAGACATTCATAATTAATTATTTAGTGAAAAATACCATAAAATACCACACTTGAAATATTGCTCTCTTAATTTATTTCCTTATATGTATGATTCTCTTAATATTTTCCTTTTAATGTAATCTTGGTATCCATGGCTTTGTGTCTACGTCTTTCTAGGGTGAGAGAGAGACACACAAAAGTTAGGATTTTGGAGAAAAAAAATGTCTCAACTTTTCAGCCGAGTCTTGAAGCCTCTTGTCTACAAAAATATTCTGGTAAGCCTTTCTTTTCTATCTTATGATAATTTGACTACCACTTTCTCTCTTGTTGTATGATTAGGTCAACTTTATTTTCAGAAACACAACAACAACAAGATGGTTCGGTGGTGTTCGTCTACACCAATCTACCCATATATGGTAATTGACCACCTCCTCAAGGTCGAAGACTCTTCGGATGGTGTTGTAACAAGAAGATCCGGATCCGATGGTGAGAATGAAATCGTAATTAAGAGCAAGTTTCTAGTTGATGAAGTGTGCAACGCAATGACTGTGGGATGTAATAAAAGCGGAGTCACTATTCACATGAAAGAAAAAAAATATCTCCATGATACCGGCAAAACTCATCTAAACATCTATTACAAGCCCTCTGACCCTAAATCAAAACCCGTGACTGTTCGTCTACCTCCTCTTCCCAAAGGCTGCCAAATCCAAAACCTAGCGATGTCCTCTCTTCCTGACCTGGAAAACGAAGATTGGGTCGTTGTTATCAAGTTGAGATCTCAGCTCATGTTCTATAGGCATAAGGACTTACGTTGGATCGATATCGGAGCCATGCATGCGCATGAGTCTATAAGCCCATCCTCAAGTCTCATGTATTCTAGGAAAGATAAAAGGTTCTACGTTCCAAGCCCTGGAGGAGGACATTTGTGCTCCTTTGATCCAAAACTCAAGGAGAAGAACGAGCTCAAGTACAGTCTCATATGGAGACAAGACATTCCTCAGTATATGTTGTACGAGTTGGAGGAGATGAATTCGTTTACTAGGACGGACGACATGGTGGAGTCACCTTCCGGCGAACAATTCTTCATATCATGGTATGTAAAACTTTGTTAAGCAAAATTCGTAGATATCGTTTAAACAAACACTTGAATATTAGGATATACTCCATCCGTTCTCTAATAATTGGCATTTTAGTAGTTTTGTTTTGTTTATAAATAAGTGGTGTCTACACATCTCAAAGCAAAAATTAATTGTACAGTATTTTGTTGTTTTGACAGTTTAAATTCAGCATATTCAAACTTGAGTGGATGAATTGTTTTGGAATTGATGATATAACATGTTTTGTTTTAGAAGATAGTAAATTAAATGATTTTCTAATTTGTGAGGAAACACCTAAAACACCACTTATTCAAGATATTCAAGAACAGAGGGAATATTTCTAAAATTCACATTTATTACAAGAAAAAAGAAAAAAGGTTTTTCTTTAGCAAAAACAAAAGAGTTTTTCTTTCTACGTTAATGGTTTTGTTATGTTTTTGAAGGTACTACGGAGACAACATTGAGGTAAACGAAGGAGCAAGAACAGTCACGCAAAAGACAAAGCGATTCATGGTGTTTAAAAAGCAAGAACCGAATAAAGAAAAACCAAGTAATCTGTTCAGTGATATGTTTTACACAGAAAACATTGGAGATCATTGTGTTTTTCTTGGACATGGTGAAGCTGTGTGTGTCCCAGCGAGCTCATCTCCAGGTCTTAAGCCTAATTGCATCTATTTCGTGGGACACAACTATGGTGTTTACGATATCACCACCCAAACGTGCACTCTCTTCTACACAGAGGAAGGTCCATTAAGATCCACTCACTTTCCTTACTGGCTTCATCCATTTTCTCTCACTCCTCATTGATGTGGCCTTGTGTATTTTTTTATTACTTTTTTTTTATATTCATGGTTTAGTTGAAAGTTGAAACTATATTGGAATATATATAAATTAATTTTAAGTGAAAGCCTTAGTATTTGAAATGACTTATATTATACAGATTTTGTTATTTTTTAATTAAAAGAAAATACTTTTAATAAATTACAGTTAATTTTGGTTCAGTTTTATTAAATTGGGTTTAATTTGAATATATTTTTTTTGACAGCGTTTAATTTGAATATTAAATACTCTCTCCGTTTCAAATTAGTTGTCGTTTTGGGAAAATGTATCTGCAATTATTTGGATGTATCTGCAATGCAAAACACGTCCAGATACGTCCAAATATTTGCAGATACATTTTGCCAAAACGACAACTAATTTGAAACGGAGGGAGTATTGTTTTTCTTGTTTGTCAACACCAAGTCGAATCTGGTGTATGTGGCTGATGTCTCTTAACTTTGATTCCAACGCCATTTGGGCACGAGAGTTCAAACCTTCTTGGTACCCTGTTCTCTCACTCTCTTTGCTATTGTTGTTGTTCGTGGTCTATGAAACGAGGTAATAATATAAATTACCTTTTTTATTTAAATCTATTACAATAGCTGATGTTCTTGTTGTCTATAAAATGAGTTAATATTATTTATTACTTTTTGGGTTTTGTGGCAAAACACCATCAAACTAAATATTTTTTTTGCAAATTAAATATTCACCTAAAGAAGGTGCAAGCCAATCATATAAAGTCAAAGTTACCAGCAATATAATAGTTCTGTATATTTGTGATGAAATTCAAAAGAGTTTTGTACAAAAACACCTCATTCACTAAATTTTTTTTGCATAATATCCATCTTAAAAAAACATGCAAGTCAAACATGCAAAGTCGGAAGTCACCTGTAAAATGTACCTATAAATAGTTTTTCTAAACCGTTCAAAACATTATTTTGCCAATTACAATATTTCAACTAATTTTTATTATCATTAAAAAGAAAAAAAAATCTCCCTTTTCTTTCTCCTCTACTATTGATGAGCTTTTCTCAGTTCCGCCACTAAGTTGATTCTCTTCCTCGTGATATTATTTGGTTTCAAAATCAAAATTCTAATTTATTGCTTTGTTTGTTCTTCTTCTTTATGCTAATCTTTTGGTGTATGTAAAAAGGAATATGTGTGATTTTGATACTTATTTAGACACATCTCTTTGTTTCTGAATAATAAAATTTCTAACATTTTATTGTTGTTATTCATAAATAAATCTGTTACGCTCTCAATCTTTATTAGTGAATAATGATAAATTGTAAAAAAATAAAAATTAAAAACTATTCTGAGAAATATTCTTATGCCACCAATAATCTGCAGAAATCTGTACATTTTGTTGGACCTCCTGATATAAAAACCATTAATGAACTTTTTGTCCAACACTTTATTACTTTGTTACTTTTTGTGTATTTTTTGTTACTGTACTTTTTTTATTCATGTTTGGTTGAAAGTTAAAACTATATTGAAATATATATAGATATATATATATATATATATAAATTTATTTAAAGTGAAAGCCTTAGTTTTGAATTGACATTACCACATACGGGTTGATAAAAACAAAATGACATATCATAAAATCATTTATCAAAATACAGATCTTGTTATATGTTAAATTAGAAAAAAAAAAATGTCACTGAATTTCAGTTCATTTGGTCCAGTTTTATTGAATTTGAGTACAATTTTGATATTAAATACTATATTGATTGTTCGCCAACACCAAGTCGAACCTGGTCTAGTGGTTGTTGTCAAAGCTTTGACTCCAACGCCACGTTGGCGCCAGAGTTCGAACAATCTTGGTACCATCTCTCTCTCTTTGTCAGTTGATGTTGCTGTTGTTCTTGTTGTCTTTAAAATGAGGTAATTTAAATTACCTTTTTTTAAATCTGGTATAATTCGAAAAAATATATTTATTTGCTGGGAAAACTTAATTCACCAACTTTCAATTGTACGATTTATTCCTGATCAAAATCGCATAAATGTATTGAAGCAAATCAAAATCTCATTTGACTTGTGTTTAAATGGTGGCCCTGTATGAGTATTTATAATGCACCAACATTTCATTTTTGTTGGAAAGAGCCATTCGATTTCGTTTGGAAAGAGCCAAAAGAAAAAAAAAAAAAAAAGCTTTTACGACCAAAGGTTGGGGTTTTAGAAATTTAAAATTTCATTTTTGTTCGGCGAAATCGAATGGCTCTTTCCAAGTGATGAGTGAGCTTCGTTAATCTCACAGACATTTCATTTCGCATAAACCAAACATTAAATTTCCTCAACCATTTTCAAATTCACGATTAATTCACCAACTTTTCAGGTCAAGGAATCCTGATGAAGTGTTTTATAGTTGCAGCAACTTTTTTCTTCTGTTTTCAGGTCTCACGTAAAGCAAGGTTTACATGTCTTCGATATACCAGCTGTGGCCTCTAGCATAGGTTTTGCAACAACAGATGTATTGGCTGAGATTCAAACCTTGAAGGTTAATAACACTTTTCTACGCTGCTAAGATTTCCCTTTTAGTACCTTGGATTATATAGTTTTCAAGATCTTGGTGGTTGATATGTCCTTAGTATCAATGCAGATGAAGGGGGAAGTAACATACGAGATGAAGGACCCTGCATTTTGTTACACAATCTTAGAAGTTCCAAGGGAAATCTGCTCGTTGTCCTCTCATCTTACCAAGTGGCTCGCAGAGATTGAAACTTGCAAAGTAAGTTCTTCAACTGCAGCTAACAGCTCGTAATCCCTTCATGGTCTAATCTAAATTGTAAGTTGCAATGCTTGTGCTTATATGTAGCCATCATTTTGCATCTGAAACAGGTGAGAAAACTAGATATAATGTCTAGTGCAGCCGTGGCTGCTATAAATGTCTCCAACACTTCAGAGCTTAGCGCTGGTGCCAAGCAAACTCAGAGCCTACAAAGCAGAATTTTGAATTATTTCAATGGAGATGGAAACTGTGACACTCCGAGCAAGACGACTCAAAATTGGTACTAACTAAATGTTTCACTTCTTTTCATAGATTTCACATTTCTTTGATCCTTTCCATTAAAACTGATCAAAACTTAAATTGTGGATGCAGCTCCTTTCTACGAGCAGATATAAAGGTGAAGATCCAATAAGCCACACTGTTTACTTTATAATTTTATTTTGATATGTATCCAAAAGAATGTTAAGTTAATGTTGTGGGGGTGAAAAACAGGTGTTCTTGCAGAGTAACCGGCAGGCCAAATTCACGCCAAGAGCCATAGCGAGAATAATGCACGGAGTTGGAAGTCCAGCTTTCCCGAATTCAATCTGGTCCAAGACTCATTTCTGGTATAATCATCATCATCATCCCCATCATCATCATCATAGCTATGCATATGATTGTTTCAGTAATAATATTCATGTGATTTTATTGAAACATGGTTTTGCAGGGGAAGGTACATGAGCGTAGACTTCAGTGTGATAATGGAAGCGGCACAAACAGAGCTACTCAATTGCGTTGATAGAAATGCGGCTTTAGCTGCATAGAGAGTGGGACATGACACATCCACAGTTTTTAAGTTCTTGATGAAGTTATATGAGAGTCTCACAGTTTCTAAGTTCTCAAAGTCTTCCAGCTTAGTTCGGAGGAAAGTGATATGGTGAAGACAAGATGGTGAAGATGACATGTCGGCGCTGCAAATGGTGAGAACTCTTGCTAAAACGGTCAGAAGAGTATAAGTCGATTAAAAGTTGTAAAATAGACTGCACTTGATGTAAAACAGTTTGATTGAATATAATGAAATATTTGACAAAATCTAATTGATACAGAGATCAAATATCAAGGTTTTCACATTCCCCTATTCCTTAATAAACACCATTGGATCTACGCATAGTTGGGTCATCTCATTCTCATGACAGGAACTGGAGGGAAGCAACCAAAAGACGGGTAAGCAGCAAACATCATCACCGGTCTTGGTGGATATAAGGGAAGAAAGCATCTTGCCTTGACCATACGATCTTGCTCCTCATGTTCTTCCCTAACACGTTTTCTCTGTTGTTCCTGTGCCCGATATATAGCGAGAGCCATCTTTGTGAACACTTTAGCTGTGAGCTCGCTATCCGAACCAGCGTGATGGGCTTCTCCCACGCGCCTGATCTCAAGCTCGTTAGCCACTCTCTGCAAGCCGAAACGGCTGCTCAATCCCTTGCACATACCCGACAGCTTCTTCACATCCAAGTGGTCACCAAACACGTTTGAGACCGTTTTCTCGAATCCTTGTGAATTTTCCGGCAGTGGGTTTCCGGTTACGGCTCTAAGTAAGTACGCCATGTCGTACGAGCCATCGAAAGTGACCCACGTCATCTTCTTCTTCTTCAGGATCTGAGAAAACTCTGTGAAGAACTCGTCGATACGCACTCCTTGGTCTCTGATTTTCTCCAGATTCAGTCCGTTGCGTCTCAGAAACTCGATCGACTTGTCGTTTTGGGCGTCTTTTGTCTCGTCGAAATCTGAGAAATTGACTTCCCAAGTTCCGATGATTCTTCCTCCGTTATCGAAGAGGGTGAAACCAAGCTGGATCAATTTGGTTCTCTCGACATTCTACTTCATGTCGCTGTATCTGGTTTCATCGGAAGCGTTGATCGGAGTCTGCTTCAGGTAGCCGGGAAATTCTGTGTCGATGGCGATGAAGTTTGAAGCTTTTATGCTCTCGGATACGGAAATCATCTCCTTCTCTTTGTTACAGTTCCAGATTTGGCCGTCGCTTTTCGTCATCTCTCTTTAGTGTTTTTACGAAATAGAAAGATGGGTTTAGAGAGAATTGTCAAGAAAGAAAGTGAACTTATGTTGTGGATACAGAGGTTTATAAAGGCTCGTTGTTGAAACCTAACTTTCCTTTTTTTTCCCGTCAAACTAGAACCTTTGACTTTTCAACACAAATTTTCCTTTTTTTATCTCGTTCGACAGACAACATACACAGTTATCAAATTTTCCTTTTTCTTATTTTGATTTTATTACTATTATCCTCAGTGGCGGAGCTAGAATTTTTCCTAGAGGGTCAAAAAAAAAACTAAAATTTTAAGTTGCCAAATGAAAAAAGAAAAAGTTGTCTACAAATGCATTATACTTCCACTTATAGTTTGAATATTCTTACCATTATTTTATCTTTTACATCGTCAAATAGTTTTTTTTTTTCATGTAACAAATAAGACAATCACTTCAGTAATCAAATGCGATTTTGTAGTGTGATCTTCGCTCGTTTAAATCATATGCTATTTTATGTGTTCCTATGAACATGTAATGAAATCTCCAATTTTACAAAACAAAAATGGTATATAATCTAAACAAATGAAACTATTATATTTTATGCAAGAAACATTACTTGAAATTGAATTTAAATTGATAGGTTGTATTTTGAGATTTTTCTTGTTAGTCAAAAGAACGAGACAAATTTATATTAGGTTATTTTTGTTTTTCTGTATTTTACAAAATGTAGACTTAAATTTAGTTAACAATTAATTAGGTAGTTCATGTATAATTTTTTAACTTTCGTAGACTAATATTTTGCACAGTATAAGCACACCTAAAGTTTATAAGTCCAACTAAATATTTTAACTTTCTTAGATTAATATTTTTATGGAGTCAGTTTTGTATTTTAAACAGGGTCATTTTAATTTTTATTAAAGAAATAGCACCCAAAAAAAATTATTTAGTGGAGGTCAACTGACCACCTTTACTCCTTACTGCCTCCGCCCGTGATTATCCTGTTGTGTACTAGATAAACTATTTTGTATTATTATTCAAGCTTTTCTTCTTTTAGGTTTCAGTGTACATTGTACACTTTGTTGCTTGTCATTCATCCTCTCCTCTGACCGTCAAAGTGTATTGGAAATATGCCGGGAATCTATGTTGTGGATCATCAGAAGTTTATAAACGTTGTTGAAAACATTACGAACTTTCCTTTTTTTGTTTGTTGACTTGTTCAACACAAAATTTCCTTTTTTTCCCGTCAAACTGGAACATTTGACTTTTCAACACAAAGTTTCCTTTTTTTTTTCTCGTTCGACAGACAAGATACACACTGTACATTCATCCTCTCCTCTCACCGTCAAAGTGTAGGGACCTCATAGTGTATTGGAAATAAAATTGATTTCACAAAGATGAGATGTTTGTATTTTCGCCTCTTTTCTATGAAAAATGGAATTGAATAATTTTTGTTTCATTTTTTTGTCAGTATATGGATTATATAGATTTAAATTTGGGTGGTGACACAACAACAAAGAACAATGAGATTATATGTTTTGGTTTCTATTAATCAGAACACAGAACTACAAAACATTTATGTTTCCAAAGTTTAAAACATACAACTTTAGGATCAGCAGGCCAACTTTTTTTTTTTTTTTTTGAACAACAAACTTTCATTAATTAGAAATCCAACTACAAAGTGGGGCCCATATCGGGCAATGAAGCGACTAAATTTGCCTTGGCGATCTTTGCCAGAGAATCAGCCAACAAATTTTTAGATCTAGCCACAAAATGGAAAGAGATCGAATCAAACATTGAAGCAAGAGTGTAGATATCAAAGAGAAGACCATAGATCTCCTTTGATTGCTCCTGCGAATTGATAACTCGGATGAGATCCTGAGCGTCTGAGTGGAGTGTGAGGTTGGTGTGGCCGTGATCTAAAGCTTGGTTTAAAGCCGATCGAATTGCCATTGCTTTCGCCATGAGAGAGGACGAGACGAACCGTTCGGCTGATTGATCTCGGTGCTGTTCGTTGCCCTCTTTGTCGAAGAAAATCCATCCCGCTCCTCCGATGCATGTGTCTTTACACCAGGCTCCATCTGTGAAGCAGGTAAAGGCATTGGGGTTCGTTGCTGTCTTTGTAGCTAGGTTAGAGCGTTTTTGGTTAGTCTTAGACGGGTATTGTGCTTGTTGCCACTCGATTGCCTCTCTGATAGCTTTACTCATTGTGTCTTCAGGGGAAAACTGGCGATCTTCAAACAGAGAGAAGTTCCGCGACTTCCAGAGGGACCAACAAATCCATGGGAACAGGGGTCCATTGCCTACGCCTGTGGGAGGAAGGCTAATCCAGTCTTTCGAAGATGTGAGGGTTACGGGGAAGCTTTGGAAGTGGGCTGAGTCTAGCGGTACAGATAAAGGTGCCATGCTCCATACTGATCTTGCGAAGTGGCAGTGAAAAAAGAGATGCTCCAGGGTCTCTAGTTCTCCACAGGGGACGCAGCAAGCGGAGTCTGGGATTCCTCGGTTCAGGAGGTTTTCCCCAATAGGTAAAACCTCTTGAATGGTTTTCCATAAGAAAACTTTGATCTTTGGGGATATTTTAGCATTCCATACTGTTGAATTCCAGTTGAAGTTGGGGTGGTTCATCTGATAGTCTTGTTCTTCTTGTTGTAGCATTGCTATGTAGTAGCCGGTTTTAACTGAGTACGCTCCTGATTTTGTTGGAAGCTAGGTAAAGGCATCTGGTGCTCCTTTCTTGCTTGGTCTGATTGCTCGGATAAGATGGTTTTGGTGGGGTAAGAGTTTTTGAATCGCTTCTCTATTCCATTCTCAAGATTGATCATTGATGATTGCTGAGACTCTAAGATCTTTGTCTTGTAGGTTTGGTGGTCCCATCGGACGAGTAGGGTGATCCAGAGATAACCAGGGGTCGTTCCACATCGACGTATCTTTGCCATCTCCGATGACTTTGCCCAAGTTTTTCTTCAGAAGGTCCCTGCCAATCAAGATGCCGCGCCAGCCATGTGACGTGGAGGATGATATCGGGACGTCCAGGAAGTCGATCTCATGGCAGTATTTCCCTTTAAGGATTCTACTTAGGAGACAGTCCGGCTTGGTGAGGATTCTCCAGCTCAACTTAGCTAGGAGTGCGTCATTGAAGCTCTGGATCTCTCTAAAGCCTAGACCTCCCTGGTTTTTTGGTCTGGTAAGTTTTCCCCAAGCTAGCCAACACATTTTTCTTTTCCCAGGTTTAGAATCCCACCAGAATCTAGTCAAGGCTGATTGTATCCGTTTGCATAGGCCTGTAGGTATCTTGAAGCATGACATAGAATATGTGGGAATAGTGGCGAGTACTGATTTTATGATGGTGACTTTGCCGGCGTTCGAGAGGAATCTTGAGGAGTAGTGGATAGACTTTTGTCTGATGCGGTCGACAATTCGAGAAAAAATGTCCTTCTTTTTGCGCCCAAAGCTCTCTGGTAAGCCAAGATACTTCCCTTGTCCACCCTCTTTGTCTATGTTCAGTGTAGATTTGACTCTTTGCCGTATTTCTTGTGGTGTTTTCCTAGAGAAGGTGATGGATGATTTCTGGAGATTTATCATCTGGCCTGAAGCGTCTTCATACTTTTGGAGTATGGTTCTTAGGGTTTCACAGCTTTGCGGGGATGTCTTGCAGAAGAACATCGTGTCATCGGCAAAGAGAAGGTGGTTGATTCTGGGGCTTCTTCTGGCTACTCTGAGACCTGCGAGAGTTCCATTATTCAGGGCGTTCATGCACAGTCCCGAGAGCACTTCACCGCAGAGGATGAAGATGAAAGGGGAGAGGGGGTCGCCTTGCCTGATACCTCTCTCTGGAATGACTCTCCCTTGGGCTGCACCATTCACTAGGAAGGAGTAAGATACTGTGGAGATGCACCGAAGTACCCAATTGATCCATTTAGGGTGAAAGCCTAGCCGTTCCATCACTGCAACCACGAAGCCCCACTCCAGCCTGTCGTAGACTTTACTCATGTCAGTTTTAACAGCCATAGAGCAATGTTTGATGGCGCCGGATCGTTGAAGGTAATGTAGCGTCTCATGTGTAATAAGTACGTTATCTGATATCGCTCTCCCCGGGACAAAAGCAGTCTGATTTTCTGATATTATTGTAGGCAGGATCGGTTGGAGTCGTTTTGTGAGGATCTTCGAGATCACTTTGTAGTAGACGTTGCAGAGGGCTATGGGGCGGTATTCTGCAACTGTTCTCGGACTTGGGACTTTCGGGATCAGCCTGACATGCATCTCATTTAAAGACTTGGGTAAGATTCCTGAGGCAAAGATTTGTTGTACTTCCTGAATTATCTTTATTCCCATGACTAACCAATTAGACTGGAAAAAGCAGGCGGAGAAACCGTCTGGGCCCGGAGCTTTGTCGGGGCTAATGGAGAAGAGAGCTTCTTTGATCTCATCCGGGCTAGGATCTGCTATCAGCATTGCATTCACCGAATCCGAGATACATGGTTTTAGGGCTTGGCTAACTGTTTCAATACAGTTGGCTGATCGGGTTATGAAGAGGTCTTGGAAGTAAGAGTTTATAACTTGTACTATTTTGTCTTCCTCGTACATAGATACTCCATTTACATCCTCAATGATTGCTAATTTGTTCACTGCTCTTCTTCCTCTTGTGATGGCGTGGAAGTAACCGGAATTTTTATCCCCCAAGGCGAGCCACAGGGTCCTGCTTCGCTGGCGCCAATATTCTTCCTCCTTTTGGTACGCTGTTTTGAGGTTTGTGTTTATTTCCACTATCCTGTCTTGATCAAGTACCGATGAACTCATGGCTAACTCCAGATTTTGTTTTTCCTCCTTTATAGCTTTTTGTGAGTTTCTGTGGTGCTCTTTGTTCCACTTAGAGATTTCTTTTCTGCAGCAGGCAATTCGTTGTTCGACAGATACTCTGTCAGGTTGGTTCCAAGCCCTCTCTACTATCTCCGTAATGGCTGGGTTGTCTTTCATACTGCGGTCATACCTGAAGATGCCTTTCTTTTTCTTTAGGTTTGGTTCGAGCATGGATAGGAGAGGTCTATGGTCCGATCCCTCGAACTCCAGGTAGTAGCAGCGACTTGCCGGGTACGTTTCAGCCCAGAGGCCATTGGACATAGCTCGGTCAAGGCGGCAGTGGACAAGATGAGTGTATCTAACACCTCTCCAGGATAAGGGATTTCCTGAGTGGGGAATATCATAAAGATCACACTGAGAGATAAAGGCTCTGAATTCTCCAAAAGAGCCCTCAGTCCGTGGTGGACCTCCGGATTTTTCTCCATGATCCAGGATATCGTTGAAATCTCCAGTTAAAAACCAGGGTAAGTCCCTGTTCCCGTTTTTGCTTGTCAGTTCCTCCCAAATCTCCTTTCTTTTAGAGTGATCCGGTTCACCATAGACGAAGTGGGTAATGAATCTTTTTCCCTTGTAGGTCACTGAAGCTTCTATATAGTTTTGGCAAGAAGAAAGCACAGTGAGGTCTATCTCTTGTTTCCAGAACAGGGCTAATCCTCCACCTCCTGGACTGTGTGGCTGTACCAAGAATCTAGTGCCATAGTCCTTCATAGGTAAGTGTTTTGTAATATAATCTTCGCCATTCTTGGTTTCCATGAGGAAAATAATATCAGGAGCATGGTTCTTTTGCAGCTCCGTCAATCTGTGAACTGTAATGGGATTCCCCAGCCCACAACAGTTCCAGCTCAGTATCGCTAAGGAAGAGGACTTCGCGGAGTCCGAAAATCCGCTCCATCTTGAAGGCGTGCCGGTGCTTTATGTGAGCGAGGGGGTAATCTGCCTGGTAAGCTTCCTGGCTGTGGGTTTGGGGTAGTTGAGGTTTCTGTATGGTTTCTGTTTCTTGGCGTTCTCTGGTTTTGGGGGGTTAGATTGGCTCTATTATGAATGACTCTTGACAGTGGGGAGAGGCGGAGGAAGGGTGATTTCCGTTGTACCTTCGTTTTGTGTTTGGACGGTCTAGCTGCAGACTGGTTTGGTTTTAAGTGTTTGGTAGGTGGTTTGCCTCTCTTCTTCACGGTTTGTCCTAGTTGTAGGGTACGTTCCGGTTCCACAATAGGGCTGGTAGAGTTCAGGGGATCGTTTTGGGGTGAGGTGTTGAGTTGTTGTGTCATGGTAGGTGAAGCAAGTCTGATGACATCTTCCTCGTGTAGCAGGTTAGATGGGGCATTGTAGAGGCGGTTTGCAGTTTCCTCCACCAGGCCATTGAGATCACTCTCTAACACTCGTTGTCTTCTGGCTGCGCTCTCTGCTGGATCGCCGCAGTTGATGTAGCGGATATCAATATCGTGGAGATCCTGGATGATCTCAGCCTCAGTTTGTCTTCTCGGTGGAGGGGTGGGGAAGTCATCTTGGTCGAGATTTCTCTCCAGAGGTATAGTTCTTCTCTGGTTAGGTGTGAAGTTATCTTCCATTGTTTCAGTCCTTTGATTTGTTTTTTCTCTCCAGATTTGGTGGGGTCTAGGGTGATTTGGTGAGTGGTTGGATCTTCTTGGTCTTTCCTCCGGAGATCTTCTCGAAGAGTGGTTTCTTGTGCTACCAGAGTCGTAGTGTCTTCGTGTGTCATGGCGGTCACGTTGATACGGAGGAGACGAGTTTGGTCCACGAGATGTATGGGTTGGGGGTTGTCTTGCTTGCTCTATGTTGATGTTTGAGGTTCTGGGGGGAGAGCGGTTTCTGAGGCTGTGTCTAGAGGCGGAGCGTTCTTCAAGGTTTTGCCCAGATCTGTTCTGGTGGTGGTAAGAGGAAGTGCTTCGAGGATTGTTGAAGAAGGGTGGCTTAAGATGGTTTGGTGGCTCCGGTTCTAGGGTTTTTGGTGGTTGGAGGTTCAGAGAAGATTTTGGGTTCTCGGGGCAGTTTTGTTCCTCATGGGTAAGTCTGAAGCAGTACAGGCAGTGCTTGTCGAGCTTATAGTACTCTAGGGTAACTAAGGCCTCATGGCCCCCTTCGAACTCCACTATGGCCTCCTTAGTGATAGGTTTGAGTCCATCTAGAAGGACTCGTATTTTCGCTGCTGTAGAGGTTAGCTCGAAAGAGATAAGCTTTCCTAGTTTGTCACCAATACTAAACAGGAGTTCTCTCTTCCAGTAGTGGAGTGGTAAACCCCGGAGTGAGATCCAGAACGGGATCTGTGATAAGAAGGAGGCTGAGATAATTTGTTCCCACTTCTCTAGGATCACCATCCATCTGGAATACTGGTAAGGTCGGTTTTCGAGGACTTTCCTCAAATCTTCTTCATAGTCAAACCGGAACTGGAAGCAACCATTTCCCAGATCTGCACCGGTGACGTTTCCACGCAGTTCCCATTTGTTGGAGAAGTAGGGTAGCATTGACCGCAAACGTTGTTCGGCTGGGTTCGTGAGTCGACCAATGAGGGTTAGGGCATTCTTCCTGACCAGGTCAGAGGTGTCCATAGCAGGGGCTCGTATACACAACCGAGGAGGGGACGATTCAGAGGTCACCAAGCCTTTGCCTTTCTCAGCGTAAGTGAATCGTCTTGCCATTGTGGTTGTGGAGGGTAAGCGTAGAGATGGCTGGAACTTGTCTTTCGTGCTTGCAGGGAGAGAAGTAGGGAGGAGTAGCTTACCGGCGGGGAGGCGGACCCTCCGACTCTAAGTTGGGGGTGGAACCCGGGAACAGAAAACCAGGGTTCAAAAGTTTTTGAAAAAACCTACCAAAAAGAGAAAAGTCTACTAGGTAAAGGGCTGTTTAGAGAAAGTCAACTTGGGTAAAGACCAATCTCGAGAATAGTGCCTGGGAGAGAAAAAAGATCCCAAATCTCTATATCAGTATCAGCAGGCCAGCTTATAATGAGTATGCAACGTCAAATGGTGTCAAATGGTTCTGTAGTTTTAGTTTAGTGCTAATACGAATTAACAAGCCTCAAACACGAAGACCGTTTGCTTAGTAATTGTATGTTGGTATAATACAGTAACATGCTTCCAGATCGGATCTAGTCTACGTTATCCAATGCGTGGAAATTAGAATTCGATTAGGTGCTACGTTTGAGTTAATAGAAATTAGTAATTATTTTATAATTAAGTTTTCGTTTTACCTTTGTTTTTTAAATTTTAACCAACTTTCAGTTCTGTTAAACCAAAGATTGAGCTTAGTACATGAGATTTGAGTATTTCACGATTTTACAAGTTGATGTGTGGCATAAACAATATCAACAGCTTTCGTCTACCTTAGAATATTTGCTAAAGTTTTGCTTTTGTGTTCTGAGGTTTGGTTGATGTGGCATTTGCAAGCAGTACTCGTACCTGTAAACCATTAAACAAATGAGAGTTGGTAATATAATTTTTTTTTTGTATCATTAAATAACAAAACTCTTAAAATTATGCAATTCGTAAAAAATAGAAACTTGGAATCAATTTTTAGGGGCTGCTTAATCCGTGCATATCACTTGATATGAATATATATAAAAAATCTAAATCATCCAGATAAAGAAACGAATCAGAAATTCCATATTATCCAAATACATACAAATCTTAATCTCTTTTTTTATTAAATACAAATCTTAATCTCTTTACCTAGAATCTACCATTACGGTTCCCATAAGCGTCACTCCTATAGTAAAATTGATCATTGTCGTCTATATCATTTGAGTTATCTTCTTCATTCTTGGTGTGGCCCTCACGACGACCATAGAGACCATAACCATGTCCTGTATCTCGGACAAAGACTGGCTCTTGCTCTTGCACCGGTACACTCTGGTTCAGATCGGTTAGTTCGGTTATGGTTTGGACGTTTCTTGCTTGTGTTTGCGAAAGCAACAAAGATATGATGAAGAAGGTGAAACAGAGAAGAGTTGGGAGTTTTAGTGATTGAGCCATTTTTCTTGGATTTAACATGTAAGTTGGTCGAGTAAAGATTATATAATATAACCAAACGTTTGGTGGAGTTAATTGGTAATAGTTATCCATACATTACCAAACGTTTGGTAAAATAAAATTAAAACGATAGAGTTGACAAACGAATTATGGAAAGCGACTAAAAAGAGTCTCATTAGTTTGGTTGTTCCTTGATTTGTGGAAAAGCAATTCGAATTATCTCCCACCGAAAGTATAATGTTACACGCCTTTAGAAAAATTTAATTTAAACAAACACGTAAACCCATTTACCAGTCTAAAACATGTATAGATCTATTTTTTTTTTTATAAATTCTATAATCATTAAAAGGCATTATTAAATTTTAATCAGTAAATAATTGAGCTCCGTCGCAAATCATATATATGAATAGGGGCCATCACTCTCCATATTTTGGACATGTGGATAGAGGAAAATATGATATGTGGCAATAATAATTTTTAGTTTAAAAAAAAAATATAACTTTTCATTTTCTTCTCCAACCCAAAAGGTAATAAGTTACAAATTACAAAATCATTACATGTGAAGCTAATAAGTCACTCTTACAAATTCCTTTTGTTGTAACGGAAACTACTTAATTACTCCAACACTGTTACCCTTCCGCTTTCACTTTAAGTTATTATTGAACCTATAAATTATCCTAATATATTGAGAAACCGATCCAGCGAAGAGCGATGACGGGGAATTACTATTCTATGTAGCGATGAGTAAACACAGAGAGTTGAGGGCATCAAAACGTGTGGTATGATGCAAAAATATATATTTGAAAGTCAATTGCTAAACAAGTAATTATAAATTAAATTGCGGGTTTTATTTGAATTCGAATCGATAATATTACATATCAAATATGAGTCACAAATCTAGAATTGTTTTATAATATTCTTTTTAAACTATAACAACACAAAAACCCGCGCGACATGTGGACACTCTTATGATTGGCATATGGCATGACTTTTCATTTTCCTTTCAATTAATAACTTTAATTTTTATTTATTTACTAAACATATTAGTTTATTATAATTAAAACCACTTTATTACTTTAAAATTATTATGTTTTAGTTCCATCTTAAATCACTTATTAAATCATATATATATGAAAAATAAACAATTTTTCTCCATATTTTGGATATGTGGACATAAGAGAAGATGATATGTGCCAATAAGAATTTTCAGTTTAAAAAACCAAAAATTGACTTTTCATTGTCTTCTCCAGTTTAGAAGGTAATAAGTTACAAAGTACAAACTCATTATGTGTGAAGCTAATAAGTCACTTTTAGAGATTCTCTTGTTATAACGGAAACTACTTAATTATTCCAAAACTGTTACTCTTCGACTTCAATTTTAAGTTATTATTTAATATATAAATTATCCTAATATACGGAGAAACCGATCCAGCGAAAAGCGATGACGGGAATTAGAATCTATTTATGTAACGATGAGTAAACACATAGAGTTGAGGGGATGTGTGGTATGATGCAAAAATATATATTTGAAAGTCAATTGCTAAACAAATAAGTTGAAATTAAATTGTGGGGTTTTTTATTTCGAATTTATAATATTACATATTATATCAAAATACAAGTCACAAATTCATAATTTGTTTTATAATATTTTTTAAACTATAACAACAGAAAAACCCGCGCGTATGCGCGGGCATTAGTCTAGTTTTATTTTGAAGATCGTAGAAAATATTATATGTGGTAAGTAGTAGACATGACATTTCTTCTTCTTCATTGATCATGGTTTTGAGCTGTACATTAGGATCTTGATTTTTGGATATATAAAACTTGAATAGTTGTCCTCTGTGCTCTTGGTTTAGAAGTGTTATTTCCAGTTTTTGAGGTCTATGCATATGCAATACCTAACTTGGTCACTTTTGCTGCTTTCTTTAGTTCGCTCGTTCAGCCGTACAAAATCCAACACTGTACTCCTCTCCGGGCTAAAGCGGAAGTGGCAAAACAGTGCTCTTCTATCAAGTGAGTATAATTACCTTCCTTTCCTCATTCGAAGAATGGTTTTTGATTTACATTTTGTAAGCTTCGAGATGGATCTCCGCATCAGGGTGCTGTAACGTCAATGGAACCGAACGAAGGCACCTTTGTGCTCCACACTGAAAACCACCAAGGTAAAAGAAACATCTTTTTTTTTGCTTTGGCTTTGTCCAAGAATTGTAAAAGTGTTTTCTCACTACTCAAGCAGACTCTGCCTTGTGTTTGACAGAAAACAAAGCCTGTTCATCTTGTTGATGTCCCTGGGCACTCTCGGCTTAGATCTAAGCTAGAAGAATACTTGCCTCGAGCAGCCTGTTGTGTTTGTAGTCGACGCATTGGAGTTCCTCCCGAATTGCCGTGCTGCTTCAGAGTAATGAATTGCTTACTGCTTACTGCTTACTGCTTAGGCATAAGGTGACTCTTAGAGATGGAACACTTAAACATTGGCTTTGTACTTAAACTCTTCTTCTCCAGGTACCTTTACGACATTCTGACCAATGCGAGCGTGGTTAAGAACAAGATCCCGGTCCTGCTCTGCTGTAACAAGACGGATAAAGTAACTGCCCACACAAAAGATTTCATCCGCAAGCAGATGGAGAAAGAAATGTAAAAAAAAAAAAGAAGAAGATTGGTTCTTTATCTGTTTCTAAATCGTTAAGATGTGGTTTTTTCTGCAGAGAGAAACTTAGGGCTTCGAGGAGCGCGGTATCAACAGCTGATATAGCTAATGACTTCACGCTCGGGATTGAAGGAGAAGTGTTTTCCTTTACGCATTGCTTAAACAATGTCACGGTCGCTGAAGCATCTGGATTAACAGGAGAAACTGATCAGGTTCAAGAGTTCATCAGAGAGTATGTTAAGCCATGAGAGCCGAAATGTGTAAGCTTCAATCATACACTTAAAGAAGTCTTTTCTTGTACATGAAGGTTTATGATGATATTTGTTGGGAGGAATTTGGATGTTGAAATCTTGTTAGGGCCTCTTAGAGTGAGGTTTGTTTATCGACTGAATCTTGTAGCGTCTTATTCAAGCAACCTCATTGTCATTAGGAAATGACTTAATTGATTTGATTATAGACAGCGTGACAACAAAGTTACTTAAATTTTTTGCTACAAATCACATAAGCAGACGTTCATTATGCGAGTAGGAGAGATGATGATATAAATGGTTGAGAAGAGTTGCAAGAATGTGAAGGTCCTCATGGAACCTCAATCGAATGTTCGATTATCTAAGTTGGACTATCAGTATGAAGCATTACAAGTCGTGAGCTACTTGAGACAATTAGACAATTCAATACAAATCATGACTATTGATCTACTACTACTACCTTCTACACCTTTCCTTTCTAACCTTCGGGCTTTTGATTGATGTATTTTTGAACTTGCTTCGTTGTGGATTTGTTTTCCTCTGTTTGATTATCTGTTGTATAAATATTAAATAATATTGGTGGGTTTTGTTGCAAAAATAATCATAAGATGAGATTTGTTAGCAACATGACCTTGAATCGCACGATAAATAATAAGGTTTCGAATGTTACAAATAACAAATCAGTAGTCCAACATCTGTTTTTTTTCAAATTCCACGATATATATAATAAGGTAAAATGGTTAAACTGGGATGGCTAAGATTAGGATGTAACACACTAACACATTAACAATATTTATTTTTAACTTTAAGATAAAAGAATGATTATTTACATGGTGAAGGTGTGTAGAGCACTATAGCTTTTGATTTGTGCTCTCCAGGCTGTTCGCTTCTCACATTACCCACACTAAACTGACCTTTTTCTAGTTTAAGAAATCTAAAGTAAATTTAAAGACTGAAAAGACAATATTAAATCATTAAGGAATAAAACTTCATTATATATATATATATATACATATGCTTCTATAAATACCCAATAATCATTAGTCGTCTGAGTGTCTCAAACTCAAATTAAAATCTTCAAGAAGTGACTTCCCAAAAGTGGCAAACAAAAAAGTCACAAAAACTTAAATATGGCTTCTCAGACATTTTTGGTTTTGTCAATATCTCTTTTTGTTGGTTTTAAGATATTGCTTGCGGCACACGCTAACGATTTCAACCAAGACATTGACATAACATGGGGTGATGGTCGAGGAAATATATTGAACAATGGAACTCTTGTAAATCTCGCTCTTGATCAATCTTCGGGATCAGGGTTTCAATCGAAAGCCGAGTATTTGTATGGAAAAGTCGACATGCAGATCAAACTTGTCCCTGGAAACTCTGCCGGGACCGTGACTGAAAGTGAATGAATTCCCTTGAGGGTCTCTGTATTTACTTGTCTGAATATATAGGGTACATGAGCGTAATCACAGGGATTTACCCTTGCTGTACAAGACTGTAATCGAGTCATATCAATCAAATTAAATACAGAATATTCTAGATATCTATCACCCTCCCGCAGTTAAAACGTTAGGATTCCGGACGGTTAAACTGTCTCTGAAGTCGTTGAACAGCATGGTCGGTAATCCTTTGGTGAAAATATCAGCAAACTGCAAAGAGGAAGGAACATGAAAGACTTTGACTTGTCCTATTTTCACCTTTTCTCGGACAAAGTGAATGTCTATTTCGATGTGCTTTGTTCGTTGATGCTTGACAGGATTGCTGGAGAGATATACAGCACTGATGTTATCACAATAGATCACAGAAGCTTTGGTGATCGGACAGTGGAGTTCAAGAAGAAGATTTCGTAGCCAGCAAGCTTCAGCGACAGCATTGGCTACTCCTTTGTATTCTGCTTCAGCGCTTGAGCGAGAGACAGTCGGTTGGCGTTTTGAGCTCCACGAGACGAGATTCGGACCGAGATAGAGACAGTAGCCAGAGCTAGATCGGCGAGTATCAGGACAGCCAGCCCAATCAGCATCGCTATATGCAGTGATGTCGTTGATTGAACCTTTCTGAAGATGTAAACCATGAGTGTGAGTGCCTTGCACGTACCTTAGGATGCGTTTCAAAGCTTGTAGATGTTGCTCTCGTGGATCATGCATGAACAAACATATCTGATTGACGGCATACGATATGTCGGGTCTCGTAAATGTGAGATATTGAAGTGCCCCAGCCAAGGATCGATATGCAGTTGGATTGTCGATCCGATCACCAGAATTAGCAGAGAGTTTAGACTTCAGGTCGACAGGCGTTGCACATGGTTTGCAATTCTTCATTCCTGCACGTTCGATGATGTCTAAGGCATAAGCTGATTGACTTAAAAATATCCCTCCATTTTTGAATTCTGCCTTGATGCCTAAAAAATAGTGTAAGCGGCCCATATCTGTCATCGGAAACTCTGTTTTGAGGAGTTTGATGATGTGTTGCAGAAGCTCTTTCGTTGAGGCAGTGAGGACGATGTCATCTACATAGAGGAGAAGGTAAGCTTGTTGATCACCTTTCCTGTAGATAAACAAAGAAGCATCGCTCTTGCTTGCAACAAAGCCAATGTTAGTCATAAAACGAGCAAATCGTGAATTCCATGCCCTTGGAGCTTGTTTGAGCCCATATAAAGAGCGTTTGAGTTTGCAGACGTGATCCGGAGCTTTAGGATCTGCAAACCCTGGTGGCTGGAACATATAGATCGTCTCTTCTAAGTCGCCATGAAGGAACGCGTTTTGTACATCAAGTTGATGAATCGGCCAATCGCGAGCAAGACTGACATGAAGAACAGATCGTATTGTTGCTGGTTTGAAAACCGGGCTAAACGTTTCATCAAAGTCCACACCAGCTTCCTGTGATTTTCCATTTGCCACCAATCGAGCCTTATATCGAGCAAAAGCGCCATCTGCATTAAACTTATGTTTGAAAAGCCACATTGATTTAATAATGTTTACCCCATGAGGTCGGGGAACAAGATCTCAAGTCTTACTCTTAAGCAAAGCATTAAACTCTTCTGTTGCTGCTGGGTTCCAGTTTGGATCAGAAAGAGCTTGTTTATAACTCAAAGGAAGAGGAGAAACAGAGTGTTTGGAAGTAACAAGGAGAGACATAAGGGAGCGTGGCTTACGTATGCCGTGTTTACTGCGAGTGGCCATTTGGTGTGTTGGTTGAGAAGGAGCGGGAATAACAGGTGGTTGTGGAGGAGCGGCAACGTTTGGTGGTGGTGGAGGAGCGGGAACGTTTGGTGGTTGTGGTGGTGTTTGGGGAAGTGGAGTTTGAAGGAGAGAGTGTAACATTGGCGACGGTTCCTCATAACCATTGAGAAATTGGTAGAGAGAAGGAGGATCATGTACAGTGACAGCAGCCGGAAAGATCGACTCATCAAACGCTACATGGCGAGAGATGATGATTCTGTTGGTCTTAAGATCCAAACATCTATAGCCTCGGTGTTGAGAGGGATATCCTAGAAAGAGACAAGGAGTTGTTCGTGGAGATAACTTATGAAGGTTAGAGTGATTGAGATTAGGAAAACAAAGACACCCAAACACTTTGAGATGATCGTAAGTGGGTGGTTTCTGAAACAAAAGAGTATAAGGAACCTGATTTTGGATAGCAGAGGAAGGAAGAATATTTATGAGATGGACAGCGACATGAAGAGCTTCGACCCAATATGCTGGCGAGAGTTTAGCTTGAAATAGCAAGGAACGAATTGAATTGTTGATTGTGCGGATCATCCTCTCAGATTTCCCGTTTTGTTGGGAGGTGTGAGGGCAAGAGAAACGCACTTGAATGCCATTGGTGTCGAAGAATTTGTGAAAGTCGGTGTTATTATATTCACCTCCATTATCACACTGAAAAGCTTTTATGGGAGAGTTGAACTGTGTTTGGATATGAGAGTAAAAATGGAGAAATTTTGAGAAGACTTCGCTTTTGCGACGAAGGGGATAAACCCAGAGAAAGTGTGTATAATGATCAAGAAACAGAACATAATAACGAAGACCACTGATGCTGGAAACAGGGGAGGTCCAAACATCAGAGTGGATTAACTCAAAAGGTTTAGAAACAATCGTTTGAGAAGGAAAAAAGGGAAGCTTTATTTGTTTTCCAAGTTGACAAGCCGTACAAAGAGGTAGGCTGTCTTTATTACAAGCTAAATTATTGAAAGAAATAACAGAACGAAGAGATTCATTGTTGAGATGTCCAAGACGCTTATGCCAAAGACTCAGAGAGGAGGCAGTGAGCGCAGTGGACTGAGAAGTGGAAGATGAGGCTGGAAGAGGATATAGATCGCCGGTGCTGTCACTGCGGAGAAGAGTTCTCCTGGTTTGAAGGTCCTTCACACAGAAACCAAATGGGTCAAACTCAACAGAACACCAATTATCAATGGTAAAGCGACGGACAGAAATAAGGTTTTTGACAATTTGAGGAGTGACAAGGACATTATTAAGAGAAAGGGGACGAGTTTGAGAGGTGATAAGAGAGTTGCCTGAAGCAATAGCAGGGATTGAGGAACCGTTACCCACAACAACAGAGTGAGCAATGTTTCGATTAAGAGCAGAATTGAGGATACCTGGAGTGGAAGCGAGATGAGTAGTGGCGCCTGTATCCATGAACCAATTGGTTGCAGATGGATCAGGAAGAGTCATGGTGTTGTAAGCTTCGGAAAAATCAGTGGTAGGCTGGAAAACTTGATCGACGACATTTGCGGAGGAGGAGCGTGGAGGAGATGGACGAGGGCCCATAATCCCGCGTGTATCATTAGGAAATGGGTATGGGTTCCATGGGCCAAACTGATATTGCCATTGAGGAACTGGGCCGGGCCAGTACTGATTTGTGGCCCAGTTTGGATATGTAGGTCGTGGAGAAAAATTGTGGCGGCCACGGAATCGAGTTCCATTGTTGCGTCTATTTCCGCGATGGTTGGAGATTTTCGGAGCAGGAGGTCGCTGAAACTTGGGTTGGTCACTTGACACGGTCAAAGCTGCAGACGACGATGGATGATCAGTTTGGGAGGCCACGGTTTTGTGTGATTTCTTTAGACGAGTTTCCTCCGATTCAAGCATCGAGCGTGCGACTTCAAAGGTTGGAAATGGTTCACGATGTTTGATGACATTGATGATGTTATCAAACTTGTCATTGAGCCCATTCAGCATGTATGTCACCAACATGCGATCGGGAACAGGGGCATCAACGTTCTTGAGGAGATCGGAGATGGACTTGAGTCGTTGACAATAGTCTTCGACAGATCGATCTCCGATTTCTGTAGTACGCAGCTCAGTGTCGAGTTGAATGGCCCGAGCCTCCTTATTGTTGCGAAACAGATTCTCGATACGCAACCAGATGTCTCGAGCCGTGTCTCCAGCCTGAAACGCCTTTTTGAACAGAGGTGGGGTAAGAGTTCCATAGATCCAGAGTTTGACGAGACCATCACGCTTTTGCCAAGGTCCGTCGTTGTCGCCGTTGGGAACAGTGGTTCCGTCAACGTGACCCACCACATCAAGTGAGGCAGTGCGTGAGAAAGAGTTCACGCCACGCATCGTAGTTGTGGTCATCCTGGTCTAGAATGAGAGGGATGTGCGATTTGATGTTAGTAACACCAAATGCTCTTTCAAGGGCCATTTCGTCGAGAAAAAGAAGATGAGAACGAGAGAGAAAGAAAAGAAAATTGACTATAGGAAGAAAGAGAGAGAGGGTCAGGAGCGTGAGAGCTCTGATACCATGAAAGTGAATGAATTTCCTTGAGGGTCTCTGTATTTACTTGTCTGAATATATAGGGTACATGAGCGTAATCACAGGGATTTACCCTTGCTGTACAAGACTGTAATCGAGTCATATCAATCAAATTAAATACAGAATATTCTAGATATCTATCAGTGACTACCTTCTATGTAAGTTCATCTAAATTTAGACATATATATATATATATATATATATATATATATATATATATATATATATATATATATATCTTACCAAGTAATACGTGTTTATAAGTCTGCATGATGGATTTTTTGGTGTATTTGTGTGTGTGTGTTTAACTGTTTATAGTTGAAGTCTCAAGGATTAACATGGGACGAGATAGATTTCGAGTTCTTGGGGAATGTTAGTGGAGATCCATACATTCTTCACACTAATGTTTACACTCAAGGCAAAGGCGATAGAGAGCAACAATTCTATCTTTGGTTCGATCCCACCGCTGAGTTCCATAACTATTCTTTTCTTTGGAACCCGACTCACATAGTGTAAGTATACACCACAAAATCCACACGATCACTAGAGATGTGAACCAAAATCTTTGTGTTTTTAGAAATCTAACAGAAAAGTGAACCGGATGATCGCGGAATCGAATTCTTGCATCGCAACACTAGCTCCATAACTTTTAATTTTATATAGATTTCTTCAGTTGAAAATGTAAATGTATTATATTTTCAGTTATTTTTATAATATTACTTTCTTGGGGGGTGATTTGTTGAAATTCTATGTAGGTTCTATGTCGATGAGAAGCCAATTAGAGAATTCAAGAATTTAGAAGCAATAAATGTGGCTTATCCATGAGAATGTATTGTAGTTTGTGGAACGCAGATGACTGGGCCACAAGGGGAGGTTTGGTCAAGACAAACTGGTCACAAGGACCATTCGTAGCCTCTTTCAAGAACTACAACTCAGACAATGCTTGTAACTGGTCCAGTGATAATGGAACCACGACTAGTACTACTTCTTGTAGCCCTGGTGGCTCGTCTTCTTCTTCTTCGAGCAGTACTAGCGAGTGGTTTTCGCAGAGAGGGATGGATTCTTCAAGCCAGAAAGTTCTTAGATGGGTTCAGAGGATGTTCATGGTTTATAATTATTGTAAGGATAAGAAAAGGTTCTCTCAGGGTTTGCCTATTGAATGCAAGAACAAGAGCAAGAACAAAAAAGTCTCGAGATGATATTGTTTGTGTTATTTAAGTAACGAGAAAAGAGTTCGGTTGTGTGTGACATTGAAAAACTAGTTTCACTGACATCAGAAAGAGTAAAGTGAAGATCAGTTATTCGTTTTTTCGATGTAAAAAAAATCAAAAAAACAAAATTTAGCCTTTTACAAACTAGAAGATGACAAATAAAATAATTGCGCTCCATAAATAGTGGTAGGCCGTAGGCATTAGTTAAATTGGCCGTAGGTTTGAAACTAAAATTTGACTTGGGGAATTTTAATGTGTTTTTTTCTGTTGTTGAGAAAATACTATTTTAGACTATTTTTTGTTAATTTATTCCTCTCAATTTTCAGTTTTCAAGCGCTACATCATTTTCACGGCACTTGGTAAAATTGAATAAAACACTAAAAAAAGTGTATAAAAAAAAAACAGCAATGAGCGAGCATTCCCGTTATATTTAAATTTAAAAACACGAAAACAAACTATATCCATATTATTAAGCGCCTAAACCTACCTATATAACAACCTCTTCCGACAATGTAATGAGTTTGGAAAAACTTTTGAGAAAATAAATATTTGAGGATAAATATTCAAAGAGCGGTTGTAGAGAAAGATTGTCTAAAAGGTAAAAAGGAAATGCTCATTGGAGAGGGATCAAACTCGTTCACGGCCTTATCGGTTGGCTCTGAAACGAATTACAGCAACTTCATTCCTGATTGAAATTAGTTACATGTGGCTATAACAATGTTAGATTCTATAGTTTAAATTTAATCCCCCACCCCTCTCACAAACATTATTAGGTGATATAGCATGTAATACTTACGTATTTAGAGTCTGTATATTCCACTTTATTTTATAATTATTAATACAGTAATTACAACCTTCCTGTTTCGCATTGTGTGATGTGAGTCAGGTTTTACCAAAACTCTTTAGACCTCTGCAAGTGTACAGATCGCGGAAGTATGGGTATCAAACACAAGACTGACTATTGAATACACTTTAAAACTATAAATTTTGGATCAAGTTTAAACAAAAGTATGATTGAGAGGTTGTAATTGTAACTAAAATACGAGTTGTAAATTTAATGGGAAGAAGCGCTAGGTCAACAGCGGGCTAATCGCAAAGAAGCAAGTAATGATCAATGAAACAATGATAGGTGATATGATGTAGGGATATTGGGATGTTAAAACCATCTAGAACACAAATCACAAATGTAAAACCTTTCCACTGTCGAGGCTCCGGTTCCTTTATTAATCTATCTAATCGCTAAACTTTTGGTATGTCCCTAGGTGATTAAATCAAGCAATAGATCGAGCGGGTTCCGATACAGTTCGCTAGGTTATAGTAAATCAACTTTCGAAGTCTAAGAAACCTAGCTTGTCAAATAATATGTCCGACGAATGATACAACACTTTCATGGCTCAAGTCAACCTAAGATCGGATTACTAGATGCGCGGTAAAGCAATCAACATTGATTAAGTGAGCAAGACGAGACAAAGACTCTAAGATAATCCCTAGCTAAACATCGAATTCAAAGATCATGCATGCAACTCATTGATTAGTAACCCTAGCAACCTAACAAGTGGATTACTCAGACATGATCAAAGCAATAACACAAAGAGATAAAGAAGACATCATAGATAGATAAAGGTTTAGAAAACTTCTCCAAATTGAAGTGAGGAGGAGAGATCTTCTCCTTAAAATCTCTAGAACAAAACTCTAAGTGTAAAAACGTGATACAATATGCGGCTCTCTCTCAAGATGCTAAAAAGTTGTATTTATAGTATTAGGTCTTCAGAGAGCATTAGGTTAAGTGGGGCCGTGAAAACGTGTGAAACGGGCTTCGGGTCGACCGGACCGTTCGGACGGTCGGTCGGGACGTTCGGCCGGCTATCGGGTCGATCGTGGCCGAGGGATTTCTTGTTTGGTCGTCGGGTTCGGCCTGGTGAATGATAAAGGCTTGAATGTTCTGGCCGGACGACAGACGAGGCCTTCCTGGTCTGGTCGGACGGTACGCTCGTGCGTCCGCACGGGTCATGTTGCGCGGTTGTGAGGCGATGCCTTCGTGTTCGTGCAGTGCGGTCGTGCGCGGCTTATGGTAGCGAGACTTGGACGGGACGACCGTGGGTTTTTGCCTCCCGGGTCGGTACGTGAGCTCGGCCATGCACTAGGCGGAACAGATGAAGTTCGGACACGGGTCGATCGTAGGACGATAGTTCCTCGGTCGGTCGATGCGCGCGGTTGGAATGCGGTTGCACGGTTAAGCCGTGTGGACCAGTCTTCACTAATTTGATATAACTTCATTTCTACTCATCCAAATGATTGTGAATCCACTTGCGTTGGAGAGTTAACTCACTCAGGGCACACGGCGAACTGGTCTTGATGAAATCCATTGAGTATATTATTTTCTAGGCCTTCTCAAAGTTGATACTTTCGTATGAAGCGGGTTGAAGTGCAAATCCTACGGTTTTGCTCCAAAATGCATCATTTTACCTGTTAAGACTCTTAGTACTATAAATCCAATAAAACTACCTTTTTAGATAGAAAACCCGCTAAAAAACATTAGAAAACCATACTAAAATAGTATAAAATGCATGTAAAATAGAGGTATATCAACTCCCCAAGACTATATAAACATCGTCTATATCATTTGAGTTATCTTCTTCATTCTTGGTGTCGCCCTCATGACGACCATAGAGATTATAACCATGTCCTGTATCTCGGACAAAGACTGGCTCTTGCTCTTTTCCCTCATCCGTTGTGCTCCCGTGATTCTCTTGCACCGGTACACTCTGGTTCAGATCGGTTAGTTCGGTTATGGTTTGGACGTTTCTTGCTTGTGTTTGCGTGAGCAAGAAAGATATGATGAAAAAGGTGAAACAGAGAAGAGTTGTGAGTTTTAGTGATTGAGCCATTTTTCTTGGATTTAACATTTAAGTCGGTCGAGTAGAGATTATCTTATTATATAAAGCTGGATGCGCGCGACGTGGTTGCGACACGTATGATTTTTATAAAATTTAGGATTGCGACATGTGTCACTTTTAATGTTATATCCGTTAAGATCGTGACATGTGTCTTAGAAAAAAAGAAAAAAAAATAATTAAAAAAAACATAGATAAAGGAAAAAAAACGAAATTTTAATTTTTTATAGTTAAAAGAAAAAAAATAATATTTGTCATATCCTAATAGAAAAAGGTTTCCCATTCATCAAATTTATATTATCCAAACACATATAAGATTCAAATTAATCAAATAAATAAAATCCTATTAGTACATGAAATAAGTTATAAAAAAATAATAATTAAAAAAAAACATAGATAAAGGAAAAAAACGAAATTTTAATTTTTATAGTTAAAAGAAAAAAAAAATATTTGTCATATCCTAATAGAAAAAGGTTTCTCATTCATCAAATTTATATTATCCAAACACATATAAGATTCAAATTAATGAAATAAATAAAATCCTATTAGTACATGAAATAGGTTATGTAAACTAAATTTCCTATTACTGCATGGAATAAGTTACATGAACCCCTATAAAAAGAGAGTTAAAGTAGTCTTTTTTCTCATTCACAAACTCATCAAAGCAAACAACATGATAGCAATACATATATTTTTATAACTCACAAAATTGAGATATGTGTTTATATTCCCATTATGAACAGAAAAAAAACAATATACAATAAGCTATTGCGATTCAATTATGTGCTTCTATCTTTTGTATAATCTTTTCTCTCATAAAAAATCATGTATTTAAAATTCATGGTATCAATGAATAATATTTAACTCTATATTAGTTGGATAGAAATCAAAATTATTGTCGATACATGTATCTAACTCTATATCGGTTGGATAGAAATCAAAATTATTGTCGTTAGATGTATTTGATCCGGTGAAGACATGTTAATTGGAAAAATGTTAAACAGATATAAAAACTAGAAAAATAATAAAAAAAAACTAACTAATAATGAAAATGAAAATTTATAATGGTCTGAGTCAAAAACAAAATTGAGAAAGAAACAATATAAATAGAAAACTAACAAATTAATTATCAAGCAACTAACTAATATTAAGAAAATATAATGAACCGATATTCTAATTTTAAATAGTTTAATTTTCAATATTGTTAGGTAAAAAATTATTAAATAAAGATTTCATCAATTGAAATCTCTTGAATGGAATAATAAAGTTTTGTTGAATTAATTAATCAGTTGATCATATTTAGACATATATAAGTCTTTCTATATTGGATAAAAATAAAAATAAAACAAATTAATTCATTTTTCATATCATGAATTCAAAAAAAAATATCAATTACAATAAAAACGTAAAAAGGTTACCGATCTTATTTTATTTAAATATTTTTATCGGGTTTTTAATGTTATTCTGTTTACTTTAAAATGATCAAATTTGGTTTAATACTTTTCCATGATTTTATTACAAAATCTTAAAATAAACTCGCGTATACGCTGATCTTAATCTAATATAATATATAACCAAACGTTTGGTGGAGTTAATTGGTAATAGTTATCCATACATTTTTTTTTGTTAAAATAGTTATCCATACATTACCAAACGTTTGGTAAAATCAACATAGCAAAAGTCTTTGTGCCTCTCTAGGTGATGACATATCAGCTTTTTTAAGCTTCTTGGAACTGCCACATCATTTAAAACAAAGAGCCAATAGAAACTTTCTAAATAATACCAGTCAGCAACATTTTCGGTTTACTTAAAACGATTTTAACTCGGTTTGGTTTATCTATTTTGGTTTATCTATTTTGATCCGCCATTCGGTTTCGTTGCGTTCTTCTTCTTCTTCTCAGAATTTTTTTTCTGCGGTTTCTTCTGCTTCTGCACCTTTAGATCCCTTCATTTTTATATTGATTTACTTCAATCATCTACTGCAACTTCACATCCCATTTTTTCTTATATGATGTGTCACTTTTTGTATTGGATCAGTGTTAGAGGATCTATGCTCGTGCTCTCCTCCAATTTTTTTTTTTTTGATTGACCAATTGAATTTGCTCAAATCAGCACCGGAGATTTCGAGAATTACTTTCAACAGTCACTGTATTGTGAATTTGTTTGTCGGAGTTTATGTAAGTCCTTTTCTTTCTGTAATTTATGTTTTGTTTCTCGAGTTCGAATATGTTAGACAGAGCTCGATTTGTTTTGCTGTAATGTTTGTGTTCATCAATTTGTTTAACCAAGGAACAGGCTTTTTCAAACACCGTCAAGTTTGCAGGTGAAGTTTGAAGATAACGGCATGGGCGATGTAGAGCCATTGAAACTGGAATTGAGACTGATGATAAGTGTGGCAAAGAAACAAACAATGTGGTTAGAAAAATGATTAGAACCCATCGGAGGTTATTGTCGGGAACTAAGGGAACCGATGAAGCTTGTTGGAGTTAAACATTTAGGAGAGCAGAGAGCAAAATTCGTCTGATCTTGGAGTAAAGGAGAACACTTTGAGAGCTAAATTAAGTGAAGCGAGAAACAAGAGTTCTTGGCCACGGATTCGGTTATTCATGTGGTCAGATTTTGTATTCGGTAGAAGAGTCACTGTTTTAACCTGCAGTTCAAGATGCTTGTAGTTGGAGCATTCTTTGCTGCTTCAAATAATGTGCCATGTCTGAGATAACTACTGAAAACTTTATATCTTATTACAACAGTCATGAGTACCACATGTTCTTTTATATGCTCCTCATTATTTCTCATTCTGAAGAAGACAACCTTTCACGAGTGAAAAAGTCATGTAACCAAGAAGAATGACCTTCAGCTACATAAGACTGCCAACGATTTTCCAAAGTAACACTCTTTGCCATTTGAAATGACCATTTGTTTGAAAAAGCTTGTTCTATATCATCACTCCATCCTCTGTAGCCTGATACCAAAAGGATGGCCAAGCCTGCGATCGTTCAATCGCACCTAACAAGAAGCATCTGATGCAAAAATTACCCGATGCATTTGGTGATGGATCATAATGTTAATTGCCGAAACATGTGAATCAACTTTGTCTTGAAGCTGATGTTTCTCTTGTCGAAAGCAGACTGAATTTGAGGGGAATAATTTCTTTATCAAATTGAATGCAAAAATGAAATATAGAGGAGTCTACATGAATTTGATAAGAACTTACATTAAGTTGTCTTTTATTTTTATTGTGCTTTATTTGACAGAGAGATTGTCAAGTACATAAAGGTTCTAATTACTTGGTATACTCGTATAATGGAGAGAATAGTAACTTATGAACAATACCAAATAATAAATCAATAAAAATAAAAAAATCATGGATAACCTTATCATTAATGTTATTAGGAAAAACATATATCAATGTATTCTAAGATATTTGATTAACCTTCTTTTAATTTATTCCAATCAAAAAGTTACAAAAGAGAGAAAATATGCACAAGTGATGTGAAATTAAATTTCGAGAAACTAAACAAAACATTGTGTCGAAAAAACTATCATAATATTTTTTTAGAAACAAATTTTACAAAAATGAAAAAACCAATTAAATAAGTAAAGTAACAACATCATCCGCGCGTAACACGGGCTTTAACCTAGTAAAATTAAAACGATAGAATTGACAAACGAATCATGGAAAGCGACTAAAAAAGAGTCTCATTAGTTTGGTTCCTTGATTTGTGGAAAAGCAATTCGAATTATCTCTCACCGAAAGTATAATGTTACACGCTTTAGAGAAATTTAATTTAATCCAACACATAAATCCATTTACCAGTCTAAAACATGTATAGATCTTTTTGTTTTTATAAATTCTATATATAATCCTTAAAAGGCATTATTAAATTTTAATCAGTCAAGATAATCTATAGATCTAGTATGTATATGCTCCAAGAGAAGAAGAGATACCTTATTGTACTCTTCAGCTGTCGAGAAAATTGCAAATCAGAAGAAATGACAATGTTTCTCCATTGAAAGAAAAAAAGGCATAATAAAAAATTATATATGAGCTTTTAAAAAGCAAACAGAAAAGAGAGGGAAAACTCGAAAACAATGGTTGATTGTACAATACAATATACTATTGCATTTTTGTTATTTATGATATAAATATCCATCGGAGGAAATGTTTACGCAACCGTCAGACCGCCGTCTGCTGCCGCTCTCTAGGCCGTCTTTCCTTTCTGATGCAAACAAAGAAAAATCAATTTGTAACATTAATCATATATTCCTCAAATTTTGTATATATACAATGTATTAATAATGGACTGACCCTTTTATCTTCTTCGATCTTGGCCTTAATGACAGAGTACATTGCAACTCCAGCAATGGCTATTCCAGTTCCTATACCTGTCTGCGTCGATATCTTGTTTCCTGCAAATAAAAATTATCATTTAAAAAATACATTAGTCATTTCATTTGTGTCAAATATAATTCGGCGTTTAAATTTGCATACGACCTTGAAATAAGTAATTTGAGACAGGTTTGATTTTATTACGGAAACATGATAGAAAAAGATAGATGAAGACAGGGTTGTAGTAATTTTTACCAAAGATAACGATGGAGAAACCGATGACGAACACACGTTTCAGAACGTTTCCAACCGCATGAGTCAGCGGTGCGACCCTCTCCAAGGTATTAGTAGCCAACTGCATGCAACCGCGGTTTTCTTAGGTTTAATTTATAAACGCACGTTTGAGGTTAAAGGTTAAAAAAAGAACTTTGGGATTTGAAGTTAAATCACCTGATTGTAGAGATGGTAAAACATTCCAACCCAGAAGAGATCAGTGACAAACTTAGTCATTCCGACTTTCGCAATTGCGTCGTTGAAACCGTGTTTCAACAGCTGAGGCCCTTCAACCTAACCACATAAAATAACAAACAAACCCTAATAAACAAAATTGCTTCTCTCACACGTAACTGATGTAGTGAATTCAAAAAACACTTAACGATGATGGCAGGAGGAATGCAGACGAAGAGAGCGATGATGGAGATGTAAGCGTATACATTTGTACTGTCCATATCAGTCTGCAAAATCACACGAATTGTTTTCAAAACCAAAACTTGATGAGACGCTTAAAATTAGTGCTGTGAAGAAAGAGTCAAGCAAGAACCATGGCTTTCTTGGAGAAGATGCTTCGGTAAGTGAAAGAGACATTTGAGATCATGGCACTGATGAAACCGAGCCAGTTGAATGATAGCTCGGTTAGCGAAGCCATTGAAACTCCTGCAAGTTTTTATAAGGGTTAATTAATCCGAGGAAACTTAGGTCACAAGAAACAAAAGAGTTTAGGTTGTGTGGTTTACCGAGAACAACAGGAAGTAGAGACAGCCATAGTGATATGGGAATGGATTGTCCAAGTACGAATTGAGAAGCAGCCGCATTGAAGAATGGCTCCAGCGCTGCGTTTTGAACACGAACCATGATACATGTTAGACGTTGTTATATGTATAGTATAAAGTTTCAAATCCTTAATCCTTTTAGAGGAAAAGTAAGTACCTTTGATGGTGTGAGTGAAGGAGACAGCAACGGCTGCGAAGGAAACGTTGCTAGTGACATGTCCTAAGGCGTGACACACTGCAACTGGTATCAATACCTTGAGGAGGTTCGCGTCAATTGGCTGCAACCATCAAGACAACAAACATAACAGAGTATTAATGGTAATTTATCAAATGGGCGTTTGGTCTAGTGGTATGATTCTCGCTTTGGGTGCGAGAGGTCCCGAGTTCGATTCTCGGAACGCCCCATATTTTTTTTATTTTATTCTTTAACTTTTTTTCATTTTTGCGTAACTCAAGAAAAAAACACTTGTAGAAGAGATGAACTTACGGCCCGTTTAGGAAGGCCCACGGACCAGCTAATCAAGCAGTACACAACTCCAACCAACAAGTGAATAACCGATACAAAACTGAAAAGGGACAAAATTAATTTATATTAGAAAAAAAAAAATGGATTCTCTTGTTTATTCAGATTCGATTCTTCATTGGACCAACAGAATATGGTTCCATCATATTTCTAGTTTTATTTTCCATCTGAAATTTCAGTACAACCAAAGAGAAATACATTGGTGGTCCAATGAGAAATATATATTTTTTAATATAGTGAATTAACTCCAAACCTTTTTTTTTTCTTGACAACACTCCAAACTTAAATTTACAAACAAATTAACAGAGATAAAAAAAATATTTTAGACAATAGACCACCATGTAAAATGTAAATGTGTTTACTTACTAGGGATAAGGGAAGTAATTATAGATCTTCTTGTTCAGGATGTTGAAAATCACGTTCAAGAAGTACCTGTAAATAACAATCCACAGGGGTTAAAACCGTAAATTTTTACGCTATTAAACTTTGGCGGTAAAAGAAAACTGCTATAGTGCGCGTGATCACATGCGCAGGTTATGAGATGATAAGCGCATGAGTGAGTGATACTAACCACATGAAGAAGAAGAATCCGGTGACGAGCCACGGATACTTCCCGAGGATTCCAGGTTTCGTTTCCCTGCGCGAAAAGGAAACCGAGTCAGATCACACCGAGTCAATCGAGTCAACACCGAGTGAGCCAGAAACGGACCTCATTTCTTACCCAGCGGATTCTCCACCTTCGGCAGCGGCGGCTTTAACCGGCTTGAGAATCTCTCTTTTCTCCGGAGAGCTTTCGAGAAGGAGAATTGGACGGAGCTGACGACCGGAGATCAAATTCCCTCCCTCTCCGATTGCTCCGATCGGCTTGGCGAAAGCCGTGAACGACGACGCAGTGCTGAACTGACGGTGGATCGCTACGATCGGTCGTCTCAACTGCGGTATTCCGGCGACCGGTACGGTGGCGCGTAACAGCACGCGTGACTCCATCTCGAATTTTTTTTTCAGCGGTTACACAAATTTTCTCTCTGACAGTGAGTGAGAGGGAAGGGAAGTGAAATATGAGGTTGTCGCGTATTTCAAGAGTGGATGACTTCGTGATCGAACGGCTACGATGATTTTGATTATCCTAAGAGAGGGATGATCAGGTGTATCGCAATGTATGGTGTTATAGTGTGTTTGATGGTGTAATATGATCTGACGGTTAAAATGATGCGATTAGATAAGAATCTTTAGATACTGGCTCAGATTGGTCGACTGTGGGACCTATCTTATCTTGAGGTGGATGGCTTAAGAGACTAGAGTGAATTTTAGCCAATCGAATTTCCATATCATCATCATCTGTTGTTTCTTTGTTGTTATTCTCATTTTGGAGATAATAATAATGGAGATTATGTAGATTTTTTTTGTTTCTCCCACTTATTTACTTGAGTTGAGTGGTCTTCAAATTATTGAACGTGACAGAGTCACAAGAAAGTAGATTTTTATGAAATTTACTTGTTTTGAAGGTATGACTATTTTTGTTTATAGTTTTTACTTATTTTTATTGGTTAAATGTCGGCATTTGATTTGCAGCGCTTTCGATTTCCTTATTTTTTATAAGTTATTACTTATGAGTGTGCTTCATGTATGTTTTCTAGATTTTACAATACTTAGTTAAAATTAATTACTTTTTGTGATAAATTTTGTATATCCCTAAAAACTAAACAACTAACAGCAAAATAATATAGCTGTAAAAAAAAACTAAATATAATGGTTCTTTTTGAGATAATTAATAAAATATTATCGTTTTAGAGATTAACTGCGATTTTAAATATAATTTAACCTCGTCAAACCTCTATATGTTAATGAATTACAGGACTAATTTGGCCTGGTCAATAATAGTTGGTGATTTATTATGTTTATGAACAAGTTGGAGCTTTGTTTGGCCAAATCAGAATAATCCGGAATTTTTTAGACAGTTTTCCAAATTATAATTTGTAAATATTTTCAAAATTGTACAGAAAATCTAGAAATTAACGAAATCTACACTCACATTTTCTTCATTTCGGGTGTTTCGTAATCATTAATTTCGAAATACATAAATAATTAAAGATTTGTTAAAAATTGTTAATTATAAAGTTGACAAAAAAAAATTGTTAATTATAGACTGTGTTGCGTAGTAGAGAGACCTTCTAAATCATCCAGAGACTCAGCTAAAGTCTCCCATTTGGAAAAAGCCCGCCGTTGTTTACTTCTCTTTCCCCCCTCCGATAATCCTTAGTCCAAGTCGCCAAACTGGTTATCGGTTCCTCTCCGGCGATCTCATTCACCTTCTAGCTCGTAACGATTTTCATTGCTGCTTCCTTAGATTCTGGTGAGTTACTGAGAAGGTTTATATAACTCAGTGAAGTGCTCGGATTATCCCAACGTAATATTCTGAGACAGATGAGAAATATGTTAGTGAGATCCTCCTCTACACATGTTATTCGCTCTCTCTATCTGCATAATTTGATGATTAAATGATTTATCTGGCCTGTGTTATATTGCTTTGTTATGAGGCTTGAAGAATTGTTAATGCGCACAAACTGTTCGACGTAATGCGTAGCAGAGATTTTTGCAATTCGACATTTTTGTGTAGTCTCTCTAAAATCGTTTTTTTTCTTCTAATTTTCGTTCTCTTTATTGTAGAAAGGCGTCATTTTTTTCAGTAATGGGTAGCAAAGTGAAGATGTTCAAGTGGTCAAAAGAGATCACACCTTCACAGGTTATCAAACTGATGCGAGCTGAGAAAGACGTTGAGAAGTTGATCGCAGTCTTCGATTCCGCCACCGCAGAATACGCGAATGGGTTCTTACATGACCAGAGCTCCTTCGCTTACATGGTCTCGAGGCTGGTCTCTGCGAATAAATTCAAAGCAGCTGAAGATCTGGTTGCGAGAATGAAGGTTGAGAACTGTGTCGTTAGTGAAGATATATTGCTTTCGATATGCAGAGGATACGGTAGGGTTCATAGACCGTTCGATTCTTTGAGGGTTTTCCACAAGATGAAAGATTTCGATTGTGATCCTAGCCAGAGGTCTTACGTTACTCTTCTTGCTATTCTTGTGGAAGAGAATCAGTTAAACTTGGCTTTCAAGTTTTACAAGAACATGAGAGAGATCGGTTTGCCTCCTACCGTTGCGTCTCTCAACGTTTTGATCAAAGCTCTCTGCAGAAACGACGGGACAGTGGATGCTGGGGTTAAGATTTTTCTTGAAATGCCTAAACGAGGGTGTGATCCGGATTCCTACACATATGGGACCTTGATTAGTGGTTTGTGCCGGTTTGGAAGGATAGACGAGGCGAAGAAGTTGTTTACGGAGATGGTTGAGAAAGACTGTGCTCCAACTGTTGTTACCTACACTTCTATGATCCACGGTTTGTGTGGATCGAAAGATGTTGAGGAAGCAATGAGATTTCTGGAAGAGATGAAGAGTAAAGGCATCGAGCCGAATGTGTTCACTTATAGTTCTTTAATGGACGGTCTTTGCAAAGATGGGAGATCATTGCAAGCCATGGAGTTATTTGAGATGATGATGACCAGAGGCTGCAGGCCAAACATGGTGACGTATAGCACTCTGATCACTGGTCTTTGTAAGGAGCAGAAGATTCAAGAAGCCGTTGAGCTTCTTGATAGAATGAATCTTCAGGGTTTGAAACCTGATGCTGGATTGTATGGGAAAGTGATCAGTGGGTTCTGTGCTATTAACAAGTTTCCCGAAGCTGCCAATTTCCTTGATGAGATGATTCTTGGAGGAATAACTCCGACTCGTTTAACTTGGAACATCCATGTTAAGACGAGTAATGAAGTCGTCCGAGGTCTTTGTACAAGTCATCCGAGCCGCGCGTTTGCTCTGTATCTAAGCATGAGGAGTAGAGGCATCTCGGTTGAGGTTGAAACGTTGGACTCTTTGGTGAAGTGTTTGTGCAAAAAGGGTGAATTTCAGAAAGCGGTTCAGTTAGTTAACGAGATAGTGGCTGATGGGTGTGTTCCAAAGAAAGGAACTTGGAAGATACTTGTAGGTTACACATTGGATAAAACAGTTGTAGGAGAAGCTTCAGAATCTCTTCTCAGAGATTTGGAGATTTAAGTGCCAAAAGGAAGATTGGATTGAAGACAGCTGAAACAAACATGCCGAATCGAACGACTTGCACAAACGTTGAGATACAAGAGAGAAGGTCAGATTCCGAAAGCTTTATGAAAGTTTTACATTTTGAGTCAGAACATCGTTTAGCAATGAGCAGAGAGAGGGAATCCGATACCATGGCGTGTAGTAGGAAATGTAGCGAACATCAAACTGCAAAAGACTCCTACGGCTACGGGCAAGGCTGAGAGAAGCTCTGCTGCTGCTGACCACATTGTGATCAAACATAACCACGGCTCCAAACACCAGAACCGACATGATGGCATGCGTGAAGTCTATAAACCGGAGTTTGTAGCTTTGGGAACGTTCTTTAGGAAGAACAGCTTTGCCATCGATTATCCATAAGCCATTGGTTGTGGCGATTCCATAGCAGACGTTTCCGTTCAAGTCCTTGTAAGAGTCAGTGAAGCTAAGTATGAAACAAGACAATCCGCAGATGGAAACTAGCAACTCCGTCATGAATCTGCTAGCTAGATCGCAGCGTCCGCCGTTTGTGAAAATCGGGGACAAGACCTGGTACGCGAGGAGTGTCCCTGTAGGTAAGAGGTTAGCTAGATGAGCTGTGGTTTGAAACGTCTGACCTATTGCCTTGTGTATCCAAGTGTTCCTTTCTATTTCAGGAAAGTCTTGTTCCTTCAAGAGTGCAACTTTGACTTCTTTGGCACCATTGTTTCCAGCTTCTTCATCAACCTTAGGCTCCATAACACTCAAGATTCAAATCTCTTTTTCTTTTCTTTCTCAAGGTGCTTTGTTGCTTCTCTGTTTTTAGCAGAATGCTTGACTTTAATAGAACAGTGGGGCTCCTTGCTTTATTATGCATTGAAAGCCAAAACCTAACTATCTGTTTAAGTTAAGTACAAGATTTGATTTAGTTGTCTATTAATAGGAATGTTTTTGGTTTACAACTTTACATCATTGAAAAGTGTTTTAAACGTTTGGTTAGGTTGTGACTTTACCATCTTATCTTGAAGTGATTGGCTTACAATGGAACCGTACCATTTATGTGGTCCGAAATTTGATTTAACCTCCCACGGTCACAAGAAAAACGTGACAAAGTCTCCAGAAAGAGAAAGACAAACTTCTGTAAACATAAAATCTTACTATATTTGCTTATATGTTTCTGTTGGCATTTGATTTGCTGCCTCAGTGCTTTCATTTTTTGTATTCATTTTTCTTACATTCAAACAAATAGAACAAAATAGCTATAAGTACAATAACAAATGCTTTTTTAGTTTGTAGTTTTGTAAATGAACATGTCGGATGGAACAATTGACACAAACATTGAAATCTTCTATTCAAGAGATCAATTTGAGACACAACAAAGAATATTAGAATCTAAATGGGTTATGAGGAATTAACATTTTTGAATCAGAAAATCATTTAGCAGTGAGAGGAAAACCAATACCATGACGAGTAGTAGGAAACGTAGCAAACAACATACTGCAAAAGACTCCAATGGCTACAGGCAAAGCTGTGAGAATCTGTGCAACTTCATCAGATGGTTGAGGGAAGAAACATTTGACCGCATTCTGATCAAACATAACCACAGCTCCAAACACAAGAAACGACATGAACGCGTGTGCAAAGTCAATAAACCTTAATCCATAGCCTTTGGAGCGTTCTTGAGGAAGAGAAGCCGAGCCATCGATTATCCACAAGCCATTGGTTGTTGCTAATCCGTAGCAAACATTTCCATTCAAGTCCTTGTAAGAATCTGTGAAGCTGAGTATGAAACAAGAGAATCCGCAGATGGAGACTAGCAAGGCTGTCATGAATCTGCTAGCTAGACTGCAGTTTCCAGCGTTTGTGAAGATTGGCGATAGGATTTGGTAAGCAAGAACTGTCCCTGTTGGTAGGAGATTAGCTAGATGAGCTGTTGTCTGAAATGTTTGACTTATTGCTTTTTGTATCCATGTGTTCCTTTCTATTGCAGGAAAGTCTCGACTTTGAATTATAACTCGATCTTCCTCCAAGAGTGGAACTTTCTCTTCTTTGATCCTGTGACGAGCACTATTGATTCCAGCTTCTTCATCAACCTTAATCTCCATAATTGCACTCTCAAGATTCAAATCTCTGTTTATTTCTCTGTCTTTTCAGGTTCTTTGTTTTTCCTCTTTTGTGAAAGTCTTTGCGTTTGATTTAATACATAACATTTGCTGCTTACTTTATTATGCATTGCAACTTGCAAGCAAGTTCGAAACCAAAGTATTTGTTTAAGTGAAGGATAAGCTTTGACCTTGTCTATTAAAGGATTGTAATTTTTTTTTTATATATTTTGGTTCCACGATCGAATCTTTAATGGTTATGCGATGCTGATTTTTAACTTCCCATGAACAATACTATGTTTTAACGTCTTTCAATTTTCATCATAATTTTTTTTGGTGTATTTAGAATCTTTCATTCGTTTGACAAAAAAAGTAGACAATCCTTGTGGGATTCTTGTTAAAGAAGAATAAAAGTTTCTCCAACGCCTTTGGATAATTTCGAGTAGCTCTCGCGTGGAGGTCAAGCAAGGCTATTAGAATATGCCAAACCAATTTTTAATGTAAAATATTTCCTTAACGCAAAACATTGTGTAAATGATTAGTTTTATTATTAAAATGTTAACTGACTTCAAAATCAGATTAAAGTCGGGTTCCTTCGGTGGCGTCATGAGATTAGACTTGCACGTTAACAGCGTTTTTTGCTATGATATCTCAATTATTAACGAACTAATTAACGATGAATCGTTGACTAGAAAGAATGAAACGTAATATCGTTGACAAAAAGAAATTAGTGGAGTTATTTCCTAAGCATATTTTCTTGGAACATTTGGCTATGCGAACGAAAAAAGCCCATATAAAGAAACACCTTAACAAAATCTCACAAAATAATGAATTTTGTAAAATTGGCTTGAGCTTTCAGGCCTGTTAACAAAGCAGAGTATGAGTTTAGGGTTTTTATTACCTATATATATGATACATACTAATACTATATATCGTCAAAAAACTATAAAAATGTGAAAGATTGAACTAAGAAAATTCAAAAAATACATAACACCTACTATTACTAGTTACTAGTTATGCTACCTTCTCCAACTATTTGGTCTAGTCGTTTACAGCTATCGACTCTAAGAAACATTACTATATATATGTATGTAACTATATACTATATGTAAATGAATGTTGTATGTATATGTTTACCATGTCAAGAATGGCGACGGAGAGAAGACGAAAACCAGTTAACTCCTTTTTCCCTCCAAATATCTGAAGAGCAATCATCAACATGTTGTGGAAGCTGACGATTACATCAGCCACAACAAAAAAACCTTTTTTCCCATAGCAAAATCATCAAAAGATTAGTTTCAATATCAACGTTTTCAATCATCAACTTATGGTAGCACGGAGCTCCATGAAACTCTCGAGGACATAACACTGCCATTTCTTGTCTTTCATGGGGAAGCCGATACAGTTACCGATCCAGAAACAAGGTTAAGCAAGGTTATAAGAATATGCCAAAAACAATGTTTAATGTGAAATGTTTCCTTAACGCAAAACATTGTGTAATGAATAGTTTTATTAAAAAATGTTAACTAATCATTAATATTTCACAATGTTAACTAATCATGAATTTAACGAGATTAGACTTGCACCTTAATTTCGTTTTTGTTATGATATCTCAATTATTAACGAACTAATTATATGTGAAATATATAAAAATTAACAAATATAAGTATAACGTAAGCAAATTACAAGCAAAATATATACAAACATAAGTAAATCATAATGAATATGACAATTTTAAGGAAATATTTCACAAAGTTAACTAATTCATTACACAATTATGTCAAAGGCAATACTGTGTTTTATTAATGTGGTTTTAGCTGACAACAATTATGTATCTAGAATGCGTCTATATTATTGTTATTAGATCATTTAACCAAAAAAAAAAAAAAATTATTGTCAGTCCAATTTTTTCAATCTTATGAAAATTGTAATAGAATAAAGCATTTAATTTATTTAACATGAAAAATACCTACTATAAACATTGAATTATCAGAGAATTAAAATTAAATGAATCTATACTATATAAAAGTTGAGGCTATAAGCCTCTGAGAGCGTCCACATAGGATTAAAAGACGCGATTTTATTGGTCCACATAAGCATCTCCAAAATTAAGTAATTTTCAATTTTATACAACCAATAGTTTCATTCCACATCATCATATAATTTTAATTATAGTATTTGTAAAATTAATTGATTTCCTTTTTATATTTTCAGAAAATTTCCTAATTTAAGGGCATTATTTATTTTCGTATTAACTAATTTATTAAATAAGGAAATTATATTTTCAAATACCAATGAAAAGAAACTAATATATAAACAATTTTTAAATTTGTAATATTATTTTTTTAATAACTCTAATATATAACTGATTTTAAATTAAGAAACCTCACAGTTCCAAAATAATTAAACAAAGTGCTTCGATTTTTGTTAAAACTTAAATTCGATTTAGTAATATATTTGAAAGATTTATACAAAAATATTTTAAGAGAATATAAAAGTTGAGGCTATAAGCCTCTAAAAGTGTCCACATAAGATTTAAAGACGCGATTTAATTGGTCCACATTAACATCTCCAAAATTAAGTAATTTTTCCAATTTTAAACAATCAATAGTTTCATTCCACATCATCATATAAATTTAATTACAGTCTTTGTAAAATTAATTGATTTCCTTTTTATATTTTCAGATAATTTCCGAATTTAAGGGAATTATTTATTTTCGTATTAAATAATTTATTAAATAAAGAAATTATATTTTCTAAACCAATAAAAAGAAACTAATATATAAACGATTTTGTAAATTTGTAATATTAATTTTTTAGTAACTCTAATATATAACCGATTTTAAATTATTAAACTTCAAAATTCCAAAATAATTAAATAAAGTGCTTCAATTTTTGTTAAAATAGTAACTATATTTGAAAGATTTATACAAAAATATTTTAAGGGAACTACTATATTAATTATGAAAAATTATATGGTGAGTTTTCTTTTTTAGCTAACTTAAAAAAAAAAAAACAAAAAGAGAAAGTTACACCCTAATAAGTAATAACTGAAAGATTTGTTCAAAGTAAATATAGCCAACTTTGCAAGTGAGTGGATATTAACATTACATAATCTAGATATGAAATAATAAAAAAAGATAAAAAATAATAATAATAAAGACGGCTAATGTCATGAAGAAGACATTTAAATTCATGTGTAGTTCCTTTGAGATGATAAGAGAGATCAAGTTTTGCGAGATCCAACTTACATTGGGAAAAGAAAAATATGCATATAGCCCACTAAATTACACTTTATTTATCACAAGAATTTCAACAATATTGGTCAAACAAGTAAAGACTAGACTTGCATTGCAAAGGAGAGTTCTTGGGAGATTTGATAATCCATCTCATACTACATTTGTCCAAGGAAACATTCCAAGTTGCATTATCACAACAAGATTTTCCATTTCAGATTATAATGCATGCCAAATAGAGAGGGTAAAGAGAGTCTGCTTTCTTAGCTGAACTTCGGGCATCACTCATTCATGGGCAATTGGGCATTATTCACAACTTTAAAGAGGATTTTATCTTTATGTAAATCACAATATTCAAATAGGAAAAGTTTATGGGCCTTCTACAAATGCAAAAAAATCCAAAGGTAGAGAGGAGTAGATAATAAAACTATTGGAGACAGAGTAGTCATCTTTTTTGCACCTTGAAGAAGTTTCAATGAAAGGTGTTCGCTTGCCGCAACTTCGTTGAAAAAAAGACTGAATCACAAATTCATATTATAAAATACCATATGAAGAAGATATGGAATAAGAACAATAAGAAGATAAAAATGAAGAACATCGAAGACGAAGATACCAAAATAGAAAGACAAAAAAAAAAAACCAAAGAAGAATAAAGTAGAAGATGGAAACACCGAATCTGAAACCACGTAGATGAAATTGATATATAAGGAATCAAATAAGAACAGAGGAGAATAAACCAAACAAGAACGAAAAAGAAGAAGCAAGACGAGCAAATACGAAGAAGATCAAAGTAGATGATGAGTGTAGATGAGTGAATATAAGTGAAGATGAAGAAAAAACGAAGTAATTAGTATACTTACACTTCTACGGAGAAGATTTGATAATCCATCTCATACCACATTTGTCTAAAGAAGAAGCAAGACGAGCAAATACGAAGAAGATCAAAGTAGATGATGAGTGTGGATGAGTGAATATAAGTGAAGAGGAAGAAAAAACGAAGTAATTAGTATACTTGCACTTCTACGGAGCAGATGAGAGTTCAAGGGAGATTTGATAATCCATATCATACCACATTTTTCTAAGAAAATATTCCAAGTTGCATTACAAAAACAATATTTTGTGTTCCATATTCTAATGCATGCCAAACAGAGGATAAAAAGAGGCTGCTTTCTTAGCTGAACTTCGGGCATTCATTCATGGACATCTTTCACAGCCTTAAGGAAGATTTTATTTTACTGTAACTCACAATATTCAAATAGGAAGAGAGTACCAGCCTTCTACGGATGCCAAAAAATCCAAGGGTGGAAAGGAGTAGACAATAAAACTATTGGAGACAAAGTAATCATCTTTGTTGCACCTTGAAGGATTTACAGTGAAGAGTTCTCATTTGCCACAAGTTTGTTGAAGAAAATGGCTGAATCATATACTCAGACTGAAAAATGACATATGAAGAGGATATGAAAGAAGAACATTAAGAAGATAAAATTAAAAATTATCGAAGACGAAGATACCAAAGTAGAAAGAAAAAAAAAGACCCAAAGAATAACAAAGTTGAAGACGGAAACACCGAATAAGAAACCACGAAGATGAAATTGAAAATTAAGAATTAATCAAAGAAGAAAGGAGGAGAAGAAACCAAAAGAGGAAGCAAGACGAGCGAAGACGAAGAAGAGCAAAGAAGATGAGTGAAGATGACCAAAAAAACGAATAAGAATAAATAAAAAGAAAAAGAAGCTACCAATTTAGAACAAAGACGACAAGCCAAATTATAAGGTTTTTTTTTTCACAAGTTTCTAATACGGTTCACTTAAAAACAATGTTGGTTCAGGCTGATCATGTTGTCATAATATTGAAAAAGAAAAGTTTGGGATCTATTCTTATGTCGAATTTTATGAAGCAATTGACAAAACATATAAATATTAAGAAATGTGAGGATAGGGCTATTGTATGTTTTTTACAGAAAATACGTTTTTAAAAAGTACCTTACTTATTATGATTAATTATAAAATAATTAAATTGGTAAAGTAAAAAAATAATTAAAAAGTATATTACAAAGATAAGTTTATAAAAAAACAGCAAAAAATAAAAAATTGTGAAGCTTTGGAAGAAAATAAATTTAAATATAACAATTTAAAAAATCATTAGAACAGACCCGCGCGTGCGCGGGTTAAAAACCTAGTCAATGTAAATAAGTATAGCATGAGCAAAATATAATGCGAAACATGGTAAATATGATAATTTTATCATGTTTTGTTGATACATAATTTCTTTTAACATTATATATTTAAGATTGAGAGCTCCATATGATTGCTTTCAACATTTGATTTTTTTTTTAAGTAATAGAATTATGGGTGAATTAAGTGAATAACAATATTAGGACTGAAATTTAGTATCTATTGAAATTTATATTTCTTTACATTATATTTGGCAGCAAAACATAAAGTATCGCTGAAATCATGGACATCCATGGAAAAAGGGCGATTCAAAGATTTATTCTCTTTGTTGTATGATGACATTTTTTAGAGTGACTGAAAATTGGATGTCTCAATCTTTATTTCTCATGGAAGAATTGATTCTACACATACTATTGACCTAAATTGGGATATACTGGTATCTAAAATGGGACGAAATGTAAAAGTTCCCAAGAAAATTAGCAGAGTTGAAAATCTGTTATTCACAAAGACTTCTCAAGCAAAAACATCTTCATTATGTATATTTTTATTATTATTTTATGTATTTTCTTATGTTTACATTGAGTTCAATATTAAAAACGGTAGATGTTATAAAAAAAGAAAAGCAATTTTAGGGTTGAATATTAAGCTTGTAGGGTTGAAGTAACTATGGAAAAAGATTTTTGCTGTTTTTGAAATTATTGGCCAATTAGATTGGAAAGAGTTATATACCATTTTGTTTTGCCTTTCATATATGTTGTTTTCGATTTGAATAACTATGAATCAAACGAAGTAGCCTAAATGGAGTCTATTAGAGTTTGATAAACCAAAAGATTAATTGTGATTAACATGTGCGATACAGTGTGATATTTATATACAAAACATTCTTCAACCCAAAACAATTAATGTTTACACAATTACGAGATGAAACACAATGGATTGGATAAAACAATGAATAAACCCATAAATTGCATAAACAAGTATATAAAATCGAAGCACTTGTTTCTCGTTAGCTTTGGCGTGTGAAGAGCCAGGCATTATGGGAAGGAGTAATGGAGCTTCTGGGAAGGAGTAAGCGGACAGGAATGGAGATAATTAGGCATTATTAGACGCTGACTTTTCTACACCTGCCGGCTCACATCAATTTGCGAGTCCACAACCTCTCATCGCTTCGAATATGTAATATACTAATATGTCGTCTATGGCCGTCATGAAGCCACAAACTTTAAAGACTCGAACCGCCTTTTGGTCACTGAAAACTTCGATGGAGAAGTCATGGTTAGATCAAAATAAAAGTTTAGCCATCGTTTTTTTTTACTGCAACATTGATTTCTTTTTCAAAAGGTCAATTTGATATAATTATAGAAAATATGGGCCATACTCTAGGCATGACTTCAGTATGATTATCTTATTAATATATAGAGTTTTTATGGTTATTTATTACTAGATTAAGCTCTACGTATACACGGGATTTATTTTATAGGTTTTCAAACAAATTACCAAAAAATTATTAAACAAAATATGAGAATTCTTAAAAACAGTAAATAGAATAGTGAGAACCCGATAAGAAATCTCTAAATAACATAAGAAGTACGAAGACTTAAATTGTGTATTCTTATTTATTTTTTACCTTTTCCGTTAGGATATGAAACCTTTATATCTTAGAATATGATGCATGCAAAATTTTTTTTTTCATTTTTCCTTTAGAATATAGATTTTTTTCAGTTAGAATATGAAAATATACTTTTTCCATTTCTTTAATTTTAGAATATGGGGTATGCAAAAAAACTTTTTCTTTCTTCCGTAGTAATATGAAACATTTTTCCGTTAGAATATTACAATATACGTTTTCCTTTTTTTTATCACATTTTTAAATAGTTTTTTTTTTCCAAAACACATGTCAAAGTCTTAGTATGAGTAAAATTAAAGTTGACATAGGTCGCCATAACCTATTATAAGGTTCATGAAACCTATTACATGCAATATAGGATTTTATTTAGTATATTATTAAGATTAGTTAATGTAACCTATTTCATATACTAATAGATTTTTGTTTAATTGAATTTAATATGTGTTTACCTATTTCATGTATTAATAAGATTTTGTTTATTTGAATTTAATATATGTATGAATAATATAAGTTTATGAATGGAAAACCTTTTTAACATAAAAGATGATAAATATATTTTTTTTCCTTTTATTATAATGGATAAAATATTCTCTTTCCTAACATTAAAAAAAAAAATCCAAAACATATGCTTTCATCTTAACAGTTATAAAACTAAAAATAACATTTGTGCGATCTTATTAAATATAAAAAAAATTATTTGTCATAACCACATCGCCCACATCCAACTTTGTATAATAAAATAGTATCCTAACATTATTTCAGCATTTAAAGAAACTAAAATATTAGATAAATGCAAATATATTTTGTAAGTTAAATTAACTGTGACAAGTCATAAAGTGTTAGAATAGATTGAACTAATTTTCCGAATTGAAGGAAATTTGATGGTGTAACGAACGTACCAATATATAACTTCTAAGAGTGTCATTAGCACATGACTAATTAAATATTTTGCAGGACCCAAGGTGTTTTGTAGATGTGACATACATAAGCATAATCACCGTTTGGTCTTGTATATACTCTTTAGGCTATATAATATTGATATGAATGATTTTCTTTATAGCTTCCAATTTTGGTCTTGCCAAATTTCAGACGAAATTTTTTTCTATCACATATTGGGAGTTTGTGACTGATGTACAAACATTTTTATAAAAATACGATAGTTCAATCTATTGAACTCAAATCCGCATAGACTTTTAATTTTATAAAAAGACGTCAACTGGGAAGAAGAAGAAAAATTCCATATGTTTGTACAAAGTTTTAGAGTATAAATTATAAATTCCAAGTTAGAAAATAGACTAGCTAGATGCATTTTGTTGTGAGAGTTATATATAGAATTATTATAAGAGAAAACATATATATATATATAATATAAAATGGCATTAGTTATTGGTTAGGTGCGAGTTTCACCTGCCAAAGTTATATATGGGTCTATTTTGAATTTACTATCTTTTTTATATCATATTTTCTACTAACCGAACATATATATATGTATATAAACGTTGTCAAGTAAACAAGAAACAGTTTTGCATTTGCCATTTTGCAACTAAAATAAATTTAGGACAGTAATTGATCTAATCCACAGAAACCAACAAACATTTATCATTTAAAAAATGTTTTTTTATGATCAAAACTATCTATGTAGTAAGATCTTTCTTATGAATTCGTTTCTTTAACCAGTATTATCCCTGTAAGACTAGTAATATACAGAAGATCAACCAATGGTTTCTAAAAGTATCAACATTTGGTTCCAAACATTTTGTTGTACCTAAAAGTCCAACGCGCTCAGTTTTTCTGCTTACATTTATAGAGAATAATGTACATATTCATAATTGGTATGAGCTCGATTTAAGTAAAAAGATACTGGTAAACAAATACTATTAAAAATAATATATTTCTCCATAAAATAAAGAGTCCATGAAATTATATTGACCATCTAGACGTACATTATTATTCCTTCCTTTGTCTTATGACCTTTATTTTATTTTACTTTTCTTCTCGTATATATATAAATTCATGAATTGAGTCTCTTTTCTTTTTAAGAAAATCAAATGGACAAATCTGAAAAAATCGCATACGTTTCTGTTTTGTCTCTTCTCTCACTTTCTCTTCTTCTTCTCATCGTCTTCCTCTTCTTATTATGCAGAAAGAAACCGATCCGGTCAGACGAATCTCTACTTCCAGAAACCAAACCGGCCGGTCATGCTTATCCCTTGACAGAGTTAGATTCGGCAACCGACGGATTTAACCAGCGACGAATCCTCGGTAGCGGTCGGTTAGGAACGGTTTACGCAGCGGTTCTTCCAGAGCACAAAAATCTCGTCGCGGTTAAAAGAATACATCCCGGTTTGGTTTTGAGTAAACCGGGTTTCGGTTTCTCCACGGTTCTCAAAACGCTTTCTTCTTCTCATCATCCCAACGTCGTCTCGATCGTAGGGTTTTCGGAAGCTCCCGGAGAGAGGATCGTGGTAACGGAGTTCGTCGGAGAGGCGAGAAGTTTGAGTGATCACTTACACGGAGATTCCGATCTCGAAACGGCGGTTTCTACCGTTGATCTTGACTGGCGGAAACGTTTCAAAATCGCGGCGGCAGCGGCGAGGGGTTTAGAGTATCTGCACGACGTTACAAACCCTAGAATCGTCCACGGTCGATTTACGTCGTCGAATATATTGTTGGATGAGAAATTCGCGGCAAAGGTTTCGGATTACGGATTTGGGTTTTTGATTCCGCGTGAGAAATCGGAGATTTCTGGGTACATTGAAGAAGGGTATTGTAAAGAGAGCGATGTGTACGGATGCGGCGTCGTTTTGCTGGAGATTCTGAGTGGGAGAAGAAGCGAAAACGGGTTGATTGTGAAATGGGCAACGCCTCTGATCAAAGAACAGAGATTCGGTGAGCTTTTGGACCCGAGAGTTGTTGTTCAGAGTGAAACTAAGTGTTTGGTGATAAGATTAGCGAAAGTCGCTTTGGCCTGCGTCGGGAATTCGCGGAGGAGCCGGCCGCCGATTTCTCAGGTGGCGGCGATTTTGAACAGTTTAGAGAGGGAAGGGGGGTGATTTTCAATTGCTAAAGGTTTTGGGGTTTTTACGAAGAAAACTTGGAATTAAAAGGGTAATGTAGTTATTAATAGAACAGTTTCGTAGAATTTCTTTTACGCCGTGTATATTATAATGATTTGATGATTTTATTCGCATCCATTACTTAAACTGAAAATAATATCTCTAGTAAACTATTGATACGTAATTAGTACAAAGTTATTTTCGCATGCTCTATCCGAAATAATGGCAGGTTACGAGGGTTATAATGAAAAATAGATTGCAAGTGTGTACGAAAGAATATTTTAAACTCATTCTGAATTTGACGAGACTTGGAAGCTAGATTTGCGTCAAAACTGGACGGTGGACCTAACCATTGCACCTTGTGGAACAAGTCAACATTTTCTTTTTTTTGGTGAAAAATGTTTGGTGGATATTATTTAATTTTGTTGGGTTGATTCATGTAAGTTGGCAACAGAGTTAAGTGCTTGCTTAACTGTTAAATCTAACTATTGCTAAGAACTATTTCACTTTTGTAACTGTTGCTAAATTTATATAGCATTTGTAGCATTTATATGAATCAATGTAAATACTACAATGACCCAATTGAGTTGAAATATTTACGATTTATAACTGAAATAATTGGCTTAGTAATTAGAATAAATAAATTATTGCTATTTAGAACTTAGAAGTAAACAATTAATTTATACGTAAAAAGAAAAGAATAGTTGTCAAAAATTTGCTTTACAAAAAGAGAAAAGCCTTCATATAGCATGAAAATGTTTTTTTATTCCTCTTACACCAAAACTAGATTTTTTTTCCTCTCATACCATGTTGCCATTCATATCATAGTTTACTTTTGATAGTTTAATTAAGTTATAACTTTAAAAAAAAATATATAATATAAATATTTGGGTTTGAGTTTAGAACTTAGGACTTAATATTTAGGGTTTACGGTATAGTTTGAAAATTTGTGGTTATATTTTGATGGTTTAGGGTTTAGTTTTGATGATTTAAAGTTAATTGACGAAAATAATCATAACATAAGCAAAATATATGCGAATTATAACTCAAACATAAGAAATATTCAGTTTTGTCATGTTTTTTTTATATATATTTTTACTTTTAAAATCATATGTTTAAGATTAATAACTCCATACTATTGCTTTCAACATTTAATATTTTCTAAAAAGTTTTAGCATTCAAAATACTTTTTTAAAAAAGATGTAAAATAGATACAAATATATTATGTAAATTAAATTAAGAAGATGAGCAATTATTTGGTTACCCTATTATTCTCCATCAGGTACAAGTCACCATTTTCAACCTGTGTACATATTCAAATGTAGGAGAATCTTTCACAAACACTCGTATCACCAGCGACAAAAATCTCATGCTTAATATCTCTTCTTCTGCTTCACCGGATAATCAGAAGGAGCTTCTCCAAAATCTTAATTAGACTTTTAATATTCTGTTTCTAAGTTTGTGGTTTATTCCAGTTTATCCCAAGTGTAGTTAATCCTTAAATAAAGTATATTGTAATCTAAGAGTGCTTAATTTATTCCAGTTTCAAACAATCAAATTATTAGTACTCTATCACTTAAGTCATCTATACAGTGATACAGTCTTCTAACTAACACAAGACAACGGGACTAAATCATCTTAATAAATACAGTAACCTATACGAGAGTAAGCTACCATTCAAGCCATTAGATGTCTAACCTGAAAAAAAGAAAAATGATCAAGCATAAAATTCATAAATGAAAAAAGAATAACAGCAAATGAGATTTTTTTTTTTTTTTTTTATTTTATTTTAACATCAACAACAAATGAGATAATTTTCCTAGACCGTTGGAAATTTTGTTAGCTGTCGATATAATGATACCTTTCCGCGAATTTATATCACGGCAAAGAACAGTAATAACCCAAGTCAGCAATCATGTACTCCGGGAGTATTTGATTAACTAATAAAATATCAGTCAGTTATCGAACAAACTAAATTTCTTCTCTCGGTGTCGCATCACATTATACACATATATAAGTCAAATATATAAGAAAATCTTATCTTTAAGCTAAACACTCTAGAATCTATCCTTTAAAGTTTTAAAACAAACCCAATGCGTCAATATCTTTGACTGAGAATTGAAGAGTAAGATTCAAAGCAAACGTCGAAATCAAACTCAAAATAAAGTCTAAAGTACAGCACCAAACAGACTTAACCCCCACACAAATTAATAATACCAACACAATGAAAAACACTCATAAAACCTAAACCAATACAACTTCCGGTTTACTTGCTCCAGTACCCGATAAAACCGATAAACAATACTCAAAGTCAGAGACTTTCTAAATCCAACTCTTTACTAATCTCTAAAGATCGAAGCTTTGAGATAAAAAAACATGTTTTCATCTCCTCACTCTGTACAGAGTCTTGTCCTAAGAAGTGGCTTCTCTCCGGCTCTTCCTCTCTTCCTCTTTCTCCAACGCTTTCTTGGGAAGAACATGAGCCTTGTGCAGAGCAACAAGGTCTTCCTTTTTCAGCTGGCCTCGGTTCAGAAACAAATGCGCGCAATCATAATTCGTCAGTTCTTGCTTTAGATCCGATATTTTGATCTTACTGTAATCCACTTCTTCATCATCAGCTCTAGAAACCGAAATACCATCCTCACAAGCACCGTGATCATCTCCTCTTGCGCTTCGAGATCGTTTGCTAGTCTTCAAGATTCTATCGCTTGTCTCTCCGATGTCCATATCGACAACATCATCATCTCTGGCCCGTTTCCCACGCGAGGAGCTCGCAGCTCTGATTTTGTTGTCCAGTGCAGTTTCTTTCAACCTAGCTTGAGCTAGTTCTTGCTGGAGATGATCAACGCTTGCCTGTGCAGCTTGCAGCTCATGAGAAAGAGCATCAGCTCTTCGAGTTGCAGCATTATGAGCCATTACGCTCTTCATCCAACAGCTTCTCCATGCTTCACGTTATGCGCCCTCTGCTCATTGGTTTTCTTCAACAACGACTCAATCTCTTTCTCTCGTTCTCCAACTCTAGCTTCTAACACTGTAACCTTGGAGACAGCGTCCATCTCGGAGACACGAAGCCTGTGCAGTTCTTCTTCCAAGTCCGTCTTCTGCCTCTCCAAGTTCTCAACATGCCTCTCAGCTCGCTCGATCTGAGCAAGTCTTTCCATTGCCAACCTCTGGCTCTCACTCTTCTCCTTTTGGGAAGTGACGGCATCAGCTCGAGCTCTGTCTGCCAGTTCAGTAGCACGCTTAGCTTCTATTTCAGCCGTCTTGCATCTCTCTTGGACTTCATCAAATCTTTCAAAGTCAGCTCGGTACTTTTGCTCCAAACGGATTTTCTCCTGCTCCAGCTTGTTTGCTTGCTTTTCATATGCTAGAGCCTTTGCGTTGGCAGTCTCTAACGCAACAATCATTTCCCTCAACTCTAACTTCAGTGATGCTGTTTCCATATCAAAGCTTGTTATTTTGGACTCTGCCGCCTGCAAAAGACACCATATAAGGTAAGATCCACGTCCCACGTTCAAACTATTGTAACCAACTTATCAGAATGCAAGGAGAGATTAGGAACGGAAAGAAATCAAAAGCTCACCTTCAACTCTGATCTTAGAACAGTTAGAGACTGCTCCGCTTTCTCAATTTTTGAAGACTTATCCTTAATTTCTTCATCCTGAAATTGATCAACACCGCATATTAATGATGTATTGATTCTTACAACAAACTTAAAAATCGCCTCTTTAAGAAAGGGACAAACAACCATACCTTCTCAGCTACTGTGAGATTAAATTCCTCTCTAAGAGCATCTTCCCTATACTGTGTTTCCTTGCCTGACCGCTCTTGCACTGAAGCAGCCTTTTGAAGAGTAGATCTTGCCTCTCCCACAGCATAATCATACTTACTTTCCCACTCATGTGCCTCTTCTTGAGCGGATAAGGCTTGTTCTTTAGTTGCAGCAAGCCTAGCTTCAGAAGAAGTAATCCGTGTCCTAAAGACTTCCATTTCAGATTTCAGCTGATCCTCAGCATCTTTCTGTTTCAAAACATAATGGTCATACTTTCTTTTCCATTCTTTGATTTCTTCTTGTTTAGATTCCACAGCTTTAACCAAAGTGGAGCACCGCTCATTCAGAGAACTCTTCTCTCCTTGTAGTTTTGTTATGCGTTCTCTATATGTATCTTCCAGCTTCTTCTTGTCGTTATTGGATTCATCATAACGTTTCTGATATTGCAACTTGTATTTCTCGCTATCATCCAACTGCTGCTTTTGATGCTTCATTGCATCTTCAACAGAACTGAATTTCACTGCAAGTGAGTTCTTCTCTATAGCGATATTATCTATAAGCCTTTCGGTGAGATCATATATTGGTCCTTCCAAGCTGCATGGTTAAAAAACAGATCACAAAAAAAACTAAACGCACCTCAAAACAAACAAGACGTAAATGAAAATAAGTGGGAGAAGAAATAGTAAAATACCTTTGTTGCAAGAACACAGAAAGTTTCTGCCATTTCCCTGGGCCATGGCAAGATGCTTCATACTCTGTCAAACGAGCTTCTACAACCTGAGACATAAATCATAATCAATCATTGAGTACAAGAAAAAAACAATTTCCAGCTAAACCCACAGGAACTTCCATCCATAGTAATATAGTACATCTAGCAAAAAAAATAATATTCATAAGTAACCAACCTTAACAACGTTATCCATATTAGCATTAGAGGCATGGCAAGCTGCTCTCAGCTGCTTCTCCATTCTTTGGATAGTGCTCGAGCATCTCAAATCTGCCTCCATGAATGCGTTCTTTTTGTAATCCTGAATCAGCAAAAGATAGTCTCTATCAGCATAACGCAGTGAGAAGAGCAACAAAACAAATGCTTATTGCTGAACAACGAAAATTGCCTCAAAAATTTTCTTCAAGTCCTTGTGGAGAAGATCCTCATATTTTTTTCTTGCTGAACCAGCCCCTACAGCATTAGCGTTAAACATAGCCAAGGCTTTTCGAACTGCTT